AGGGCTTTGATCAGACGTTTGGACTTTTTTCCAATTTTCCGCTGAGTTTTCTAGGACTCCAAAAGAAAGTTTCCAGGATTTTAAAGAATCTTTATTGTAAATACCTATGTAAAAGTAGGCTATTTTGGGGTAAACAACTATTGCGTATTTTGCACCAAAGTAGACAACTGCGCTGAAAAAAAATCCGTAAGATTATTTTTCACTCGCATAAATTTATCCTATGCACAAACGGAGCACTGGTTGATATTCCAAAGCAAAACCTGAGCCATTTCCGATACAAACTAGACTTTTATCAAACACCACTCCGACATTAAGCCAACATTCGCCCGACGAAAACTGAACATTGGGTCAACATGGCTTGAAATTGACCCGACATGTCTAATTGAGACTTTGACCCATTTACTGGTTAAGGTACAACGAGGCAAGATGACATGCGGGGTAAGTTAAAACGGAAGGCGTAACTATTACCCAAAGTGAATAATCACTATAATCACTAAAATTAACAGTAAACATACATATATAGAGCAGTTCCAGGCCAAATAGCAAAAAAAATAATTTCAGACTCGACCTTCTTCGATTTGCGTAACACTTTGCATAATTTTCAGAGTTGGTTGGAAATGCTATCTAATATCAACGTGAAACTTTAGTGTGATCATTTTTTACCTAGAGAAAATACGGAAGTGGGTAGATTGATAGTTCCGCTAGAGTACGGCAGTATGAAAAATTAATAGAAGTTGAAAATGAGCGAAGGGCCGTTAATGCGACAGTACTAGTCAAACGCACACTGCTTTACCTAACTCATACATGAATGGATGAGGAGACTTGAAGTATTTCGACGTTTCATCACTACCTTTTAGGTAAGATAGGTAAAGGAATATGTATGCCTTTATTAATCGAATGATGTTAATACAAATTGTAAGTCTAATATTTTGAATATTTCTGCAAGCCTGGAATTCCAGGTTACCAAGTATTAAGCTTGAAATCCAAACAAGTTAGCATTGTCCCAGAGCTTCATAAATTATCCAAGTCGAAGATCTTGACAATCTTTCTAAATCATTCCATTGATAATCCTAGCCTTATTTTTTGTTAACTGCGTTACCTCAAAAGTTTTTCGATATCTGATGTCCGGCAGTTTGAATGACTTTGTGTCTTTGTTAGTTTTAGAACCTTGAAAACTTTCATGTCTCAGAATCTGCTATACAGAAATTTCTAGTCTCATCATTTTGAACAATTTGCCTAGTCTAGGAGCTTGAAATTTGTTCTCAATTGAAGTCTCAATATCTTGAAACATTTTCTTAATCCTGGATCTTGAATTTCTATGTACGGGTTCAAGAAAATTATCTCAGGATATATTTGGAACTTTCTCAAGGATCTCCTTAGGAACATCCTAAAATCTCATAAGAGTTACTTTAAGAAATGCCGTCAACAATGTTATGACTCTTTCTGGTTCTCTCTCTTAACAACATTCTGTACAGAAACACTTTAGAAGTTTCATTTAGAAACTCTTGAAATTTACTCCACATATACCTTAATGTCAATCATTTTGACGTAGAACTACGTCTTTGTCGACTATACTAGGGTGCAAATCAAAAAATATGTGTGGTGAAGAAGTGTTAGGTTTTGTACGCTTGTAACTTTGTCATTTATAGATGAAATTAAAATCCAAATACGCCAATCGATAGGATATTACATTACGAACTTGCTGAAATAAATATTTTTCCAATTTTTCTGTAATTAAACTATTGAAAATGTACAAATGAAAATTTTATCACTGTTTTCATGAAATAAGCCTTTTTCCCAAACCCAGTCATCATAAACGAATACCACTTGGTTGCACATCATTCTGCTTCAACATGAAAAGATATAAATCAACGCTGCTCTCCTGCCTCTGCTCATTCCCGCTTCGCAGTCCTGCAGCAAGCAGGACTAAGTCAGCGGCTAAAGGTGGATCACGGTGTGTCCACCACAATGAGGAATGAGACAAGAAAAAACGTGCATGTAAAACCCCCTCCCCCTTAACAATAACCCGAAAAAGACATGGTCTTTGACGATCATTTTTTTTTTCCGGGAAATAAATATTAAGCAAACCACAATTATGTATAAACAATTAATTTTTTACATGCAGAGCCAACATTTTCAAAAAACAATTGCTTTTTTTTAATCCCTAAATTTTAGAGTTCAGAAACAATGGAATTCTCTTCAGGATTTCCTTAAAGTTTACCTCAAAATGTTCTTGAATTTCTTATAAGAATTATCTAGGAATTGTCTTGCCCGTAGAATTCACCCCGAGTTTCCAAAAGTAATGTTCCAAAATAACTTGGAATTCACATTAAATTCCCTTGAAATTATTCTCAAAATACCATTGGTAGAATCTTTTTGAATTTGCCAGCAATACTCGTCGCTATTCTTTTGAAACTTTCCTTACAATTCCGTTCTAACTATTCTGAGAATTTGATTCCTTTGGAATTTTTCTAGGAATTCTCTCGGAACTTTCTCCCAAATATCCTTGGAATTCTGGAATTCTCCTCCCAATCCCTATAATAGTCTCTAGGTGCTCATAACATTGACCATTGGTCAGATCCAATCGTCCCAGTAGCGTTCGGCGTAGGACCCTTCCAAAAAATACGTGTAATTTGAATAACCTCAAATACTTCAAAATGCTGAGACTTTTAGAAAAAATTTAAAATATTGAACTTGCATACCAAATTATCTAAGTTTAGTTTACCTTTCGTAACGAGACTTTCAGCCCTTGGCTGGTTCATATCTGCTGATTTGAGTAAGAGTTTTCACCATCAAATCCGATAGATGTCGCCCCGCCAGTGGTGGATAAACCAGTTTTGCGGTATGGAGATTTTCGATTTCTCTTCAAATCCTGCATCTAGCGGTGAAAAGACATTTTGTCCTTTTTACTATTAGTGACATTATGTAGAAATAATACATCGGACAAATTGCACCATTATTGATATTTTTAATTAAGTGTTAGTTTCGCCATACATTCTCAAGTCAATTTTCCACCGGTCCATACGATTGAAGGCTGCTCGCCCTCTGGTGGTAAGTGCTGTCAGAATCAGCATAAAACACCTAATCATCTAAATTATGAATCGTAATTAGACCATTTGACGCGATCTTCGAGAACTAACAAATTTTCAACTTTCAGATGATAAAATCGGTAAATTTTTCAAAATTAAAGAACCCAATTAACTTTTTAATCTTTATACAAAATGTAATCACATAATTAGTGACTCCTTGCGGCGCCAAGCTTCCAGCTGTTGTGCAATAAAAACTGGCTATTAAAGCTTTGGGCCCTTATCAGATTCGAACGCGATATTTTCAACATTCCAATAGAACATCATCACCAATGAACCCGAACCGAGTCTTCCCTATAGGATCGTTGGCCTTCTCGAGTGTTTTCACCATTCCGTCTTAATCTGTTCGCATACCGCGATGTGAAGGATTATCCTCTCAAACGAGGAAGTAGCTACTTGAATTTACAATCGCGAACTTTGCACGCCGTTCGTTACCATGGCGGAATCAGTCGGCTACTTAGATTTTTTGGATTTACCCTCGCCCGCCCTCCCTCGGTCAATTTTACAATGCAAAGTGGCAAGCGTGACGGAAAGTGTGAGCGCTTGCTCTAGTCCACCGCGACCCCAAAATCGCACATGAGCGAATCAATTTTTCCACGAACGACTAAATCCGTTTTCTCTTCCCATCAAGCTTTCCTCCTAAAGTCTCCGAGAGTAAATATTTGCCTTTCGAATGGCCGCACGGTCCAGCAGCCAGCACACAGACCCGGAGTCCACGACGAGGCGCGACGCAATGGGCGGTAAACACATATTACACATCCCGTTTCCTCCTGGCGCGAGGAGCGCGAGATTCTCAATCTTCCTCTTCGTGTCTTTATGCAGTCTTTTGGCCCCGGTGCGGTCGATCTGTACTCTGCGCGTACACACAGAACCAGCTCTTTTTGTTTAAAAAGCAATGATGAAAAAATAATTAACAGAAAGAAAACCCGCGCTTGCTGCAACTCTTCTCCAGAGCAAGGTTCCTCGTGCGCCTCCTCTTGGACCGATGCGATATTGCTCTGACCTTCTCCTACTTTCACCCTTCTTGCACATGTACACCCATTACTGTTGTGGTTTACCTCGTCCATCCCAAGCTCCCCTCCCAAAAGCTCCTCGACAAAACGCTGAAGAAAGAACGAAGATGAGAAATATTTTTATACATATCATAAAAAAAATCAATTTCCGCTGAAAACCTGAACTAGCGGATGTTATTTGAATACACTCCATCTCTTGGTGTGCTTGCTCTCCAGCCTTCCATCTCATCGACCCCACAGGCATACGTACCTACCTACCTACTCTCACTCGCCGTTCTTTGCCTCGCTCGCTCCATTTGGTGATGCACATACACACTCACTCGCTCACTCAGTACCTCCTACCGTGACCGATTCGGGCAAAGCACTCCACTATGCTGCCGTCCGCTGTTGATGTTGATATTGTTATTGTTGATTCATTCTATGCTCGCATCCTCCTCTCATCATCGTGTCGTCGTATGTAGTAGTTCCAGACAGCCGATTCGGTTTGTTGGAACGACAGCATCTTCAGTCAATCTTTCTTGCCTTGGTCCATCCGCATCCATCCGCACACCGCATGCTGCACAAACACAGTAGGCTAGGGCTAAATGAAAGACAAAACTGGGCGAGGAGATGAGATAGAGAGGCGAAAATCGCCTCGGGACAGTCCTCATTTCCCGGATTGCCTTTCCGCTCTTGCCGTAATGAAATTATGACCTTTTGCAGGCAACAGTGGCCACCGCAACGATCAACCACGACTACGAGAGCGGGATGTGAGAAAATCATCCCATTATAGAACAAGTTTCTCTACACACACGCGCGCCGCATAAATGTCCTCCTCTTACTTATGACCTCAACCCGTTCCCAACTTCCAAGCGAAGATACTAATTTCTCTTCATCATCTCTCTGTCCCTTTTTCCAGAAGCCAACCCAGCACAGCGGCATCAAGATGAAGCTGTTACCGATACCGTTGTCACCGTTGAACCCCCCGGCACCCCTGGGCATCTGGGGATCGGATTTACTATGGCGGTATCCACCGGCACCACCCAGCCCACTAGCTGATCTCAAGACACAGCTACCGCCACAGCTGAACACCGATCCGCGGATTTGGGGCCGTGAAGAGGTCGCTATATTTCTACGCTTCTGTGAGCGAGAATTTGACCTTCCCAAATTTGACGTGGACCTGTTCCAAATGAACGGCAAAGCTCTCTGTGTACTGACCAAGAATGACCTCGCAGAACGCAGCCCCGGCGCCGGAGATGTTCTGCACAACGTTCTGCAGATGCTCGTCCGCGATTCACAAACCCTGCATCGCCATCTACCGAGCAGTCCGGTAACTCCGACTAGCCGTTATCCATTATCACCTCACAGCCATCCTCCAACGCCAAACTGGAGCGCCTTAGCCCCTCCAGATAGTCCTTTCTTCCACAACAGCCACCTGCAACAGTTCATGGCCGCATCAAACTCCGTGACTCTCAGCCCAGCGCCATCCATCGACTCACAAGCCGGAAGTCCTCCGCAAAGCCACCAAGAGCAGATGCAGAACGTTTTCCAGAAATCCTCCAGCAGTAGTAGCAGTACCCACACGCAAAACTCAGGAGGAAGCAGCAATCAGTCCGATTCGGACGAGGACAATTCCACTGCCAGATACCACCCACTTCCACTGTCCCACCCGGATAGTAAACTACCCCTACTTACCCAACAAACTCAGAGCCCTCCACTGACCCCAATATCCAAGGAAACACAACACCTGGGTCAGTTGCAGCTACTCGACACTAAGACTCTGCAATACCCAGTATCATCGCTACTGAACAATAGCTCCAGCACAAACAATAACAACAACAACGGATCCAGCGCCACAAATGGCAGCAGTACGAACAACGGAAGCGTAAGCAACGGGAACAGCTCTTCCATTGGATCCAATGGCCATTCTCTCAACTTGAAATCGCCTACGCTGTCACCCCCATCCAGTGCATCGCCCACTGGGTCCTCTTCGGCACCGAACACTCCGGGAGCATTTCTTCCGGTCAAGCGAGAGTTCTTTCCCGACGGTCCGGAACCTAACACAAGTAAGTATACAAGTATCTAATAGTACAGCAGTTCCAGGCCAAATAGTTCAAAAATAATAACTGTTGACTTATCCTTCTCCGATTTGCGTGAAACTTCGCATAATTGTTTGTAATTTTTTTTTTTTCAAAATTGCGTTCTTTTTTCTTTTTTTTTTAGCACGAAAACGTCACTTTTGATCGAATAGTCGTCTGAGACAAGGTTGTTGAGAAAAGTAAAACCTTTCTTCGAAAAATATACACAGTAATTTTGAGTAAAAACCCAAAAAAAGGTGTCAAAAACTCAGCATATCTACAATTTTTATAAATTTTGTTTAGAAAAAAGCTCTCGACAAATACAAACTTTTGGATTATTTAAAACCATGGACAACTGAAAATTGACGAGAATCGTAAACCTTTTTGTGAGCAAGCTTTTTATGTAATGTTTGCACTGCAACCGTTTTAGAATGTCTCAAATAATGTTTCCTATGCAGAAATTAAATTAAAAAAGCGTACTAGTAAAAAGTTCAAAATTTTTACCAATAGTAAGTTTTTAAGTGTCCATGGTTTTAAATATTCCAAAAGTTTGCATTTTTCATGAGTATTTCTCTACACAAAATTTATTAAAATTGAAGATGTTCTTTTTGAAATATTTCAATTTTTATCATTAATTAATTAATTACTTTAAAAAAATACCGTGTATTTTTTTTTTAAATACTGTATTTTTTTCTTTATTTGTCTCAGACGTCATTTCGAACAGAAGTGACGTTTTTGTGCTCCAATTTATTGAAAAATGTCAAAGACACCATTTTGAAAAAAAAATACAAGATCCAAATTGGCCGCAATTTAAAAAAAAAAGAGAATGATAGCCCATAACACAGAATAATGCGAAGTTTTATGCAAATTTGAGAACGTCGAGTTTTTTCGAACCGTCAGTACGTTGAGTATCTCGCCGTGGAAATATGCTAACCATTTTGTTCTTCTTCTTATCACCCTGTTCACCCCTAGATGGTAGATTACTGTGGGACTTTCTGCAGCAGCTGTTGAACGATCCATCCCAGCGTTACAGTAGCTACATTGCGTGGAAGTGCCGGGACACCGGAGTGTTCAAGATCGTCGACCCTGCCGGGCTGGCGAAGCTATGGGGCAAGCAGAAGAACCATCTCTCGATGAACTACGATAAAATGTCCCGTGCGCTGCGGTACTACTACCGTGTCAACATTCTGCGCAAGGTGCAGGGCGAGCGGCACTGTTACCAGTAAGCACCAACCACCACCTCCACCATGATCAACTTTGTCAAGACTCTAATGCATACATTTCCTCCCGCACAGATTCCTCCGAAATCCAACGGAGCTGAAAAGCATCAAGAACATCTCGCTACTTCGTCAAACCATGGCCAGTCAAAGCGCAAACGGACAATCCGCGGCATCGGCCGGCGCAGCCAATAGCCATTCGCTGATGTCCCTCCTGCCAAATGGTGCTAACATTCATCACTTGGCTGCTGCTGCCGCGGCCGCTGCCGCCTCCCATCATCAGGCGAACGGAGGTGCTCCGATTTCGCCGACCGCGCTGCATCATTCTCATCACCAATCGCAATCGTCAGTACAAAACTCAGCGCCCTCGAATGGCGTCGTCAACGGTCACCACATCAAGATGGAAACGGACCTGGACGAACTGAAGCCAACCGATCTGAGTACAAGCGACCGTAAATATTACGGTACCGGATCCAGCGGTGTTGATTGTTACCCGTAAGTATTCATTGCAATACAGACCGCTAGCACCGACCACACGTTACTTACATTCGATTTTTGTTTCCTTTCAGCTTGATTAGGAACGCAAACGGTCTGACCACCATCCAGCTGCTACGGCAACAGCAAGCCCAACACTCCCAGGAAAACGGTTCACCACCACCGTCTCCCAGTCATTTGTCACTCAACTCCCAATCCCTGCACACCATCAGCAATAACCTGCACCACTTGCACCAGCAGCAAATGCAAGCACAGGCAGCTGCCGCGGCAGCTGCTGTAGCCGCCGCTGAAGCACGGCACCAACAACACCAGGAAGAAGATCACCGGCTAGAACAACTGGAGCATGATCGTGAACACGACCGAGATCGAAGCCCCTCGCCAGCGGACCACCAGCAGCAGCAGCACCATCTACATGCCGGAAAAACCAGCGACGATGAAAACATGATGCCCACGGATCTTAGCAAATCCGATTCAATGTACTACAAGTAGGCGGTTGTTCCCACTCAAATGGCAACACTGCTGTGACAATCATCATATACAGAGGACGCTTCGACGGAAGATAGCTTGTGCTATCGGACCACAGCCAGAGACCGGCGTAACGAGAGATCTCAGCAACCACCGGTGCCATCCTTCCATTTACGGTAGAGAGCGAAAAGGCGATCTCATTGGCTGTGGTCCATCCATGGCTACCTTGATCTTCCGTGTGTATATCACAATCGACTGAACAAAAAAAATTAAGAAAAAAGTAAAAAAAAAACAAAAAAAAACACGTGTGATAGAAACAAAACGGCGGAAATTGTAAACAAAACAAACAAACAAAATCCGGAACGGAAAAACAAATGTGCCAATCGTTCTCATTATTGCTATCGTTTCAGAGTTTAATCATTCAAAGGTGTCTCGCAGGGGTCGATGATTGCTATCACGAGCCGAGCGCAGATTACACAATTCAAAATGTACAGAAAACAACAATTGAGGAATTACCTTATAACCGCAACCAGAGCGCTGCCGCGGTGGGTTTCGGAAGTGGGAAAATCTTTTCACAAAGTCTTGTATTATAAAGCTAAACAAAATTTCGCGGTCGAAAGAAAAGTAGAACTTTTATCCAGACTATCAAGTAGCTAATGAGGTTATCGATTTAAAGCAGAGAGAAAAGAGATAAATAGATTATTGTTGACGGATGTGAGATGAGCAAAGTGTGTACAGTTTTTACTCGTAGAAGTAGAGTTTACCCTTTATGTTTTGTGACTACACGTAGCAGTTAAGCGGTTGATCCAGCCAGGAAAAAAGTACTCATTTAGTTTTTTTTTTTTTCCACCAACGACATGCTTATTGGTTTGTTTGTTTTTTGTTTTAGGGAAAAAACGCATAGTAGACTAAGTTTGTAAACTTCCTTTCACAATTGGCTTCCATGTCACAATAGAGCAAAATGAATGAAATTTACAAAATTTGAACAAATGTGATGAAAACATAGAGGTTTATATTTGGCGAAATTTTTAACAAGAATATTATAGTTTTTTTTTTTGCGGCACGAGAGAAATTGTTGTGTGAGTTATTAATGGTATTAATTAGTGGATTTTTTTTTGTTGGTTTGAAGAGAAAAGGGTCGACTTTGTTTTACTACTATTAGTGGAATATTCTCTACTTCTTTTTTTGTTGGCTTTAAATGGAAATCGAAATCTTCCTTATTTTTAGTCTAGTTAAGCATTGTAAATATGGTCAGATTTTTTTAATTACTGTAATTTGTACAATAGGTTAAGTTTTCGTCTCAAGTAGAATAATTTCCACAGGATAGAAGCAAATCAATAAAAAAAAATGCAAATAATCCAACATATACACCCCAAATAGTGGCAGAATGTGATATTTTCGAAAGAAAAAACTTGTCCCGGGTTGCTGCGTTGTCGAACTGGTTTTCGATCGCAGCCTACTTGGGACAGTTCAGAGCGGATATTAACAGGTTAGCCAGTTAGGAAATAGCAAACCACCATCAACACCACAGAGCAGCGCACTACCACCACAAGCACACAAAACACAGCGATAGGTCATTCTTTTCGTCTATTTCTTTTGTTCTACGTAAGTGAGTGTCAGCAAAACGAACACAGACATTGTTTGCAATAGTTTTTTTTTCGTGTACTGTAAAGCATTATTTTTACAACAATCATTATTAGAGTATGATTTTTTAGAGTTTATCGATGATATGTTTTAAGGTATAAGAAATGCAAAAAGAAGACTCAATCCCAATAAAAAAGAATATAGAATTGTTTCAAACAAAGAATGTGTATTTTTTCTTGTCCTGATCGATGACTAGTAGTTTTACAATTCATCATTGCCGAAGATAAATCACCCTTGAATTTTTCATACATATACCGTAATTCACCGAATACCGGACGGACGATCTGTTAATCTGGACATTTAATGTATTGTTAAATATACAGCCATATTCATGTTGGTACGTTCCATGCAAAAAAATTGTATGGTTCGAGGGTTGAACCGTTGAAACAAGAATATGGATGATAAAGTTTACTTTTATATATAATAAATATATGTGGGATAATTCAAAACAATACTTGCAGACTAGGATAAAATTTACTTGCTATTTTGAGCATAGTTCCGCGCCAAACGACGAATCGGAAAAACTCGGCCATCTCCGATTTGCATGAAACATTTTTACTAAAAGTCGGCCATTTTGAATCTTGAAAGATTTTCAAAATGCCGTCTTTGAAATTTTTCAAAAAATAGTAGCATGAAAACTGCACTTCTGATCGAAATGACGTCTGAGTCAAAGTTATAGAGAAAAAAATGTTTTTCTGGAATTAAAGAGAAGTTTTTAGTAAATTCAAGTAAAAATTTAAAAAAAATAATGTTAAAAACATACATACATACATTTATTTGTACAACATCACATTTAAGATAAGACATAATCAACAATAGTACGCCACAATACTCGGTTTGCGGCTGCCGCTCTCCATCCTCTGTCATGCCCAATGCTCGCTAGATCACGCTCTACCTGGTCCGCCCATCGTGCTCTCTGCCAACTTTGCAGGGTTGTTGTCCGGCATTCTTGCAACATGCCCTGCCCACCGCATCCTTCCGGCTTTGGCCACCTTCTGGATGCTGAGTTCGCCGTAGAGTGCAGCGAGCTCGTGGTCCATTCTTCGCCGCCACTCACCGTTCTCCTGCACGCCGCCAAAGATCGTCCTTAGCACACGTCGCTCGAAAACTCCGAGTGCTTGCAGGTCCTCCTCGAGCATAGTCCATGTCTCGTGTCCATAGAGGACCACCGGTCTTATTAGCGTTCTGTACATGGTACATTTGGTGCGGGGGTGAATCTGTTTTTGACCGTAGTTTCTTCTGGAGCCCGTAGTAAGCACGACTTCCACTGATGATGCGCCTTCGTATTTCACGACTCACATTGTTGTCACCCGTCAGTAAGGATCCAAGGTAAACGAATTCCTCCACTACCTCGAAAGTATCCCCGTCTATCGTGACATTACTTCCTAGACGAATCCTGTCATGTTCGGTTCCGCCTACTAGCATGTACTTTGTTTTTGACGCACTCACCACCAGTTCAACCTTTGCTGCTTCGTGTTTCAGGCGGGTGTATAGTTCTGCCACCGTTCCAAATGTTCTTGCGATAATGTCCATGTCGTCCGCAAAGCACAAAAAATTGACCGGATTTCGTGAAAATCGTACCCCGGCTGTTGAGCCCGGCTCGTCGCATTACACTTTCTAGAGCGATGTTGAAGAGCAGGCATGAGAGTCCGTCACCTTGTCGCAGTCCCCGGCGAGATTCGAATGAACTAGATAGTTCACCCGAAACTATTACGCAGTTTTGCACACCGTACATCGTTGCTTTGAGCAGTCTGATCAGCTTCCCAGGAAAGCCGTTCTCGTCCATGATTTTCCATAGCTCTGTGCGGTCGATACTGTCGTATGCCACCTTGAAGTCGATGAACAAATGATGCGTTGGGACCTGGTATTCACGTACGGTGAAGATCTGGTCCGTTGTCGATCGGCCGTCGATGAAGCCGGTTTGATAACTTCCCACGAACTCGGTCATTTTAGGCGATAGACGACGGAAGATGATCTGGGATAGCACTTTGGTGATCGCTCTGAAGTTCTCACATTCCAAATGGTCGCCTATTTTGTGAATGGGGCAGATTACCCCCTCCTTCCACTCCTCCGGTAGCTGTTCTATTTCCCAGATCCTGACTATCATCCGGTGCAGGCAGGTGACCAATTTTTCTGGGCCCATCTTGATGAGTTCGGCTGCGATACCATCCTTACCAGCTGCTTGTTAAAAACATAAATATCTCAAATTGGGTTCTTCATGATTAAATGCATATTCGTAATCTGCATTAAAAATAGAACCGAATTCTAAAATTTCAACAACTGGATTGTTTAATTTCGAAGAAAAAAACATACCGGTTTTTATATATCATCTGAAAGAGCTTTGTTGTTTTTAACTAGCTCGTTTTTTTGGAAGGCTCAATCGCGTTAGCTTTACGGAGCCGATAGTTCATTGTTCTTTGTTTGTAACAAAATTCTCTTAATTCTATGTCTAGTAGGAGTTGGGCCGAATACTCGCGGCTTACTCGAGGTTAGAGAGGTACATTGTCGAAGGATAGGATCAGGGGAGGAGCTTGGGGTTAAGGTTTCGTTGTCTCATCAGAGCGTTGTCGCCAGTATGACCGGTAGTGCGGTTCTAGTGCGGTTCGTCTGGAGTTCAACCGGCTATGGTGACCAGTGGGCGACGATGAGACTCATCGAGACGGGGGACAAGACAAACAAAAACTATTAAAGAGAAACAAAAGACACAGGAATTAAATTCTTATACTAGACATTTGAAGAAACACATAAACCGACTGCATATAGCAGATAACGCGAGTTCCCAACACGTCTCTGATAGGAACATAGGGTTGTCTTCCTTGGGCCTCGAGGGTATTCAAAAGTCGCTCTCTGGCGGCGTCATTATCCGTACATTGCCAAACTGCGTGTTCGATGTCATCGTAACCGTTTCCACACCGACAGATGTTGCTGTCCACGAGGTTTATTATATTGAGATGAGCATTTAGCGAGTAGTGGTTGGACATAAGTCTACTCATCACGCGAATGAAGTCACGACTTAAGTCAAAGCCTTTAAACCACGCTCTCGAAGAAACATTAGGAATAATTGAATGTAACCACCGTCCAAGATTTCCACTGTCCCAATCGGTTTGCCAACTCGAAAGGGTACTCTGACGCACTAAATGGTAAAATTCATCGTGTGAAATTTGCCTGTCATAAAATTCGCCTTCCTGCGCGCCCACCTTTGCTAGAGAGTCCGCCTTCTCATTGCCTGGGATTGAGCAATGTGAGGGGACCCATACAAAGGTAATCATATATGATCTTTCGACAAGTACACTCATCTGCTCCCTTACCTTTGAAAGTAAATAAGATGGGTGCCTACTTTGTTTCATCGACCGAATCGAACTGAGACTATCCGAGAAGATGAAGTAATGGTCTGCGGGCATGTTGGAAATCATCCCCAATGCTAAGTTGATTGCTGCCAGCTCAGCAACAAAAACGGAACAAGGTTCCTGGAGTTTGCGGAAGGCGCTAGAGTTTTCATTGAAGACACCGAAGCCAGTGGATCCAATGAGACGAAGCCCAAGAATTTCTTCAATGCAATTATAAGTGTGTTGGTCACTCCGCATTTGATTAGTATTCTGAGAGAGAGAGCTCCCAGAAACGGTTATGGAGGGGTGTTACTCCTGCCAGAACCTCGAGACTCATGTTATGCGTTGAGTGCATACAGCCGAGAGCAATACGCAGACAACGATATTGAATTCGTTCCAATTTTATTAGGTGACATGAGAAAGCAGAAAGACCCGTACTCTAGAACAGAGAGAATAGTTGTTTTATAAAGCGTTATGAGGTCTCCCGGATGAGCACCCCACCATGTGCCGCAAATTGAACGGAGAAAGTTGATCCTCTGCTGACATTTTTGCTTCAAATACGTAATATGGGTATTCCAAGTGCACTTTGAATCAAACCAGACTTCAAGGTACTTGAAAGATAATGATTGAGTAATTTTTCTGCCCAAAAGATTGAGTTGCATTTGGGCTGGGTACCGCTTTCGAGTAAACACTACCAGTTCAGTTTTCTGTGGCAAGAATTCTATCCCTAGATTCCTAGCCCAAGACGACAAGTTATCTAAGGAACTTTGCAATGGTCCTTGCAAGTCCATGGCATGTGGACCTCTTATGGAAACCACACCGTCATCTGCAAGTTGTCTTAGCGTGCATTGTTCTGCCAAACAGTTGTCGATACCTTTGACATAAAAGTTATAAAGAAGAAGGCTGAGACATGAGCCTTGGGGCAGGCCCATGTAGCTAATTCTGGAAGTTGTCAGTTGTCCAAGGGAAAAGTTCATTTACTTTTCTGACAAAGAATTGTTCAAGAAATTATTTAAAATTCCAGAAAGACCACATCTGTGCAGATTGTCTGACAGAATTTCAATGGAAACTGAATCAAAAGCCCCCTTAATGTCCAAGAATACTGAAGCCAATTGCTCCTTGTGCGTAAAGGCCAGTTGAATATCTGTGGAAAGCACCGCTAGACAATCGTTTGTTCCTTTGCTCTTGCGGAACCCAAACTGTGTCTTTGATAGCAAGTTATTTGTTTCGACCCACTGATCGAGTCTGCGAAGGATCATTTTCTCCAACAATTTCCTAATATGTACACGAAAGCATCGCAATCGGATGGTATGAGTTATGGTCAGACGCTGGTTTGCCAGGTTTTCGAATGGCTATTACTTTGACCTGTCTCCATTCAGACGGTATAATGTTGTTTTCTAGTAAGGAATTGAATACGTCTAGCCAGCGTCTTATAGCGATATCTGGGAGATTTTTCAGAAGATTGAATGTAATCATATCGCTTCCCGGTGAGAAGTTGTTCGATGAAAGAAGAGCCATAGAGAATTCCAGCATTGTGAATGGCCTATCCAGAGACCTGCCGCTCGGAGATGCTTCTCGAAGAATGTATTGTGCTGGAACTGAGTTAGCGAAATCGAATATCCATCGGTTGGAGTATTCTTCACTCTCATTAGGCGATGAGCGGTTACGCATGTTGCGAGCAACCCACCACAAGGTGTTCATTGTGGTTTCTCGTGAGAGTCCCTCGACAAAATTGCGCTAAAAACCGCGTTTTTTTACTTTGATTAATTTTTTCAGCTTTGTCTTAAGCTTTGAATATTCCTCGAAGTAGGTGGAGGTTTTGTGTCTATGAAATGCTTTGAAAGCATCAGATTTTTCTACATACAATTTAGTGCATTCTTCATCCCATACAGGTGTGGCTGGTCTCCTTTTGAAGGGCGCACTTGGAACTCCCTTAGCCTCCCTTAGCTCAGTCGGTAAAGGTGCAGCTACAAAGCAAGACCATGCTGGAGGTGGCTGGGTTCAATTCCCGGTTCGGTCTAGGATTTTTTCGGGTTGGAAAATTTCTCGACTTTCTTGGGCATAGAAGTATGATTGGACTTGCCACACAATTATGGTACAGGTATCGAAAGCTCTCAATGAATAACTGTGGAAGTGCATCTAGAACACTAAATTGAGAGCACGCAATAAGCTAATATGCGATATGCAGTAAGCTTGAAATGCGAAGAAGAAGAATAAGAAGAAGAAGACTTTGAACTTTTCTTTTTTGTGCTTCCAGTGAGCTTTTGTATATCAAATCGGCGAGGAATCGATATTCTTCCAATGGTGGAAGCGTATCTATTGATTCGGCACCGATTGTCACCGCCGTTGCATATTTCTGCCATTCGATGTTCCTTGTAAGATCAAATGGAACTCGAGATGGTTCTGCAGAGTGAGGGGCACACTTAATTGAAATGATGATTGGCAAATGATCGCTACCATGGGGATCATTGATAACCTTCCACAGACAGTCCAATGATAGCGATCTTGAACACAAAGATAGATCGAGTCGGCTTTCTCGAGCCGGAGGTTTTGTTATACGTGTCGCTTCACCAGTGTTCAGAATAGTCAAGTTGAAATCGTCGCATAAATCGTAAAAAATAGCCGCTCTATTGTCATCATATAGATCGCCCCACCCAGTACCATGGGAGTTCATATCACCCAAAATTAATACTGGGGATGGAAGAATCGAAACTAGATTCCAGAGTTGACTAATGGAGGTTCTTGGTGGAACATAAACTGAAGCTATGCAAAGGTCTTTGTTCTTCACATGTATTTGACAAGCGACGATTTCGACGCCTGATAGAGCAGCAAGGGAAATTTTGTAGAAAGGGTAGCACTTCTTGATCCCTAAAAGTACTCCTCCATAAGAATCGTCTCTATCCAGGCGAATAATGTTAAAAACGTGGAAGTTGAGTTCTTCATCGGAAGAAAGCCATGTTTCACAGAGAGCAAATATATCACAATCAGAATTGTGAAGTAAAAATTTGAACGAGTCTAGTTTAGGTAGTCCTACGGCAGTTCCACTGTAGTACAGTGATCATATCTTCAACCTTTTTCGACGAATTATCCATCGAAAAATATGATTGATGCAAGGAGGCACCAGAGCTTTGTTTTCTGAGAACCACGATATTTTAGTCGATCCAATAGACATTCATCTTTATCTTATTTTAATTGTTGAAACTAAATCTATTCGATGACAGTTTGCTCTCATACACAGTCTCACCAGGGGGCGCTAAGATGGTGATTTTTGCTCATGTAATCGTACTTATTTAAAATAGTTCCAGTGCACCAAAATTGATAAAATTTCGGAGTTAGGTTCCATTTTTAATGCAGATTACGATTATGTATTTACCTCAATACCCCTAAATAACCCAATTTGGTGTACAGGAACAGTGCGATTATATTGGCAGAAATCGCCATCTTAGCACCCCTCGTTGGTACTTTAGTATGGTGCGAGCTGTCATTTTGTTAGTTATGTGTCCAAAATCGAACCATGCTATCTTCTTTCATGTCAAAAGCTACATCTCAGCAATGCAACCCGGATTTATGCCAGGACGTTCAGTTTCATCAAATGTATTGGAGTTCACCTCAACTTGTATAAATCATTTGGAAAATAGGGCTCAAGTAGATACCGGTTATACTGACCTGAAAGCAGCCTTCGATTGCATCGATCATGGTATTCTTCTTCAGAAAATGTCTCGTCTGGGAGTTTCGGACAGTTTGGTTGATTGGCTGAATTCGTACTCCAATAGAACTCTCCGTGTCAATCTGAATTCGTGCACTTCGTCACCTTTTGTTCCCCAGGGCAGTAATTTAGGACCATTGCTGTTCACTATCTTCTTCAACGATGTGACGCTCATCCTGCAGAATGGCTGTATGATCTCAAACTATACATCGTTGTCAAGGACGCCGAAGATTGCCGTCAGCTCCAAGAAATGTTGGACCAATTTGTTGACTGGTGCCACTTAAACAAGCTCTCCCACAGTATATCAAAATGTGTAGTCATGCCATTTCATCGTACAAGAACGCCAATCGTATTCGATTACTCAATTGATGGATTTGTACTCGAAAGAGTTGAACAAGTAAGCGACCTAGGTGTAATGTTGGACTCTAAGCTTTCGTTTGACTTACATCGCTAGTTACATCGTTCAATGGTAGTCACTAAGGCAAATCGTCAGCTTGCGTTCGTATCAAGAATCTCAAGAGATTTTTCGGATCCGTAATGTTTAAAGGCACAGTATTGTTCACTTGTGCGCCCGCATCTGTCGTTTGGACTCTTTGGCAACTTTTCTGAAGCATTAAAATAGAACGGATTCAAAAATGATTCATTCGTCGAGCATTGAGGCAACATCCTTGGAGAGATCCACTAAACTTACCTCCGTATGCTGAGAGATGTCGCTTGCTAAGCATGAATACTTTAGAACGACTGCGACGAATTCAACAGGCAACATTCGTAGTGAAGCTATTAAGTGGTGAAATTGAAATACTCTCTTGCCTGAACTTTCGTTCGCCAAGCAGATTTCTACGCAATAAAGAAATAAATAAGTAAATAAAGAAATAAAATATAAAGAAATATAGAAATAAAGAACTAAAGAAATAAATAAATTAACAGATAAATACTACTGCTATCTACAACATTTGAGAGCGAACTGTCGAATCCCAATCTAGAATGTATTGAGGAGAAACATAGGAAAGTTCGGATGGACATAAAACATAGTTCCACTTACCTTACTAGCTATTATATGTATTACGTTCAATAATCTCCTCCCATCCTATTATTCTCACTAAAATGCTGGCTCATCGCGCTGCTTATGCGTCGCCAAATGGCGCGTCAAGTAGCTCTGCTGGATGAAAGCCTGTCCGCAATGCTGACACTCGTACGGTTTTTCTCCGGTGTGGGTCCTCTCGTGAATCACCAGCTGCCGCTTCCGAATGAATGCCAACGGACAGAAGCTACACTGGTGAGGTTTCTCGCCAGTATGTGCTGCCATCTCGTGGCGTTTGCGATCCGTAGCGTGAGAGAACACCTTGTCGCAAAATTTGCACTTGTACGGCCGGACACCGGTGTGGCGCCGTTTGTGGGTCAAGAATTGCGTTTCGATTCGGAATGTCAACTTGCAGATTTCGCATTCCCATGGCTTTTCGTCAGTGTGTATTCTGGAATGATCCTTGTAGTTGCGCTTCCGCGCGAATGTTTTGCCGCAGATTTCACAACTGAATGGACGATCCGCTTGGTGTACGATCATATGGTTCTTAAGAATGGTTTTCGTGCCGAACGTTTTACGACAAACATCGCATTCGTACGGTTTGATGCCGAGATGTTTGTTCTCGTGATCTTTCAGTGCGGCTAGCGATTTCGTCTGGACGCCACAGGTGCTGCAGGTGTGACGGGCACCGGTATTGGCTTTCCTCTGGACAGCCACGTGCCTCAGTAGACCTCGATAGTTGCTAAAGCTGCGGAAGCACACCTCGCAGCAGTTGTCATCTGTGTCGCGATAGTCCTTGAATTGATTCCGTTTCACGCCATGGTTGTCGTCCACGTGGGCCAGTAGCTCGCTGTAATCCGTATATGATGCTTTGCAAGTAGTGAAACAGCAGTAAAATTTACTTTCGTCACCCATTTTTTTCGGTTTCGGTCCTCGTTTATCTTCCCTGCCGGAATTCCTTTCATGCGCTTCGTAATGCAGCAGAAACGGAATTTGAAAGTTGAACTTTTGATCGCACAACTTACAGGAAAAGAGCTGTACGGTTTTCACAAATTGACGGTGGATTTGTAGCGACACAGCTTTGACGAATCGTCGGAAACATCGGTCGCATTCGTAGGGTCGATCCTTGTCGTCCGGTTGTTCAAACTGTCGGTGGGATTGATTGGAATGATCGGTAAGCTCTTCCTCGGTAATGAAGGTTTGATAGCAGCCGCAGCACCGGACCACATCCTGATTGCTGATGTCTACGACGGACACCTCCGCTAGGTCTGGATCGTTTCGTTTGACCTATTCGAAAGAATAAATGATACCTGAATTAATGATACAAACAAAATAGTCACCAACCTACCTGCTGCTGTACGTAGAGCCTACGACCGTACGGTTCCTTGAAATCTTGAGAAGCTTCTTCGGGTTCATAATCTTCATCATCATCATCATCATCATCTTCGTCGACTCCGGCGACAAAATCATCTACGGGAGATTCGTTCCGCTCTTTGACAGCTGTCCTTCGTCTTCTGCTAGTGTGCGCCACAGTGGTCGATGGTTTAATGTCCAGCAAATGAACTTTTTCTTCCACCTCAACCTCTTCTTTCACATCTAGCATCTCCAACTCGACAAATCCTTCATGATTTGCACTGGTTTGCTGATGTTCCTGTAGCTTGTTAGACGAACGGAACACCTCCTGGCATGTTTTGCAAAAGTAAACATGTTTCGCATTCAGTTCGAGCATGTGCTTCTCATAGTCATTCTTAGAATCGAACGATCTCAAACAGGCGAAGCAAGAATGCTCCTCGTCAAACCCACGATTCCCTTGATGTTCCTTCTCGCCATGGCGTTTCATTTCCCGTATACTGTCACAGTAGATTCCACAATCACAACAGCAAAAGCCATCGAATTTTACGTAATCGAATGTGATGAAGGTCTTCGTTAAGCGACATTTATCAACCGGTATTACATCCTCCAGCGCCTTCTTAGAAGTTCCTTCGGAAACACTATTGCGTTCGCTAAGCTCCCTTGTGTGATTATTCGCAATTTTATTCGCTGCGTGCAGTTTCAAGTGAGCTTTCAACTGTCGTTTGCTAGGTGATAGAACATCACACAACTTACAGTGAAATAACTGCCGGGATCGAGCCATTTTCTGATGGAAACTCAAACTATCAGTGCTGGAGAACAGTTTCATACAGACACCACATTCGTAGCGTTTGCTCTCATCTCCATGGGGTTCCTCTTTGTGATCCCGCTTGCAATGCCTTTCCATCGTGGTTTTTGAATTAAAGAACCGAAAACACCCGCAGCATCGGTGATCGTAAAGCTCAAGCATATCCCAGCTTGAGTCATCCCCTTTCCTAGTTCTATAATATCCCTTCTTCAAATCCGAAAACAACCAACTAGATTCCGAATGCAGTGGATCAGTGGGATTAACGACTTTTTTAACCGGTACTTCCTCGACAATTTCTTCCCCGTCGTCATCGAGCACCTCTTCGTCCACAAAGGACATTTGCATAGGATAGTCGCCTTCCATCTCCGCTTCCTCTATATCAACCTCACACTTCACTTCCGCCGGTTCCAACTCGCTTCGGAGCAGCTGTCTCAATCGTTTCTCGCTAGCTTTACATGTTTCCTTCAAAGTCCAGGATTCTCGGAGCTTGTTCATGCAAGCACGACAAATTTTCTGTGGAAGTTGGTCGTTCGGCTTGATCTATCGAAAACAAAATCCATTTGTAATCCAACTATGTATACAATTTTGATCTTGCGTCGAAAGGTTGAATTTCAAAAGGTGGAAGAGTTTTTGAAAAGGCTGAATTCTCAAAATGCCGAAATAGGCACGCGCGGGGAAGTTATAGTCCACTTGCCTCGCGCGTGCCCTTTTCACCGTTTGATAAATGTTATAATTTTATTTCAATAATATTTCTGCCTTTTGAAAATTCAGCGTTTAGATTTTTTCGGCCTTACAAAAATTCTGCCTTTCAACCGTGGTCCAAAATTTTCTGTGCTATTAATCTTACATCAACATCCAAACATCCGGCCATAACTTCACCAACAGTTCGAACCAAAGCATCATCCGGCTCGTGCCCCTCCAATTCTCTAATTTCTAGGGTAGTGGCGAAAATGGAAACAAAAGATGACTGCTCCTGCTCGTCGGCGCGGGTGCATATCCGGCAGAGATTCTCTACCGGATGCATATTCGTTCGGTGCTCAGCTTCCTAAAATTCACAATTGCATTTTATTTTGGATTATTTTAATGTGATTTTTTCCGAAATCTTACGGACACGAAAACTACTGTTTGCTGGACTTTGTTTTGATAGGATTTGATAAACGAATTTTGACAGCATCTAAAATCATCGGCATCATCGTCGTGCAACGTTCAGCTCCTTGAACACTTCACTGACGGCGTCGCATATTTTCTCTCCTCTCGACCTCTCAAAAAAATGTTTGTTTTCATTTTTTAATTAAACCGAAAATCTGTCAGTGTACAGGCGGTGATTTTAGATCGGCTTCTTAAAAGTGTGTTTATCTCGTAAAAAGTTAAGAATTTTTGGAAATTTTAGTTTTATGTAACCGATACGATGGACGTCTGTCGAACGTGCATGAATAAACGCGGAAGTGAGCTGGTTGGAGACGATTTTCACTCGATTTTTTCTCTGGTAGAGGAGGAGAATGTGTACATTGCTGATTGCCTGGCACAGTGGGTTGGGCAAACGGTAAGACTTCATAATATATTATAAATTAAAAATATAATGTTATAAATATATTTTATACTAAAATATATTGAAGAATCTTAAGAAAGTATTTTTGCTGACGATTCATTGAAGCCTTGTTAATTTGACAGACGTTCGCTAAGTGAAAGATCTTTTACTGAACTGAACTAAACTTACGAGGAAACTGAAAGTCTCCCAAAAACTACTCAAGCAAATGCACTATGCATTATTTTTGAAGAGGTAACAATCGTGAAGGCCCTAATACGCTGTTAAGCAAAAAACCCTAAATACGCTGTTAAGCAAAATAACCATACAACATTGATTAGGGTAGAACTCAAAGTCAATTCAAAATAGAGCTGGAATTAGGGCGTAACAGCTTTTGTAAACAATGACTTCTCTCGATGATTGTTAGAAAGTCAAGGCCCGCCCACGCAAATTAACATCACCATCGAATATAGGAAGGCTTCCCCTTCCTGATAGTTATGTTCGTTTGCGTGGGCGTTCCTTGAATTCCTAGAAATCATTGTTTACAAAAGCTGTTACGCCCTAATTCCAGCTCTATATAGAATTGTGTGAGTTCAGACAAGGCTTTTTAGATGGGAATTTCCATTGCGATTGTATGCCAGGTTCGTATCTAAATTAACTTCTCAGAAGAATTTTAAGCGAGTTTTGATGAGAATACCAAGGGAAATTCGAAAGATTATTACAAGTGAATTCTGTTCTATGAAAATTCCGCGAAAAACACCAAGGAAATCGAGTTTTGAGGGTACAAATTTCAGAAGAAAAAAAAACAGCTGAACGCAGTTATTTGCTGATCACCATTTTCTCATAGGATGACTAGTCAGCCAAAACTTGGCAATTGTCTTGTTTTGATCGCCATCTAGTAATTAAATTTCCCTTTTTAGATCGATGAAAATGATGGTATGCCTTCGGAAGTTTGCCAACCCTGTCTGGAAGCAATCAAATCCATTGCAGTTTTCATTGACAATGCCAAAGAATGTGATAGCAAGTTGCGAATTTGGCTGGTTCCTGACAAATCGCAGGATGAAATGCTAGCATGTGCTGATATGGATATCAAAATTGAACCAGAAGAAATCTCTACCGATGTACTCTCAGAACGAGCTTCTGACGAAGAACAGTCAACAAAACAGGAAGATGCTGACACTTCCTCCATTGATAGTGAAGAAGAAGAAACTCCTAAACGTCGAAAAAGGACTTCCAAAAGACGACGCAAAGCCTCCTTGAAGTCAATGGATATGTTGGATGAAAAGGAACAGGAAACGTTCAATATCATTGAAGTTCAAGATAAAATGATTTGCTGTGGATGCTACCTGCTTTTCGACAATGAAGCGGAATTGAAACTACACGGAAAAACTGTTCACGAAGAGACCAAAAGAAGAAATAATCCCGTAAATCACAGCAAAAACGTCGTTTGCAAGATTTGCTACAAACGATTCGAACGTGATTCGCAACGCCAAGGACACCGCGAACGATATGAAAGTATCGAAAGAGTGTACGAATGCAAAAAATGTAACAAACATATTGTAAACTCTGGAAGCAGATACAAACATGCACACAACCACCCAGAATGGAACGTTGCAACTCCAAGAATGTATCTAGTCCCGATGTCCCGTCTGGAAAAATATGGATATCTGTGTTGTGTTCGAAACTGTACATCGTCTCATACGTCGGAAGATTCGCTCCTTGAACACATCAAGAAAGACCATAATTTGAACAGAAATGATCGAGCTCTCAGCCCTTCTGGTGACTTACAATGTCCTTTTTGTCTCCGGTTTTTTGAATCGAAAGCAAAGCTAGCCGGCCATTACATTAATCGATACGGTTCAGTTTCTTACCAGAGAGAGTACCAATGCCATGAATGTGGAAAAGTTTACAGCTCACTGTCGTTACTGAGGGCTCATGAAAACAAGCACGCAGAGGTAAAGCCTCACGAATGCGATGTTTGCTTTAAAAGGTTTTATAGTGAAGCTGTTTTGAAACAACACAAGCTAATACACACACAGTCGAAAACACTGGCATGTTCGATATGCGGTATGACGTTCCGGACGAAAATGTTCCTTGTTAATCACTATCGAGTACATAGTGATGACAAACCGTTTGTATGCGACGTTTGCCATAAGCCCTTCAGGCACTCTTCATCGCTGTTTACTCACAAGAAGATTCATAATCCCAACATGCAGTACAAGTGTTCAGAATGTGGAAAAGGATTCACGGATACGGCAAACTTGAAACGTCACATGGTATCGCATACGGGAATTAAACCCTACCAGTGTAATTTCTGTGACAAACGATTTATGCGATTGACGGAAAGATCTGAACATGAAAGCACAGTTCATTTGGGTGTTATGCCGTACGCCTGTGAAGTATGCGGAAAACAATTTTCGGCCAAGCGAACGTTCCAAAAACATCAACAAGCATGCGGCTTACAACTCTTCTGATCTATTTAACTTGACAACAAGTTTCAATTTAAACTGTTTGATGCAAATATATGCTCTTAATTTCCTACTGTCATAAGCCTTGTTTAATAAAACGATAAAAACTTGATTTAGAATGTGTCTTTATAGTTCGTACATCTTATCACATTTAGGCCTGGGAACAAGGCAACATGACTGAATATATCTAGATATTTGTTGATGTATCCATCATTTTATTTGGTTTCAATATAAACATTCGTAGAATGATTACAAGAATGCATTTTACCAATAGAAACAATAGACTATAGAGCACTAATGGCGGTGTCGGGGCTGTCGAAACATCTGTTGTTTGCTCGAATAGACTTATCTCATTTGACGCCATTGTGTCTAAGGAGCTGTACCCAAAAGGTTTGCTTCAGAACAAAGGGAATATTCGTCCACTATAGTTTAGTATCTCCTAGTTTTTTTTTTTTTTTTTTAAATCTTTATTTTAGAGATTTTTAGCCTGAGGCTAGTTCATCTCTTTAGTATCTCCTAGATCCCTAATAAAAATAACCATAAAAGAGAGCTTAACGACGTGTTCGGGGTATCATCCAAACCATTTGTGGGATAGTTTACCCATCCGGGATACAGTTCGTTTATGGTATTTGTTTATTAGGGTTATCTCTAGGGGGAGAGGTAGCTCATCGATTCTTCCGGTTCGCCTCCTAGCATCGTGCTATAAGGTACCAGGCGATAACCAGGGTAGTTGATCGATAGCTCGATGACGTCATTTCGTTGGCGTCTGCAATGGGAAATTCTCATAGCAGTCGTTGACGATGGGACGTTGTCGAGTTGTTGAATAGCAACTATCGTGGTAACTCACCGATTACCTGTCGATCTGCCAAATTTGGAAAGACGTCTGCATTGAACTGTCTCATATAATAATATTCCGCCCACTATATCACAAGAAATTGCGAGTAGCTGAGTGGAATGGAGATAAGTTAAGCATTGGGTACAGGACCAAGTCTCCCCTGGGTGGTGCCAAAAGATGAGCGCAATAGAATCATCAAGTTGCCATAAGGCACGGAATGAGATTATTGCATGGCTGGGTAGTCACAGTCTGCCATTCGTTAGTCATTTCAGGTGGATTAGAACAGGTTTAGGTGGGCGTTGGCCAGATTTGGATTTTTCAGATGTGATCCTGGATAGGACCCTGTCATTGAACGTCGCGTGAAAGTGGAACTTAATGAAGGCCTAAGTACTTTTTCGTAGTTTTTAGTTTTCGGATTTGAAAGATCGTCGGTTACAGTGGCCTGCTCACTGAGCAGAAAAACGCGGTCCCAGGTCCTTACATATCAAAGAGATTTATGGTAAAATCGCTTGTGTATCGTGTGTTTTGCGAAACTCGTTGTTGTCGTTGGTTCCGGGTTTGAATGGATACACAAATTTGAGCAACGGTATTATGTGATATGAGGGGCTCGGTGGCCTTAGAGCAACCGTTTTTGCTTACTGAGCAGAACATCATGAGTCTAATCTCAGGCCAATCCACATTCAAGATTCGTCAATCGTTTTATTTGTTAATATGACTACATGGTAATAACAGCAACTCGGTGATTAAAAAGGTGCTCGTCTGCCTAGTGGCAAACGTTTTTGCTTACTGAGCAGAAGACCGTGGGTTTAGTCCCAAGCTCCTTCGCGTTATATGATCGTTAGGACATCAATTCAGCTTATCGTTTACCAAAACGAACCCTGCTGCAAACCCAACCCTCTTATCCAACATCCCAGTGATTCCTCGTGGAAGTGCAGAGGTGTTCTCGGCTTCCATCAAAGCGAGTGTCATGTCAACACAATCCTTCCCATTCCTTTCTTGACCTGTGTTCGGGCGCGGCCGGCGCTGGTATTGCCTAATTTAAGATCACCAGTTTTTACACATTGAGGATGATTGCTAGTCCCAAGCATCGTCTATTGGTTCTCTGTGTAATTACAGCTGATCTGGCAGTAACAGAGTAGCAACCGTGGGCGGTCAATCAAGCTCAAGCTCAAGCTCAAGCTTTGTTTATTAGGGTTATCTCTATAGTTTTATCCTCGGTTTTATCTCAATAACCTTAAAGAACCCACTAATATGGGAAAAGTTAACTTTTTGCTAACTACACATCCCTATTAGGTTTTGCACCGTCGGGGTTAACCTCAATCTGATGACAGTTTAGTGGTACTGTTTACGTGGACTTAGCCGATTTTTTCTTGGGTGGATTTTCTCGATAATTTTTCAGACTGCAGTGAGATGTAAACCACATTTCTGCAATGTTTACGAGCAACATCCTTGCAATGCGCTGTTCCTCGACAATTTTCAAGTTAAAATTCGGAAATTTTAGAATTTTTTTTCTTCGAAAAAACGACTAAGTGCTCGTAAACAGTACCACTGAACTGTCAAAAAGGTTCAGCCGATTAACACTGAGTTCATTCGTGACGTCACGCTGCAGAACCTAATTAGGTTTTGCACCGTCGGGGTTAACCTCAATCTGATGACAGTTTAGTGGTACTGTTTACGTGGACTTAGCCGATTTTTTCTTGGGTGGATTTTCTCGATAATTTTTCAGACTGCAGTGAGATGTAAACAGCATTTCTGCAATGTTCACGAGCAACATCCTTGCAACGCGCTGTTCCTCGACAATTTTCAAGTTAAAATTCAGAAACTTTAGAAATTTTTTTTCGAAAAAACGACTAAGTGCTTGTAAACAGTACCACTGAACTGTCAAAAAGGTTCAGCCGGCTAACACTGAGTTCATTTGTGACGTCACGCTGCAGAACCTAATAGCAATTCTCCATAATGAGGGTTAACTGTACTGGTGTAGCCGGGCTGAACAAAATTTGTAAACAAAAACTCTGCTTCAAAACGTTAAAGAATCAAAACGAAAAGCAGCAGTAAAAATTGTTTCACAATAAATTCAGAAACATCTTGTCAATTGATTGAAAACTATGCTTTAAGGGCGCTTCAACCGAAAGTGCTTATAATATTACATCTGTTTAAAAGTTGGTAAGTTTTGATTTCTTATTATTTTTGTATCAAATGCGTTGTATCAAACCAAATTCAGATGTTGGCATTTTCTGACTTTCTGATAGTGAACAAATCCGTTAGGGTGGTTCATTAATCCGCGGGTAAATAAGTAGTTTCCGTTCATAATATAAATTATACAGTTTGGCCCGTCGAGCCACTGATTGATCTAGATGCCGATCATCCCGCTCTCGTCGTGTCATTTAGTTTATCTGCGCCGATTCTTTTTACGCCGTCATCTGAGTGCTACTCTTTGGACTTTCGCCGGGCCGATTATGTTGCATTGAACAATGCGCTTGCGGAAATTGATTGGCAATTTATCGAAACTGCCGCTAGCGTGAATGATGCAGTGGATTTTTTCAGTGCTGCACTGGAAGATGCTATTTTCCGCATTGTCCCAGCTCGACGACCTCCGCTAAAGCCTGCATGGTCTAACCCACGCCTACGCGTGCTAAAACGTCAACGCTCTGCCGCCCTCCGAAAGTATTGTAACTCTCGCTCGCCGTACTACAAACGACTGTTCAATTTTGCGAGTCGTAGTTATCGAAATTACAATCGTTTTCTCTACAATCGACACGTGAGACGCACGGAAGCGAACCTTCGCACGAATCCGAAAAGTTTTTGGTCGTTTGTCAACTCAAAACGGAAGGAATCCGGATTGCCTTGTTCCATGTTTCTCGGGAATGACTCGGCTAATAGTGAAAGAGAAAAATGCGACTTGTTTGCTCGTCATTTCAAGCAAGTGTTCAACGATTTCTCCGCTTCGCCAACACAAGTGCTGGATGCTGCTGTTGGGATGCCACGTGATGTGTTTAGTTTCGTTATTCCGCGCATTTCAGAAGACATGGTGATAGCCGCAACACGCAGACTGAAGCTATCGTTCGCCTCCGGACCTGACGGCATTCCGTCATCAGTTCTAAAACGTTGTGTAGCCAATCTCTGCCTTCCACTTGCGAGGCTATTTAATCTCTCGGCACAGCAATGTGAGTTCCCCTGCCGCTGGAAACTTTCTTATCTGTTCCCAGTGCACAAAAAAGGCGATAAACGGAATGTCATAAATTATCGTGGAATCACCTCCCTGTGTGCCTGCTCAAAACTGTTCGAGATTATCATAAATGGTGCTCTGTTCGTACGCTGCAAAAATTATATCGATACAGAACAACACGGTTTCTACCCGAAGCGCTCCGTGTACACGAACCTGGTGCAGTTCACTTCTAACTGTCTGCGATGCATGGATTTAGGATGGCAAGTCGATACTGCGTATATGGATCTAAAAGCTGCATTTGACACGGTGGACCATAATATCCTGCTGGCCAAGCTGGAGATACTTGGCATCTCGTCAACTGCTGTGGATTGGTTCAGATCTTACTTGGTGAATCGCTACGTACATGTCAAGATTGGCGCGTCGGAATCGGATGTTTTCTCAAACAACTCGGGAGTCCCGCAAGGCAGTAACCTAGGACCACTACTATTTTCGATCTTTTTAAACGATGTCGCCTTGCTGATACCATTTGGATGCCGCGTTTTCTATGCAGACGATACGAAAATCTACCAAATTATTAAAAGCCTCTCGGACTGCTGGGATCTCCAGAATATGTTAGGTATTTTTGCTGACTGGTGCTCAAGAAATTTGATGAGTCTAAGCATAGAAAAATGTAACATTATTTCATATCACCGAAAAATTGAACCAATCATGTTTGACTATGTTCTCTACGGACGCTGTCTTGCTCGTGTAGAGCACATAAAGGATCTCGGCGTTACCTTGGACTGCAGACTCACTTTCAGAATCCACTACAATGACATCATCTCCAGAGCTAATCGACAATTGGGCTTTATTTTCAAAATTGCCGACGAGTTTCGTGACCCGCTATGTCTCAGGTCACTTTACTGCTCGCTTGTGCGATCCTTATTGGAGTCAAGTTCAGTTGTTTGGTGCCCTTTCCATGCTAGCTGGATCACTAGAATTGAATCCGTTCAACGCAAGTTTGTGAGATATGCTCTTCGTTTCCTCAACTGGCGTGACCCAACGAACTTGCCACCGTACGAGGAGCGTTGCCGTCTCCTGGGAATCGAGCCATTAGAGGTGAGACGGACGGTCGCTCAAGCTATGTTCGCCGGAAAGCTGCTTACAGGTGACATTGACTGCCCAACACTGCTGTCACAACTAAATATGTATGCCCCTGAGAGGTCTCTTCGTCAACGCGACTTTCTGTTTTTGGAACCACGGAGCCGGAATTATACACAACACGAGCCAATTCGAGCAATCAGCCGGCAATTCAATAACTTTTTTTATATGTTCGACTTCAATGTATCAGCTGACGTGTTTCGTCATCGGCTACTTGGCCTTTTCCGTACCGTTGACCGTAACTATTTAGTTTAAGTTTTATTCATTTAGACAGTATTTGTCAGTTGAATTTTTCAATAAACAATAAACAACAATAAACAATAAACAATATAAATTATCTTGAGAGGATTCATTCAATCATATTCCAGCCCTCTACAGAATACGATGGATATTTGCCGCATATGTATGCTTAATGAAGACACAAACTTCATTTCAATATTTTCGTCTATCGGCAACATTAGCATTGCAACCACAATAATCTCGAGTTGCTCCGTTCAGGTATGGCTTTGATTTATACAAAATACTCTTATCTCATGTTAACCTTTTATCCGTAGCTCTCAAAAGATGATGGTCTTCCGAGTCAAATCTGCGAATCCTGTGCTCAAGATGTGCAAATGGTACACGCTTTCATTGATAAGGTTCGAACTTCTGATTGCAAATTGCGCGAAATTAAGAATGAAAAAAGTGAAAAAATGGCATTCGAGGTGATTGTTGTTAAAACGGAATCGATAGATGAAGATCAATGCGTCAACAGTAACGGCGATGCAGAACAAAACCCCGTCGAATTTAAATCCGAGGAGGAATCAGAAGATGACAAGCTCAGCACTATTAGAGCACGTGTCAAAAAGGCCCAGCTGAAAAAGAAAAAGGAAAATGAGTCACCAAAAAAATCCAATAGAAAACGGAAATCAAAAGCTAAAGTCGAGACTGATGATGAGTTTGATGAAGACAATGATAACGACGTTCTGGATGAAAAAGAACTTGAAATGTTTGAATCTATCAAGTTACCAGAAATCAACTATGTATGCTGTGGTTGCTATCAATATTTTGAAACTTCTGAAGAGCTCGAAATGCATATTGAGGTGCATAAGAAGTTTTCCGTTAAGAGAACTGACACAATACATTGTGAAATATGCAAACGAAGATTCAACAAGCCCAAAGCCTTAGATAGCCATTCGAAGAAGTTTAAAACAGTAACAAAAATATACGAATGCCTCAAGTGCAAAGCCCGATTCATCAGTGCTGTCAGCAGGCGACGGCATGCCCATAGACACCCTACAACTATAGAAGATAAAATGAAGAAGGAGTACGGTGCAATCCTGTGTTGTGTTCAGGGTTGCACAAAATCTTTCGCTTCTGAAGAATTGCTCGTAAAACACAGTCAAGAAACTCATAAGTTGTATAAACTTACTTACAAGGCAGAAGATGCTACACAAAAATCAGCTGAGTGTCCAGTTTGTTTCAAAAGATTTGCCTCCGAAATATTGCTTCGCAGGCACAGGAAACGCAATTCGAAACCTATGGACCACCAGTGTGCGATCTGCGGTCTGAAGTTCCGTACAAAGGATGTTCTGACCTTCCACGAGATGAACCACGCTGAACAGAAGCCATTCCAGTGCGAAATTTGTAAGAAGTACTTCTCGAGTAACAACGCATTGAAGGTGCACCAACGATATCATTCTAATGAAAAGCCTTTCGTATGTGTGACCTGTGGTGCTGGGTTCTACCAGATGGCTCAACTGGTAACCCACGAGTACGACCACGGTAATACACCACTACCGTTCCAGTGTGAGGTTTGTGATAAATATTTTAAAATGAAAAGCGGTCTTATCAATCACATGCGCATGCACACCGGCGAACGACCATTCCCCTGTAGGCACTGTTCGATGTCATTCTCGAACCATACCACTCGGCACAGGCATGAAATGAACCACACCGGTTAGTGAAAGTTGTCATGATAGTGAAGATAAACAATAATTCTCCAATGCTTCTCCATACGATTCAGGTAACAAACCATTCAAATGCACTTATTGTGATCAAAAGTTTACAATCAAGCGGCTGCAGTTGGAACACGAATGCAAACATACTGGTGAGTTTTTGACAATTTTTGTTGTTTTTCACTCAAGCGCAAACAATAGTTTAAAAAAATGTGATCACTGGAATTCTATAGGATAGTTCATATAGATTTTTTTTGTAAATTCATTTATTTATCAAGGCTCAAATGCGGAAGCTTTACGGAGCCGAAATTTCTTTTTACTTTTTACAATGCTTCTTAACACTAGAGTTAGTACAAGAGGTGTCCGAATACTCACGACTTATTCGAGGTTATGGGCTACAATATATTAACAGGTAGGGAAGGGATCAAGGAAAAGGTACACAAAGATGCGATTGATATGTTTATCTCCGCCGCCGTTGAATGGCTGTTCCCTCGCCAACATAAAGGTCAGAGCCCTGGTCATCAACTGAGAGAAGGTCGAACGGGTTATTACAGATGGAGTAACTGATCCTAGGATTTCCGCGAAGGAACGCATCGGGCGAGCCTTCAATCTGCTGGAGCTTTTCTCCCTGCTGTTTGTACTTTGCACAATCAGCGAGTGCATGCGGGATTTCCAAACAATATGGATATTTTGGGGTGGCACGACAAGAACCCTCCGAATGTTTCTCCCCACATATATCACAGCGTGGCTTGTTGCCACAGAAGGCTGAAAATATCTAGTTTTAAAAAACTACCTCATCAGTAAATTCCCTAGTCCAGGGGGTAAGCTACTCTGCCACCTTGTGTTTGTGCTTATTGTGTTTCATGTGTGTTTTTGTGTGTCGGAAGGTTTTTCTGGGTGTTTCATCGTATGGACGGAGTTGTCAAAACTTCAACAGAAAAAATAAATTTACTGGCAACCATATCCTCAATCATAACATAACGCTGAAAATTACAGACGCCCTGTGATTACTTTGCTGTTGTTTGTTTAAAGAAATAGCACAACCTGCGGGAGGATTATTTGGAGCTAAAATGACCGCAGCCCAGAGCACCGGATATCAGAGTAAGACATGGAAAGGAGCGCGAGCTATACCACTGACTTGCTGCGTTAGAATCAGTAATAGAATTCCATAAGCGTTTCGCAACTGTAGAGATCCAATGTTAATCAGCAGCGGCTACCGTTCTGGGTAACTTGTCCGAAAATTAGTTCTTGACACGGGCATTGGTCCTCTCGCTGTAAGAGGAAGACGAATGTATACGTGCCACCCGAGAAGAAGGATCAAGCAAAGGGTGCATTTGTAATTAATTTGAGGGGCCGTGATTGCTTTTCTTTAAATCATAAAACTTAAAAATAAAGTTACAAGTCTCAGAATTATTATAACTATAGGCTCTTTTTATGCACCATCAATGTAGAGTGCGCTAGCCGATTTTGAGAGGAAATGTCATCCAATCCATTTGTTTACATCATGATGACGATTTTAAAAACCCAAAATAATATACATTTCATTGTTCAACTTGAACATTTTCATCGGGAGTGGTCTTATTTTTCGATTATCTACAGATCTGAACTGATTTGCAGCTGAAATAAACACACATTAAAAATCCGGAAGATCATAACCGCTGAAACAATTTTATAAATCTTAATTTTTCTCATCAAAAATATATGGAACTACCAGCCGGATCACTGCAAACCCGATACAGAAAACAAAATATTCCACGTGGATGATAATTTCAAGCACCTGCGGTGGATAAATTAATCAGGGAAGGTATAAATATTTCCCTCTTCCTATGCTTCACGGTGAAAATTTCCACCCTCATCACTCTTTTGAGGGTTACTCTATTCATCGCCAGAAGCTGAAACAATCGCTTAGTTTCTATTGGATTCGCCTATTCCATGTCCGAGATCTTGATTTTAAGTCCCAGAATTATGAAAAGGCAGGTGTATTTATGTATTAAATTTCGTCCGTTTTTTTTTTAACTGGAACATAGTCTTGGAAATTTGTTGATCCGTGATCATATTTTTTCCAAGTCTCAGAACCTTGAAAATCCTTCACAATTTGTCTATACTATATTCCCTAATAATAATTGTATGGTTAATTTGCTTAACGACGTGTTCTGGGTATCATCAAAACCATTTGTGGAATAGTTCAATGATTTGGGTTATCGTTCGTTTATGGTTATTTTTTATTAGGGTTGCAATTTTGTCATTTTGTCCAAGTCCCAGAATTTATTTATTTATTTGAATTTGGGATATTAATTTGCCTGAACTATATATAGTTTTCTCTGAGTGCATGAACAATTTCAGTTGAGACAACCTTGCCTGTATCGAGTAAACCATGACAACGCCAAAGAAATTCGTGAGTTTGACATTTCAACAAAAATAACAAACATTTTTTGATTTCACTCAGAAAAAAGTTTTTCCGCGATTTCAATACGGTTTTTGAGTAAAATTATTCAGTTTTTGGTGAAAGTTGTATCCAAAATGAATATCTGTCGTGTTTGTATGCAAAACGGTGAACAATCCACCGGTGGTGGGCTGATTCCGATATTTTCCAAATTGGAAGATGCTTTCATTGCCAATGTCATAGTGGAGTGCACTTCGATACAGATTCTGGAGGACGACGGACTTCCGACGTCGATCTGCCAGACATGTGTTGACGATTTGAAGAATTTTATCGAATTCATCAGAAAGGCAAGGGAGTCGGATAGAAAGCTGAGAAAAATGTTCAAGTCTGAAAGCGGTAGGAGGGCGGCTGAGGTGAGTGAGACAGGCGAAGAAGACAAGAACTGGAACCCTGCACTGGAGATGTCTGTGTACACGGATAATCTTATGGAGGTCAAGGAGGAATTAGACTCCGATGAAGAGGAGGACGAAGAGAAGGTTGACGATCATCAAAAGGAAGACAGTGAACCAGATGGAGATGAAGATTTCATAGCGGATGAAAATGACAGCGACTGGAAAGGACAGGAATCGGAGGAAGAGGAAGAAAAGCCGGTGAGAAAAAGAAGCCGAAGGAAAAGGATTCAAGACACAGATGAAAGCGATTATGATTCGGATGTTGAGATCAAGAAACCCAAAAGGGGAAGGAAACCCGGGCGAAAGGTTTCTAAGAAAGTCGACGAGGAAGATGAAGATTACGGAAGTGACGATGTTCTGGATGAGAAGGAACTGGCCACATTTAATGTCATTGATATTGAACATGGTCAATTGCTGTGTTGTTCTTGTCTGCAGATCTTCAATAACTCGGAAGATCTTAAGATTCACCGGGAGAAACATGTCAAGAGGCGTCGAGTGAACATGTCCAAGACTAACATTTGCCAGATTTGCTACAGAAGATATTCAACGCCATATGCCTTGAAGTTGCACTATCGACGCATGAAAGAAGCAACGAAGGTTTATGGATGCACAAAATGTCCATCTAGGTTCATAGATCAAAAGCGTCGACGGCATCACGCTCACAATCATCCTCGAGAGAAGGAAATCATTCCTTCCAAAGTAATAGTTGCTCCCATTCCTGTAGTTGTGCAGGAAGAATACGGAAGGATCTGCTGTGCCCAAGCTTGTTATCAATCGTTTGAAACAGAGGAACTCCTGCTTGCTCACGCTCACTCGGCTCACAAAATGAACAAGGTTGAACAGTCCCTGGACGAAAATAAGGACAAACCCATCGAATGTCTTGTCTGTTTCAAACGATTTTACGACGAAATATCCCTGCAGCGGCATCAGCATAGAAACTACAAACCTCTTAGCCACCAGTGTTCCGTTTGTGGTCTGAAAGTACGTGGTGGAGAAGCATTAGCCACCCACGAACGGTCCCATCGCAATGAGAAACCATTTGAGTGTGAAGTCTGTCATAAGAATTTTACCAGCAAGGGCAGTTTAAAAGCACACATGATGGTACACAGTGGAGAGAAGCCATTCGTTTGTACCACCTGTGGGTGGAGTTTCCGCCGGAAACGAAACCTCCAGGTGCACGTACTTTCCCATTCGGATAATCAACCGTTCCAGTGTGAAGTGTGCCAGAAGGCATTCAAGTCGAAGGTTCACCTGCAGTATCACATGAGAACGCACACAGGCGAGAAACCGTACCCATGCCGGTAAGAAGAGAGAAGGCGGATTCCAATCGCGGTTAGTTGATGGTATAGCTAATGTTTTATCATGCCTTCATTACAGCTACTGCGACAAAGCATTCGCTGATCACACTAACAGACAACGACATGAGATGTCTCATACCGGTAGGTCTCTCTTAGAACATTTTTGCCGGCAACCCTATTCAAATTGACAAAATAATCCATAGAAAACTGCTATTTTATGGATCATGCTTAAGTTTTTATACGCAAAAGTAAGGGGCTGGGAGGTCGTTTGAACCAATGTATACATTCAAAACAATAAACGAACGACCAATAATCTTTCAAAAATATTTGTTTCATTACAGGTATCAAACCGTACAAGTGCACCTTCTGTGATAAGACGTTCATTCGTAAGCGATTCCAGGTGGATCATGAAAGCAGTCACACAGGTTAGTGTCTGGTTGTTTCGACAAGCGAAGCATTCTTAAACTAATGATCCTCTCAAACATCAACAGGAGTCAAACCGTACCGCTGTGACATGTGTAATCGAAGCTTCAGTCAAAAGTCTGGCTTACGTCGGCACCTGGAGTCTCACCCGCTGGCACCAGAAAATGCAATAGCACTGGCTGCACCTTCACCAATGCCAGCTCAGGCATCGACTCACATGGTGGTGGGCGTAGATTCATCAATGTCGCCACCGCCGGTTCCAATGGCCCCGATGAACACTATGGGTGATCATCCGGGACCTAGCAGTAGTAGTGGCAGTAGCTACTTTCAACATCCACAAAATGTAAGCGCTGATTTGCATTCCAATGTTTAGAACACGGGAATTAAGCGTGTAATAACATTTGGAATTAGACATTTGTAGATTAGATCTGACACATAGAGGTTTGATAGAACAAAAAAGAATTCCGGATAAAATCCGACGGCGTCGGTGGTTGGGTGGTATGCGTGCTCAATCACAGCGTTGGGATTTTCTGAGGCGAAAAATCTCTGTTCACGTCTTCGTACGAAAGGGAATAAAACCGATATGTAGGGTACATATGAATTTGCCTCTGTAGCGTCGGTGATTGGCATTTACGTGGCTGAACAGGTACCGAGGAAAAAAAAGTAGAGCATACTATAGTTATTGCATACATTATAAATGCGGGAACGCTTTTACATTAAATCATTTTAATATCTTCCGCGCACTTATTCCTTGATAGACACCAAAACGATACACCGTAAAAGCGCACTTTTATAATCGATTCAGCACTTTTCAAGAGTTCAGTTTCGAATGCAAAATACAAAAATGGGATCGGAAACATCATTTTACAAGGTATGTTGGTTGTCATCGTCTATAATTTAAAAACGATTGGATTTCGGATGTTAAAATGTAAGTAGGTAATATCTGTTTACTCTAGCTATTCAAATGGTAGAATGTCATGTTAATGTTTAAATCATTAACTGAAAACTAGCAGAGGGCTTCATTTCAATCATTTAAAATGTAGACATCACCGTCTTCATCATCGTCCTCGGGTTCTTCCTTCATCATTGGATGTCCCACATATGCTGCTTCGTCAGCGGTGGTCAACTGGACTGGGTTCAGGAATGAGGGGTAACAATTAGGCAAATGTTTTTCGTACGCCGGTCCACCGAAGAAAATGTGCATGCAGGTGTTACATGAGTACACCTTTTTCCGGTTAAACTTCTGATGCAGTCCCAGGAGACTCTTCTTCTTGAATCGGCGCCAGCAGTGTTGACACATAAATGGCTTACTCTGCATGTATACGGTAGCAGTCGGATTGTACCGCAACCGATGCTCTTCCGTACAGTGGACTTCCAAATCGCTACGATTCATAAACATGTGATTACAAGCGCAACACCGATGCCACGTGAACTCAATGATGCTGAACCGATCGGTACGTTCGGTGAACCGATACTGCGAGGGTCTGAGGTCGCATAGCCGCAGATCAGGCGACAACTCACAGTAGCCCGAAATGTACGGATCAGCGTTGGAATCGGCTAACGACTGCACATTGCTTACAAGTAAATGCTGCTCCGGATCGGGATCAAAAATGCTGTGTCCCATGGGTGGTTGATCTTCATCTGCATACAATTCTTTCTCCAGCTCAAACTCTTCGCGACTATGCTCGGTCCGCAGGTGGCTAAACAAGGTGTGCTTCTTTTCGAATATCAAATAACACTCTCGACAGCAGAACACGTTACTTTGCATTTCCTGGCGGTGATAATGCAGTGCATCTGCATATGGAAAACGGGAAAAGCATATCGGACACTGATGAGCCGTGACACCCGATTGATTCTTTCGGTGTACACTGAAAGAGTGTGATTGAAGCTCTTCAGATGAACCAAATGCCTGCCGACATCCACAACAGCGACGCGCAATGAAGATCAGCTCCATATAGTAGAAACGATCCAACGCTAGATGATAGAAGGAGGGATCATAGTTATGAAGATAAACGGCATGGCTTTTATTGCCGGAAGCTTGCAGCTGCTGTTGTTGGGAAGAGCTGCTATTCTCGGAAGCAGTGACCACTTCCGGATTGCACTGTTTTCTCAGTAAGTCGTCTGATTCCATACAAAGCTTTCGAAAACGATACGAAGCCTTCAATTGTTCCAAGCACTCAACGCAAATGTCCTGCGGCATGTTGGTATCCTTTGCAGAAACCTACAATTTTAATTCGAAAAAAATAATCTTTTACCCTACACTAGCAACCAAAACTTAATGTCTCTTACCGAAATGCTTCCCACGAACTCCAGCATAGATGCGATTGGTTCTACTGCGTCTTCTATTTCCTGCTTGAAAAACAAAGACACAAAACTAGGGGCAGCGTCGTTTTTGCTTTTACGGCATACGCGACAAATACTGTTCTCGGAGGACATTGTAGCCAGTGATTGTTATGTCACAAATTCAATAATTATACAGTGATAAAATTGTCGCTGGAAATAATTATGATCGAATCGTGAAAAGTTGGAAGAAGTTGTTTACGCTGAAGCCGCAACTGACTGATGATTTTGTGAATTTGTTGATCAATATGGAAGTGATGCCATTAAATGGGAATTTTGATAAATAAAGAGCTAATTTGGCGCATTTTTATGCTAGTCGTGTTTCACTTCCTCTGCGCACGTAACTGACATTGAGAACCAATGAGTACAGAGAGATGTGAAGCAGATCGTGAAATTTGTTGTTTAGGCTGTGAACCATTTGCCGAGTTAAATTTAACTCGTGGTTAAAAGTGACATTTCGAAAGTTATTTTCTATGTTCGAAAATCCCCGTGCTGTCGATCGACCGGTTTTCGAGCCACGGTTGTCAAAATTTAACTTCTTGTCTGTCAGAAATAACCATGCTCGGATAGCAGGGTTAATCGATAACTTTTCATCTGTCAAATTTTAACCAAAAGTTAAAATAATCCACCAAATGGTTCAGAGCCTTAGGCTGTGAACCATTTGCCGAGTTAAATTTAACTCGTGGTTAAAAGTGACATTTCGAAAGTTATTTTCTATGTTCGAAAATCCCCGTGCTGTCGATCGACCGGTTTTCGAGCCACGGTTGTCAAAATTTAACTTCTTGTCTGTCAGAAATAACCATGCTCGGATAGCAGGGTTAATCGATAACTTTTCATCTGTCAAATTTTAACCAAAAGTTAAAATTATCCACCAAATGGTTCAGAGCCTTAGTAAACCAAAAAATCAACGTAAACACAAGTAGTGACGTCACTAATTGCTTGTATCGTACAGGGGTTTTATTCACACAACTTAACCGATTGCTTCACCTCGGTAATCCATCTCATTGATTGAGAACAGGTATATAACAATATGAAACTAGCCGGCTTGGTTGTTCTTTTGCATTTTAAAGGAACTGTGAGTTGACGTCACACTCACTGTTACATAAACACAGCGGGAAATGGAAAAGACGACAAATTCACATTGCCAGACCTGTTCTCTTTGACATAGTGCAACCGCGACCACCGCGACAGACAACAGAAAGTAAACAATCACCAGCTTGACACCAAACGAACAAAAAAAAACTGCATTTTCTCATTTTCCTCGGTGTAACAAATCCTCATTCATTAATATTGCGTACTTTGGTAAGCATTCAATAATTAACATTTCTCACTGCAACTACAACTACAGCTCTATTAGTGATGAATATCCGACGAGCGAAGATCTGTCGGATTTGTCGAGCACCGGACAACGACGACCTGATCTCGGTACAACTGATCCAAGAAAGCGTCACCATCGCGCGGATGGTTGAGGGCCTGACCGGAATCGAGGTACCTACTTGCAACAGATCAGTAATGGGGTTTTATTACAGACGGTGATTTTTTTTTTTTTTTCTTACCAGGTGATGGCTGATAGAAATCTTCCGCAAAACATTTGCCTTCAGTGTCTGGAACGATTACGTAGTGCATATCAGCTTCGTCAGCAATGCATCGAGTCGGATCTGTTGTTGAGGAGGGAGATCTACCCGGATCGCGATCGCTTGGAAGCAGACAAGGATGAACCGAAAGGCATGGTGAAATTAGAAATTGAAGCATTGGACGAGAATGTAACCGAAGCGGCGGAGGAGGAGGAGGTTGAAGAGAACACAGCTAAGGAAGATGAACGCCATGAAATGTTGATTGTGAATGATGTGGAATCGAATGAAAGAATTGATTTGAAAATAATATTGGAAGACGTAGAGGTGGAGCCAGCAGAAGAACTGACAATAGAACACGAGGATAGTAAAATAGCAGCAGCACAGGAATTGATAGACATCTTAGCTCCAGAAGAGGAGAGGAACGACGGAAAGCCCGGGATGATGTACTTGAAGCACTACGCTGAAACGGATTATGAAGTTTTGTTTCAAAGCGATCACTACGAGCAGATTAAGTTTATCGCAGCTGGATGCTGTGGTTGCTCTGAACGGTTTCAGGATACAAAAGATCTGCTGGAGCATGGTCTGTTGGTGCATCAAAAGGATAGAAAATGTGGTAAGAAACCTCTTCATGAATGTCCCATATGCTTCAGACAGTTTTCCAAAACAGAAGCCGTTGTGCTTCATCGTAGTCACATCGATACCGACCGTTATCACTGTCGAGAATGCGATATACTACTCGACAACAGACGACGAATGTTGCAGCATCTAGAAAGAAGTCATGCCATCGTTGTAGATAATGATGAAGGGGAAGAGTATAGTGAGGAGGAAACAACCCATGCTGGTGGACACACTCCAAGCTTAACACTCACAGCGTATGGTAAAAATCAATACAGGTTGATTGGTACGGATAAAGATTACGATTTGGTAGAGTTCACATGGTTTCGATGTTGTGGTTGCGAAGATATGTTTGAAACTCGAGAAGATTTCGAAGCGCATTCGAAGCAACTGCATTTACCGGAACGAGTTGAACAGGACGAACAGAAGCTATATGAATGTAGCATCTGTTACGAACGTTTTGATAAGAAAGCATCGCTTACGTTCCATCGAAATAGACCCAATAAGCGACGCTTAGTTTGCCGGGTTTGCGAAGGAATTTTCAAAGGTGAGAGCTATCTGCGCAAACATATGGTCCACTATCATGGAATCTCGTTAGGGAGCACCGACTGTCTTCAATCGGTATCGGTTGAAAACATGGAAGTCGATAATGACGAAAAAGTGGCGAACTTAAGTGATACTTACAGCATACACGAAATTGAATATATCGAAGATCTCCCGGAGGAGCTAACCGGTTTTCAAGATCCAACTGATGATGACGAAATAGATTCTGGAGACGATGAAGACGAGGACACTCAAATGAAGGGAATAAGCAAATACGCAGCCACTAGGCAGCGCAAACAAATGGCATTCATCCCGGGTAATTTCATCCGTGTCATCGCAGAGCACGATGGGTACAATATTGTCGAAATAACGAAAGAGCGTTGCTGTTGTTGTCTCAAATTCTTCGATTCGTTGGACGAGATAAACCAGCATATGGAAGAGCATCAGGCCGAATCCTTGGCTGAAGAACTTCCTCCTTCCAAAAGGTTGATTCGATATGAATGTGAGTATTGTTTGAAAAAGTTCGATATCGCTATGATTTTTGTCATTCACAAACGGATTCGCGAGCAGAAACAATTTTACCAGTGTCGGTTGTGTGATTTCGTGATCGATTCCGAATCACGGCTGAAAAATCACATGCTCTATAACGACCAGCATGCTAAGTTTTTCAACCTGATTCGGGAGGATGTCAGCGACCGGTACGATACCGTAAAGCTCCCCGGCTTGCGGTGCTGTGGTTGTGGATCATACTTCGAAGATGAAAGTGCTTTGGCTGACCATTCGCGAAAGGAGCATCCTCGAGATCGAAAGAAGGATTTCGTGAAGCGGAAACAAGTTTGTTCGATCTGCGATAGACGATTCAACAATGTTGGTGAAGTGGCCACGCATCAGCAGAAGAAAGGGTCAACGATTCGTTACTATTGCAAACTTTGCGACTTTGAGTCCCCCAGCGAAGCACGGATGCTAAAACATCTGTACAGTTCAATTCACAACGAATCACTTCCATCGATCGAGGTGAAGCAAGTCGAAGTCGGTTATCGAAAACCAGGTTCGATACGGTACTGCTGCTTCGGAGAGTGCTGCCTCCCGTTCCATGACATCGGTAAGCTACAGGAACATGTCGAAGAGGTCCACCGGCGGGAAAGGGAAGCCAACATTGGTACGGCGGAAGGGGAGAGTTCCACGAATCGGTGGCAGTGCGATTGCTGCTACCGGATGTTTCGGACAGTAACGATTCTCAAACAGCATCAATTTGCCCATCGGGTACCGAAGAGCTTTGTCTGTGCGGTCTGTGGAGAAGCTAAACCAAATAAGACGGCGCTGACGACGCACGAGATGAAACATACCGGAAAAAGGCCCTTTGCCTGCAGTCTGTGTGATAAGGTAAGATCGATCGTTCGAGATAGATTTTAAATTTAAACATTTATTGGGATAACATAATTATCCAAAACGAGATATCCCTTAGGGTAATGGACAACCTCTCATTAGGACAGGATCTAGTGTATGTATTCGTCGGTTGTCTGCAAAGCTCTCTGCATCTTTCCAAAGTCTTCTTAAAAGCTCTGAAGTTCGCATATCATCTCTTAAGCACTTTAAAGGTCTTCATAGCTTCTTCTTCAGTAGATTTGTATTTAGCCGAGAAGCTATGCTCAAGTTTCCGTCACAAACACGAAAAGAGCAATAATTCCAAACTTTCAATGAAAAAATCTCATTGGTGGTTCACCACGGACCCTACTCTATCAATTGCTCAAAGTAAAATCAAGTTTCATCAACTATGTGAAAATTTATTAACGAAAGAGCAATTTGTGTAAAAAATGACCATGCCAACCCTGCATGTGATTACAATTTCCTGCACGTAATCATTAAATTTAGTTTCTGATTTTCGTGCCATCAAAAATTCGAAATAGTAAGGCAAACTAACTAACCAAACTAGCATTCATTTTTGGATTCTATCAACTTTCTTAAAAGATTTAGGGTAAAATGTCTCTAGAGTTGTCAATCAGATGAACTTGTACCTAGCTAGGGGTGTGACTCTCAAGATTTTTTAAGCTAAAAATACAGTCCAAGACGAACATCCTTTTTCTAAGTGTGTGCATCCCTCACAAGCGTTCACAAGATTGTGCAAGACGTTGCAAAAATTTGCGAGCGCTTGTGCATCCCTCACCCTACTTACGAAAAAGGATATTTCGTAACGGGAAATAATTGAAATTAATATCGGGAAAAATGCGGGAATTTCAAAAAAGGAAATTCAGTGGCAACCTAGTTGTTCAGATGAATAAGGCAGACCAGCAGCGTATCGTAGCGCTCCGCTGGTGGAATGAAGATAAGAAGAAGGCAGTCAAAGCCCGGCGCAAGGCACTTCTACGTGTAAAGCGGCTCCCCATCGGACACCACGACAGAGAGGAGGATCTTTGTCACTATCGTGAACTACACAACCAATGCCGACAAGAAATCCGTGATGCCAAGCGATCCTGCTGGATGGAGTTCCTGGAAGGGATGATCGCATCGCAATCCTCGGTCGATCTCTGGCAACGAATCAACGCCCTTAGTGGAAGACGACGCACGACACCACTTCACGTTCAGGTTAATGGTTCCACGGTTTCCGATCCTGAAACGGTAGCTGATGAACTTCGCCGAGCTCGCAACTATTGACAAGTATGACAACAAGTTCAAGCAGAAAACCAAGCCATCGACCGCATCCATCGCAGACTTAATAGTACCCCCCGACACCGCCAGTGCCGGTATAAACCAAGCTTTCTCTTGGCAGGAACTGCAGCATGCCCTTCGCGGCAGCAACGGGAAGTCGGCGGGACCCGACGAAATCGGATATCCTCTACTCAAGAGGCTACCGGTACCAGGACTGCTATGGATGCTAGACCTCTTCAACAAGCTCTGGCTCACTAACGGGTACCCAGCAGTATGCAAGGAAAGCTTGGTAGTTCCAATCCCGAAAGCCGGGGTAGTCACCCGTGAATTCAGCATGTTCCGTATCGAAGACCACAGCACGCTTTCCGACAAGGTTTCGGAACCTATTTCGCAACCCTAGAGGAAGTTCTCAAGAACGCCTACGACAGTGTTCTGCACACCGAGATAGTATCGCTCGGCATATCAAAGGCCTTCAACAGAACGTGGACGCCCCTCGTCCTTAAGCAACTAATCGACTGGGGTCTTAACGGACCCATCGTTCACTTCATCCAGAACTTCTTGTCCAACCGCTCATTCCGAGTCGCAGTCGGCAACACCAAATCCCGGCTTTTCCCCGAGGAAATGGGTGTCCCACAAGGATCGGTTATCGCCGTTACACTGTTCCTCGTGACGATGAACGGAGTCTTCCGTCAACTACCGAAGAACATATGTGTTCGTCTACGCCAACGACATCCTCATCATCACCACCGGACCCACGCCAGTACGTACAAGGATGAGAGCCCAAGCGGCAGTCTCCGCCGTCGTCAGGTGGGCCCACTCAGTAGGCTTTGAATTATCAGCCTCTAAAAGCATCAGGTGCCATGTCTGCCCTTCTCGACACAGAATTAGCGGACTACCGATCAAAATCGACGTGCAGTGCATACCGCTGAAGAAGACCATCCGGGTTCTGGGAGTTCTCGTTGACCGTTTCCTCAACTTTGAACAGCAGTTCAGTGCAGTCAAGAAAAATTTCCGCAGCCGAGTGAATCTCATCCGGATCATTTCCCGACAGAATAGATCGAACAACAGCAGCATCCGTTTTCACGTGGCGAGTGCATTTATCGACAGTCGCCTTCTATACGGGTTGGAGATGACTATAGTCGGTGTATAATGAGTCAGTTGAAGTCGCATCACGGCTTTCGAAAGATTCCCTTTATTTTCACTTGGCAACAGAGGACTTCTACATCAACTTCAAATGACTTCTAGCGAGAAAAAAAAAATAGCGGTCGTAGTAAATCATTATATCAGTGATTTAAACAAATTATCTTAACCAAAATAGTAGAAATTCTCATAAGTGATCATTACCAAACGTATCCCATGACAATTTATTGCTCACTGCGTGTTTATGATCATTTCTCGATTATATTTTATATTTTATTGCAATACCTTTCGTGCATCTTTCATAGCATCGTAATGTTTGTTTACTTTGCACGATAGGTAGCCGGTTTGACAGTTCAATAGGTATACTTGGCTTCACTCTTGGCGTGACTCATTATACCATTACGGAAAAAGTTTCGAGCGTGACAACACGTGTTTTTTCAAGTATTTGCGGATAATTTACGGATTTCGATTCAAGTGTTGAGAAATTGACAGACGTTTATTTTTGGAAGTAATTGTTTTACTGCGGAAGTGCTAAATAGAGTCGGAGAAGAGATTTGTTGAAAAGAGATTTGGGGGAAAAGGTGTACAAAAGCGGTACCGCCATATTGGAGGACGCCATGACATAACCTCATAAAATGGCAGATCCAACAAAGAAAAGCCCGGATCCTCCCGGGAAAAAGTATGAGATATGTGAATATAACCACACCGACAATGCCCCATATCGGATTATTGCCGAACTCGAAGATGACCAAGGAACCTGCAAAATTAAGAAACTGACGCTAGGAAAGATACTTTCCGCAACAGCACAATACAAAAACAATGTCACCAACATGAGACCCCTGGGACAAAAGAAAGTGTTGATTTTTGTTAAGAATTTTGAAGTGGCCAACAGAATGCAGAAAGACGAGAAGTTGAAGGAACAAAACTACAAGCTGTATGTTCCCAGAAGCTTCATTTCAGTCACTGGAGTTGTGGCTGGAGTGCCTACCGATATGACCGTAAAGGAAATCAAGGAAAACATGCAATGTCTAGTTCCAATCTTGGATGTCAATCGGCTTCACCGCTTCGTCGACAATGTAAAGACTGCTAGCAACAGGATCAGTGTTACTTTCAGAACAAGTAAGCTGCCAGAGGAGGTCAAGCTTTACTGCTGCCTTAACAAGGTGATGGCGTTCATTAACAAACCGGTTATCTGTCACAACTGTCTCCGATACGGACACAAGACAGACTCTTGCCGATCGAAAAAGCGATGCACGGTGTGTGCACTTCAACATGAAGGAATGGACAGTGGAGACTGTCCAAACCCAAAGAAGTGTATGTACTGCAAGAAGGCACACAGAACAACGGACAGTGAATGTTCAGAATGGTCAAGGCAAAGGAACATCAAAACCATCATGTCCAAGACGAACTTGACATACATGGAGGCGCGGGAACTCAATCCAGTGTTGACCCAAAATCGATACGAAATACTCGAAAACGTGGAAGAATTCCCGACACCCGCAGACAGTTTCGCTGATATGGTTGCAGGCAACTTCAAGACTAAGAATCCACATCAGTATCGAAAGGAGAGGAACAAGCGAACACTACAACAGGAGGATGTCAACATCGCGGATAAAGTTCAAGTATTTGCTGACAAGAAGAAGAAGACGGATCAGGAAGGAGAGAGAAATGGCGTAGCTCTATTTAACAAGTATCGGGTGACGGACTTCGACCGCTGGGCTCAGAAATTCGAACAACTTCGTCAACAGAACATAACTCAACAGCTCGGTGCAACCGGAATGGACGTAGCAGAATCAAATAATAAAACAATCAACAAGTGTAACATGCCCAGCAGCTCCCAAACAGGAAAGCTGATGGGTTGGCCGGACTTCATACACGAAACGGATAATGTGAAACCGTGAGTAGTAACGTAATGATCAACGAACTTAGAATATTCCAATGTAACATACAAAGTTTACAAAAAAATAAGGAAGAACTATCTAGAATTCTCATACAAGATCAATATCATGTAGCGTTAATATCAGAAACATGGAGTAAAAAGGAACTGGAAGATACAAAGTACAAAATATCTAACTTTTATACGTATTTAGACTCTAGATCAGACGGAAAAGGTGGTGTAGCCATCATTATCAACAACAAACATAAATCAAGAGAAATATCAGTCCCCACTTTCGATAAAATACAGTGCTTAGCTAGACAAATAGTATCTTTAGACCTAGTAGTAGTATCTATTTACATTGCTCCTAATGTAAACAATACAGACCTCAAAGCGAGCTTAAGGCAAATATATGACAGGATCAAGTGCTACCGTAAAGTTTTCGTTGGCGGAGACTTCAACGCACACCACTTTACATGGGATAAGCGAATTTCGGATATCAAGGGTGCCATAGTAATGGATGTAATCAACGAATCAAATTTCCTATTACTTAATAAAGGAGACCCTACTTTTGTTCCGGCGGAGATGAATAAGCGATCAACGACCATAGACTTGGCTATGGCAACGTCAGCTTTATATCAGGATTTGGAGATGAATGTTTTGGATCACGGGATAGGAGGCAGTAGACATCTTGCATTGGTAACCACACTGCATGGAGTGCCAGACAAACCAAATCGACATTTCATCAACAAAAAGAAAATCCATGAGCAACTTAGGAATTTGGATACGAACGAAATAGGAAACCTGAAAGACCTGCAAAAGAAAGTAAAAACAATAGTTAAAAACTCGAAACAGAAGAATAAATACAACCCAAAGTTCTGGTGGAACGAGGAGGTTGAATCAGCTTGGAAGGTCAAAAACGAAGCCCGAACTCGCTACAATAAAACGAGTGGCATTACGGAGCTATTAGAATTCAAAAGGGCAGAATGTTTATTCAACAAGGTGAGAGAACGGTCCAGAACAGAAAAAATCAATGAATTCGTAAAATCTATAGATCCTTCCACACCATCTAAACTTCTATGGAGTGACATTAGAAGACTTACAGGCAGACAGAAAAACAGAACAGGTAATGTTTTGATTCATGAGGATAGGAGTTTAGCAATACAGTTCATGGATAAGCATTTTCCACTAGAGGACGGGATCGATACAGAGTACAGTCAGTACTCAACAGATCGCGACATCATCAACAGCGAAAAATGGAACTACTTTTTGGAAAAAAAAGAAGAAAGCTTCTGCTCCAGGTCACGACGGAATATCTTATGATATTCTGAAACAAATTCCTAATGCAATACAGGATACAATAATTCGGGAATTGAACGGGATATGGCGAACGGGCAGAATACCCGCAGAGTTGAAAACAATATCTATAGTGGCTATACCCAAGTCAGGCAAAAATCCGGAAACTTTGGAAGGTACTCGACCGCTATCAATGCTAAGCTGCCTAATCAAAACACTGAATGCGGCCGTACTGACGGAATACCAAGAGTTCTTGGACAAAAATCAACTATTACCGACACTGTCTTTCGGATTTCGAAAGAAGTTATCCACAAATACATGTCACATTTGTAGATTTGTCTAATGCTTTCAACATGGTTAAAATTGATACGTTGGAACAATTACTTATCGAGCAAAGAACTCCCCAAGAATTTTCAAACTACTTCATTGCTTTCTTAAGAGAACGAAGACTACAACTACAAGTAGGTAGCGAGATCATTACAAGAACTGTTAGTAACGGTCTTCCCCAAGGAGACATACTATCTCCTACATTGTTCAACGTATATACCGCAAATCTTCACTACATTAGAATTGATGGCGTGATCCTGGTGCAGTACGCGGACGATTTCGCGATACTATTAGAAGGAAAAAATATTACAGATGTTCAGAAGAAAGCACAGGAATTTGTAACACAATTTGAAGAAAAAGCAAAGCAATTAAATTTTGTTATTAACACCGATAAAACCAAAGCTATGGTTTTTCAAGCAAACGATAAAACTCTAGACGTAAAAATTAACGGTAAAAACATTGAAACAGTCAACACATATAAATACTTAGGTATTACTCTTGACAAATCACTTCGATTTCGAACTCACATTCGCGACCTGAAACGACGCACTATAGACAGACTCAACATGATCAAAGTGATCAGTAGTGCTCGCGGAGGAGGACACCCGAGTACCCTGGGACTGGTTTTCAACGGGATTGTAAGAAACTTCGTAGAATATGGTTCTGGAATCTACGGAATTGCCAGCAAGAGCAACCTTGAAGCTCTGAAAGTCGTTAACAACCAATGCCTTCGAAAAATTACAGGCTGCACGAAGAGCACACCGTTGAATACTCTACATGCAATAGCTGCACAGGAACCTCCAGAGTCCAGGAGAATATACATCATCGGAAAGGATTTAGTTAAACAATGCCACAATGGATCTGTGGTATGGAATCAACTAGAAAATTCGCCACAGAAATATACGGAAGGCTCCAATAATTTTACGTTCATAGACAAATTACTAGAAGAACACAGACCTATTTTCAATTTACTATCACGATCAGTGAGAAGCACAGATGCAAGGAACTACGTAGCTATCGAAACTAATTTGCACGACGGAAGTTGGAGAAAAAAAGTAACATCAGAAGTTGTCCTTAGACAGCTCACACTAGGATTGATTCACGGGAAGTACGCTGGACGTCAAATTATTTACACTGATGCTTCCAAGTATCAGGATACATGCGGCATAGGTGTATTCCATGAAAGAGGACATTTCCGACTATCATTGAAGTTACAAAATCCAGTTTGCATCATGTCAGCAGAAATTGAGGCTATATACGTTGCTCTTCAATACATTACACGCAATCAGCTACAGGATACAATTATAATGACTGATTCTAAGTCTGGTTGCCAATTTATCCAGAATGAACAATAAGCTAATTATTAGCTCGAGAGCGTCATGAAACCGTGGAGAATATACTTCGTATGGCGTCAACATCGCGAACCAGCATCCAATGGATCCCTGGACATGTGAAGATTGCAGGCAACGAGATAGCGGATCAACTGGCGAAAGCAGCAATTATACAGGACACAACAGCTAAAAACAACATTTTCACCCACGACGCGATTAATTACTTCCAACAGGTTGCTGAGATCCGTTCTCAAGAATGGTATGTGAACTACACGGCGGAGCTAGGAAAAGGGCGAAAATACTTCGCATTACAAAATACAATCCCAGAAAAGCCATGGCACCACGGACTGGCTTTAGAAAACAGTGAAGTTCGCACTTTAAATAGGATTTTTTCGGGACACGATTACTCTAGATATGGTCTATATAAGATACACATTGAAAGCGATTGTCTATGCGACATCTGCGATGAAATAGAAGATGCTAAGCACTTAATTCTGTTCTGCATCAAATACGTAATTTCAAGAGAAAAATATGAACTAGATAGATTTAATACATTGGAAGAAATTTATGCTACGAAAGATGTAATTATTCTAAGAAACGTCACACGGTTCCTCAAAGAAATCAACAAGAAAATTTAAGCAAGGTATAACATCATCACCGAGGTGAGCTGAGCGTCACAGTTGCCTGTGGGGGCTGTCAGAAATGACAACTGCGAAGAGGAAAAGTCCACGAGACTGGAAAGAAAATAAGCTGGCGATATAGCGGTTCTTGCTGTGCCAAACGGAGTGGTGTTTCCAAACACCAAAACAGAGAAAAGAAGAAGAAGAAGAAGACTCATTATACACCGACTCTAGAGATGACCTGCATCGCAACGGATAAGCTTTTGGCTACGTTAGCACCAGTCTACAACACCTACGTCCGGATTGTCTCTGGCTTGCTGTCATCCACGCCCGCTGATGCTGCATGCATCGACGCAGGCATCCTACCTTTCCACTTCCGTATAACCGCAGCTATCGCAACCAAAGCCGCTGCTTTCATCTCGAAGACATCCGGAAATCAAGGGATCTTCCTCCTCGACGAGGGGAACAGACTCCTCCGCACGGCTGCCAACGAAGATCTCCCCCCAGTGGCCAGGGTCCACTGGCATGGAGACAAATGAAAAGGACTGTAGCTGAAATGTTAGGAGAAAAATACCCCACGCACACTCACCGATACACGGACGGATCTCGCTCTCGGGCTGGGGTCGGTATCGGTATAGCCGGAAAGATCACACCAACCTTTCTAAAACTGCTGCCATCTTCATCGCTGCTACAACGCTCTCCATCCGACCGATCCTAGTCCTCACGGGTTCGCACAGCGTCATACAAGCCCTGACATCCGAGGCCCCGACTCATCCCTGGGTACAAGCGACCATGAAGTCCGCGCCACCAAACACGGTATTCTGCTGGGTTCCGGGGCACTGCGGAATACCAGGCAACTCGGAAGCTGACTTTCTGGGTGGGGCAGGACCATCTGCCCCACGCTATACTAACGGAGTACCGCTACACGATGTCAAGCGCTGGATCGTGAGCAAAGTACGGGAATCTTGGGACGCTGAGTGGGCTCAAAACCGCTCCCTCTTCATCAGACGGATCAAAGGGACGACGAGGAAATGGACAGAACAGTTGAACCAGCGGGATCAGAAGATAGCGTCGCGTTTGAGGACCGGTCACACCAAGATCTCGCACAATTTCGGTGGAACGCCGTTCCACAGGACTTGCGTCGGTTGTAGAACTCCAGCCTCAATCGAGCGCATTCTATGCGTATGCCCTCAGTATCAGAACCTGCGGGGATTCCACGGGCTTCCAAATAGCATACGCGACATGCTAGGTGATGATCCCTCCACACTGGCAGCAGTAATGCGTTTTTTAAAGAATGCTGCATTGTATTTTAAAGTTTAGTCTTTTTTAATTCCTTTCGGCTGTTGGGACATCTCTGCCTGGTGACACGCTCCCGGTTCCCCCCGGTGTGGAGCTCTGTCTTATTCAGATTTTAATGTTGTGTCTTTAATATGTTGTGTAAATGTACGATCGAGCCAGGAACCAATTTTTGGTTGAAGTAAACACTGTAAAAAACTACAATGTTGGGGATCCTCCTTCTGAGGCCCCACCTTTCATGGACGAGATGAATTAGCCTACGGCTAAAAATCTCAAAAATAAAGTCTAAAAAAAGATGAATAAGGATGAATAAGGATGGTGGATTCAGTTCAGGATTTCGTCACCAAGTGGCCCTACTGTGTGATTGGGCACCCTCGAAGGTATGTGACTTGCTGTATTTGCTGTCCAGATGGACTTATTGGATGTTGTGAACAGTTAAATTCAAAATTCTCTTACAGAAGGTTTAGTGTGTCTTTTAAATTATAAATAATTATGGAATTAAAAAATAACGTTTGTCTGCTTTCATTTCATTGGCTGTTTTGGGTCATCCGTTACTTGTGAAATGGTGACTACACAAATGTAACGTTTTTCATTGGCGTGTCAATGTCTTCCGATAAATGCAACTTTCATGGCAAACTTCCACGAGAGCAAGGTGGACACAAAATTATAAAAGTTATGAAAATGATATCATGATGTTTGCAAATTAAAATAAAACACTTTGTCTTGTGTTATAGGGGTTAGGTTAGATATTGTGAGTATAATTTTTTTTTACTATGAGACAATTAAATTGAGTTTTTGATTAATTGAACGTTCATTATTGTATAGATTTTTAGTTGAACACAGTAAAAATGCACACTGAAAGTCAACTAACTTAACTGAGTTTCAGTTGAAATACACTGATCTGTCCTAAATTCTGCAACATCAAAATGTTATATGCTGTCAGTACATTTCAATTAGGTAGCACAGGACAAGTATTACTAAAAGACACTGAAGAAGTCTGCCAATTGTAGAAGAAAATACGCGTATTTGTCAAGGAAAAGCAATTAATGTAATGGAAATTACTACTTCTGCTCTCTTTCTTGATTAATCTGTTACCAAAAGTTGCGTGCACATGTTGAAACTTTGAATGAAATGGGAACTGAAATTCTTTTTTGGATAGCAGCGTAATTTCAAAACCTTCAATTGAAATTTTGTTGATTTGAGAGCTAAATTTATATGTAACTATGATTAAACGCAGTACCAAAAACAATCTCGTAGTCTTACGTCAACAATGCGGTCGTGCGTCGAACATAATCCTTACCTCTTTTTTTTTTGTAGCGCTTCACATCTCGAACCATCCTGAACTCCCACATGAAGTGCCACTTTCCCAAGCAGTACCAATGTACCGAATGTGGGGAAAAATTTGCACGTGGTGAAAATCTCAAACGCCACATCCGCCATCGCCACTCGGAGGCCACCTTCTGCTGCAGCTACTGTCCCCGGAAGTTGAAAACACGCGAAGCGCAGATCCTGCATGAACGCTCCCACACTGGGGAGAAACCGTTCCAGTGTCGTACGGACGGCTGCGACAAGCGATACGCCAGCATTACCGACCGACGACGGCATGAGATGGCCAGCCACACGGGCGAACGGCCTCACAAGTGCACCTTCTGTGCCGCATCATTCGTTCGGAAACGTCAACTGACGATTCACGAACGGAAACACACTGGAGAGCGACCATTCGCCTGCGATCGATGCGGAAAGGGTTTCATCGACACGCCGCTGCTGAAAAAACACACGTGTTGAACAGTAGCTTCGGACGTAAATTCGATTTTGAAATTGTATTTTTATTTATTTTGAATAAAACTACATATAATATAAAAAAAGACTATGCTAAAATTACAAATTTGTATCACTTCTTTTTGATTGGGTTCCTTAAAATAATTTGGTAACAGCAGTCAGAATGTAATATTAGAGACGGCTTTGTATACTAGACCCTCTTTAGGTATTATATAGAGCTCAATAAGAAAGCCTCTGTCTAATAATAGTTAGCGATATCGTCGTATTCTGATTCATCATCGTATTCGTAGTCGTCGCCTTCGTCATCATCGTCATCATCTTCGTCGTCGTCGTCGTCGTCGCAATCAGCCAACTCTTGCTGAACCCGCTTTAAATCGACCTGCAGTGGCCGAACGGTGACCTTGACCATCAACATATCATTGGCGTCATGCACAAATCCGTACTTGTCCAAATCGTTCCAGCGTACACCAAAGTTGAACAGATTTCTCTGGTTGATTTGAATGTTTCTTTTAGCGTAGTGCAGTCGCTTCTCCCTGCAGGGAGTAGGGTGGGTCAGAATGATCGTTATTTCGTAGCTGTAAAGTAACAAAAGATGTAGTGTTTCGATCGATTTTAATTTTAGACACAGACGGATCGGCCGCACATACATGCCAGGAAGCCCATTATCCAAAATCAATAAGAATTCAGTAAAATCGTGTTTTGCGTGTACTCCAATTTGCCAGACTGACTCCAACTGATCGGTGTATTCCTCGAAAGCTTCATCTTGCAGATTAACTTCTCTATAATTGTAGATGCAGTACATGAAGATGTCGCAATTTCTGTATTTAAGAAAATGTCGTAAGTTAATCATTCCAATTATAGACCCAATGCAGCCACCGTAATACCCTTTCATCGTTACCAGTTGTTGTGCATGCTTGTGAAGCAGTCGTTGCTGTAGTAAAACCTTTGCCCTGTAGCTGGCCGGACGTACGGTGTACCGAAACTTAAGGTTCACGTTTCCTTTAGGCAGCAAGCTGTTTACCAAAAACATATCTTTGCCAGCCATTGTTTCAGTGTCAGCTTCGGTTAGGATTAAATATGCCCTTGGAGCGAAGTTCGTCAGTTCCAGCATTATTTCGAAGAATCCAGGCTCTCCATGAAGCATCTCCACATAAACGTCCATCATCGGTGATTCCTGTTGGTTATCTCCTTTTGGTGAGACTCTCAATCGCCACATGAATCCCATTTCGTCTACAATTCTTTCCGAATAAACCCACGGCAATCGACACTGGTGAACATTCCTCAGGGTAAACGTACCCTGGACAGCCGGTGGAAGTCCTTGGATTGGCTCTTGTCTACCGACTGATATTACCTTCCTATCGAGAAAATATGGTTATTAGGGTGGTCAAAATGTAGATTTTGGTTAACCCCGCAAATATGTCAACCTGCACTAAATTGGCCACACAAGTATTGCTTCCCACATTACATTGGCTCGATTACCGATCAGACCGCTGGATACTTGTGTCGTTCACTCGTTTTCCTTCAAATGCTCTTACAATTCCCACTAAAGATTATGACAGGACCTCAGAAGTTGAGTCAATCTAATGATTTCACATTAGAAAGATATAATGCTGCGCAACCGCTACGGGTGCACCATATACCGTACGGTGCAACCATACGCTGTATGGCAAAACTACAACGAACAAACCGACCGCAGCATGTATGGGCACATAAGAACCCACTGAGCCAACCACCGGCACGTCCGCAATTGAGGCCCCTGATTCTTCTCCCAAAATTTGAGTTCATCTGCAGATGCTCAGCTGCATCTGCAAAAAATGCTTCCCTCCTAGGCGTTTTATTTTCCTTAAACAGTAACCTGGTACCAACCCTGGATAAACTGAAAAGTTTTGACTCACGTTTCTCCAACAAAATCCATAATATGCGAATTGACCGCAGGAGCACTACTTCCTCCGGGCATAGCAGCAGCGCCCGAAGGCGAGCTGATAGCATCGTTCAAGCTGAGCCGGGCCATATCAATGTTGATGTCGTCCAATGTTTCAAAACAGCGCAGCTTGATCAGTTGTTCCAACCGAAGTGATGCACGGCATTTCCTACACTTGTTGCGTCCTTTCCTACCGGTGGTCAGCTGCCGGTAAACACACATATAACAATACATCTCCGAACAGGTCTGACAAATGTGGGTATTCTTCGGAAACTTGCTGCAAATGCCGCAGCGCAAATTTGTAACCAACTGCTGCAGGGCCACTTCGGCGGGTTTGACCACCGTCGGATCGATAGCACTAGTGTTTGCCATTCGGCCGAATGTTGGATTAACAATTATAATAAAAATTTAATGTTCACTGATTGTTTATGACGGAGGAATACGCTCCTATCCAAGTTTCACTGCGTGACTATATATTATTTGCAGATGAATCACGATAGCACATATAAATATTGGCTGTTTCGTCATGGATGCGTACAAAAAAGTGCATCTACACTGCATCCACCGATCGCTGATAGGGCAAAATCAATCAAAACACTGAAACACTTTCAATTAAAGGTCCCTAAACTTGGGCTTACTTTTAACCCATTTTCAAAATTTCGGTCCAATATTTCCTTATGATTTAATGATAATTTTATAACTATTTCAGGAATAATCCTTAATATTACTTTGCTTTAAACATTATTTATTGATTTAATTTAAATTGTTTTCGATTTTTTAATGTTTTCGATTGTTCATGAAAGCATCAATCTGGCAGCTGTGTTTTTTGTTAAAAAAAAAGTAAACATTCATGACTATGTAAACAAAAAGTGGTCTGTCAACGTTTATCGTTTGTTTCTTTCTAACGCTGTTCTACGTTTCAAAAAAGAAAAAAAAGAGATGACTCATAATCCATCTTGCCAGACCTAATCTTTTTGACATAATAGGTTCTGCACCGTCAGTGGTTAAGCTCAATCGGATGCAATGCAATGTCCTTTATATAAACGTTATTGAAAACAACCGGCCATATTCTGGTGGTAGATATTTGTGAGAGATATTGCCGTGAAATTTACATTCGGAAATGTCGCTCGGTTCCCAAAGTGAATGCGAAAAAGCACTAAAACAATTCAGCGAACAGTTGCAGTGTATGATTTGTTTGAAGCTGCCGACAAATGCCAACATTTGTCCGTTTTGTTCGGTACTGTTCTGCTACGGATGCGTTTGGCAATGGCTTACCAGGCCACTGGAAGAGGAAGCGGATAATCCAGCATGCTGTCCCCACTGCCGAAAAGATCTCCAGCCAACAAAGCTGATTAAGTTGCACTGCTTCGAACAATTCGAAGACCTTGGACCCACGCTTGAACGGATTTCCGATTGTGCATTGGCTCAACCAGAGAAGTAAGTGGCACTTTGTTTGACTACCAATGAATTATTTTATTTGAACATTATTATTTTTAGCGATCTAAATCCGGATGATGTTCCCAAGCCAAAGTACACGGTTGGGCATTTTACTTTGCGTAAGTTTGTACCGAAAAAGGGACCGCAGCGTGTATTTTCCAAAGAGATTGTCGACAATCTTGGATCAGTCTGGAAACTGGAAGTATGGCCCAAGGGCTGTGAATCTGAAAACTATTGGATCAGTGTGTTTCTCCGTCTACACAAGGGCCTCGCAGGGAAATACGAATACACAATTGAACTGCTCAACGATTGTCCAAAGAAGTACACCTTGATAAATGATTTCGAAGTTCGTTCATCGTGCGGTGTTAGGAATTTTATTGATACCAGAACAATGTCCAGTAATAGAAACGCAACGAATTTAAATTTTCGATTGTTCGTTCGACCGGCGTCATTTGAAGAGCAATCTAAACTGCAGACCAACTTGCTACAGCAGCTGAAGTCCTCCGACGAACAGTTGAAAGGGTCGGACTCGGAGCCAATGATACAATAATTTCATAAATTTCATAAATTATGTTTTTTTTTTAGCGATCCAAGCTGCTTCACGATTTCGATGGATAATTTTTCCCAGCGCGGTAAGAATGGGTATTTTGAAGAGTGCGAAGATTATTTAAACAACGTGTGGGAAATGGGAGTATCGAGAACTAATAGTTCTAGATATCTACAATTCTATGCGTGCTTGCTTCAAGGATTTCCCGGTCTGTAAGTAATACTGAAACGTAAAAATTTGAAACCAGCGCAAACGAAATCTCTTTTCATGTGCAGATATGACTTCCACCTGGAGCTTACAAACCACGAAGAAGACTGCGCCAAAAAATTGAACTTCCAACACCAGTTCTCTAAAAAATCGAAGGCTTTCTTCAACATGCAAATCCGTTTCAATCAACTGGAGGAGTTTGGATTTACACACTTCGAAGAGAACTGCTTGGAAATTATCGTATCAATAACTCCGGTAAAAATCAACTTGCAAAGCTTGCAACGCTACTACTCCAACGATGAATCCGACAGCGACGTTGAAAACAATTCCGGTGATGAAATGTATTATCATTGAGCATGAAGCCACAGACAAACAGACATAACACTCGCAAGTTGTTCATCGAGCAATCATTTAACGATCAATTTAAAAGTATCGAAGTTGGTAGTACCGCCACCTGTGATGCGCATAGTCAGTTCCCTTGCGTTTGACGTTTACATACTACCGCCATCTGTTCAGCATACTACCCACCACAGTGTATTCAACAGATGGCGGTAATGTTTTAGCGACGATGTTTTACAGTGATAAATATTCAATATGTTATGTCTGTTTGTCTGTGATGAAGCTGTGAAATATGAAATATTTTAATAATTTTACCAAAGGTGAACGGAATAATCGGGTACATATAGTAACACCTTAGAGTGTGCGGATTTCCCTAAAATAAATGCCCTATTATCTTAGATGAAGTGGTTGCGAAGACAATCCCCCTTATTCTGCGAGTCACGTGACTCTCTGTCACCGGTGAGGTGACAATTGTCACCTCGTGTGAGGTGACTCTCCATGTAAATCAAATGGAGAGTCACCTCACACGAGGTGACTATTGTCACCTCACCGGTGACAGAGAGTCACGTGACTCGCAGAATAGGGCTGAATGTTTCAGCTACTGTGTTACCTGATTTATATTGTCATTACAACTGAAAACTGAAAAAAAACCCACTAGCGAAAATCGATCGTTATAATTTGTAATTTCGACAGTGAGCATGCATAAGGGCGTGGATTCTGTGACACTACCCCGAATGTCACTACCCCGAACGCCGTTACCCCGAAAGCTACTACCCCGAATGTCCTACTACCCCGAATGGCCATTACCCCGAATACCCTACTACCCCGAATGACCATAACCCAGAAATTAAGACAAACGGAAGAACAGCATGCGATTAAAAGGATAAGGATTGTGCTACATTTCCCCGAATGCCATATCCACGAAAAAAAAAGTTAGGAATTTTTCAACCTTGGCAATTTTCTTACTATATATTGAGCATAGTGAGCAGATTGCAACCCACCTTAAATTTCAAACCATGCAAATGGAAGATTTAATATGAGATTAACCCAACTACCAATTAATTTGCTTCGAGTAGCTAGAAACCCATTCCCAAAGCACAGGATGCTCACTATGCCCCTCTTTTCCCTATATTAATGTATTGAGCCGTTTAAAGCATTTTCATTTTTATATATACAATAATAATCCAAAACCAGTATGCTTGTTTTCAGTTCATTTATTATTCATCATTATTTGATTTGTTTCTTGGAACACCGTTGAGAAATTCTTCCTTTTTTTAGACATGAGCAGTTCTTTGGAGTTTTGAGGTTTTCATACTTTTAAACACTGGAATGTAATTGTAGAAGGAGAAAAAGTAATTTAATAAACAGTAATTGGAATTTTTTCCTTCTTTTGATCATGAGCTATTCTTTCAAACTTAATTGGACCAGAACATGATTAAAAATAATAATAAGTAATTTTAGAAAATAAATGGATATTTTTTCTTCTTTTCATGAACTATGGTTCAATTTAATACGAAAGAACAGCTCATGAAGAAATTAAGGGAAAAGAAATCTTTATTGGATATTTCTCCTTCTTTTGAATATGAGCAGTTCTTTCAGAAGGAAAATGGGAATATTCTCATCTTAGAATATTCGATTATGAAGGAATATTATTATATTTTCAATCCATTTGTTGAAGTGTCACTAAAGAGGGAAACTTCAATGCAGAACATGTGAATCTCATACACCCAGATCGCTGCGTGAAGGATTATAATGCCTTTGGAAAAAATCTGCTTGTTTTTACTGCTAATAATACCAGTTACACCGATTCTATAACATTCCCCAGAGCCAGAATGTACCATTCCCCAGAAAAGATGATGAAATTAGTAATTTATCACTTTTTTTTTGTCATTTTATTTTGTTATATATTCAAAGAAGGGAATATTTCCTTCTTTATCGTATATCCAAAGAATTAATTATTTCCTTTTGTTATATTTTCAAAGAAGGGAATATTCCCTTCTTTATCATATATTTAACGAATTAATGATGTTCTCTTTTATACATATGCAAAGAAGGAAATATTCCCTTCTTTATCGTATATCCAAAGAATTAATTATTTCCTTTTCTTATATTTTCAAACAAGGGAAAACCCTTTGATCCATTAAGGTCTTCTAAAACCCCTTGACCCATTAAGAAGTTTTTCTCTTCTTTTTATATATGCGAAGGAAGATTCCAGGAGTGACTATAATAAACAAAAATACAGCTTACAGCTTTTGGAAATGGATTCGGGGTAAAGGTCATTCAGGGTAATGGGCATTCGGGGTTGTGTACTATTCGGGGTAACGGCGTTCGGGGTAGTGTACCGTTCGGGGTAACGGCGTTCGGGGTAGTGACATTCGGGGTAGTGTCACAGAACCAAGGGCGTGTACGCGATGATCGATTCTCTTCATCGATTTTCTCTTTGCATTGCTACAGCTAAGCGAAACAATTTTCTAGAATTTGTTCAATGCAGAGTTGTAACAGGTTGTATTGACTATCAGAAGCAACAGCAAACGCACCGAGAAACGTTAAATCTAACGAGTTATTAACAAAAGAGAACAACGACGAAGAGAATCGATCGTCGCGTTCCAAGCAAACGATTAACGTACCCCATTCTAGTCGAAAATCTAGTACTACACAATGTTTGTTTTGATTCGCTATGAAAGTTTGACAGATAAAATGAGGGGTTGGTGGATTTTCCTATGTTTCGAGGGGTGAATTGATTAGCTTGGGACCGAAGAGAGTACCAGAGCTGAGCCAAAAAGTTGAGCACGTTTCTTCGGGACCTACTAGTCTTAGAGTTAGGGGTCGTCCATTAATTATGTCACACTTTTAGGGGGGAGGGGGGGTTTTGGAAACTGTGACGAGTCATACAAAAAAAAATTAAGTTCCATACAAAATATGTGACAAAGGGGGGAGGGGGGGTTGAAAATGGACTAAATTTGCGTGATATAATTAATGGACCTTCCCTTACCTCTATGGTTATACCAACCGGTGAACACTCGTGTTTATTTCAGTTACCCTGAGGACGTAATTTGAGATTAGTCCCGGTCCCTTTCAAATTGTATCATTATTTGTGTACGGTCCTTATATTTGAAATGACGTTTCACATTCATCTAGTGATGGCTGATTTTCATTCGAAAAATCGATTACTCGATTAACGAACTGAAAAGTAAAATACTTGTAATCGGTTATATCAAACCGATATAAGCATTAACATCTCCAGAGGATCATCACCGATCGTTTCAAACATGTACTGCACTCTCATTTGTGGAAAAATGGCAGCACAGCGAACAAAAAAATAATCGATTAGTTGTTAATCTAGTAATTAAAAGATGGGACATCTCTGATATTGGTGTGATTGTATAGATAAAAATGAGCGCAAAATTTCATCTCTACCGAGGGGGCAGCAAAATCACAAAATTACCTTGAATACGGGAGGTATTCATTGGATGAAAGGGACCGTGAAAGAGGACACTAAAATAGAAAGTTTTTCTACCGACAGTTTCATCTTAGTATTCATCTTTGGTTATACCGTTATAGAGCGCGTCAAATTCATTGCAACTGTTGGAGTGGAATGTAACTATCTAAAATGACAGTACACATTCCCTCCTAGACTCCGGTTGGCACTCCACTCCATTGTCCAGTTACAACTTCAATGATGCCCTGATGCTCCCTCCCGTCCCAGTATTTATTGTAATTTACATTTTGAATTTATATATAATCATGTAATATATAATGTATATAAAATCTGTAGTAAAATGAAAAATATAATAAAAAATAAAGATGTATAACAAAATACAAATAACCTAGATTATTGGGTCTGGTGTATACACTTTTTGTTTTATGTGCCATGAAATTTTTTTTTTTTTTAATTCTTTATTAAAGAGATTTTTAGCCTTAGGCTAGTTCATCTCTAAGTGCCATGAAATGACATAATGCATCATTGTATGTTTTGAAAATATAATACTAAAGTATTGAATCAATAGACCGAAAATCGAGGTTATTTGGACATGAGACATTATATTTAAAAGGATACTACCAAACCGACCATGAAACGCACTGCCCACAAAAGCAGACACGGCCCCTCGAAAATGCAATCGAGAAATGTACAAGAACAATCCTCAACTGGAACGTACTCACCAAATCAATATATCCGGGAGCGCATTCCCGATGTCGTCAAACGGCAAAAAAAGGCAAAACAATGTGATATTACACAACCGATGGATTGATCTGGTTGCAGCAGTTTCGATGTAATATTCAACAGCTTTTTTTGCTGTGTAACTTGTCCGATAATTAGTTCTTGACACGGGCATTGGTCCTCTAGCTGCAGGAGGAAGACGAATGGGTACATGCCACCCGAGAAGAAGGATCAACAGGGAGTATGTTCAGGCCTGGTTCTGGACCTTAAAGTCATTGATTCTGTCCGTGTAATAGACATTTTTGACGTTTAATCGTCTTTCTCTATCTAGAACACATGAATGAATTCATGGTTAGTTTTCCCACTAATCTATTTCCCTCTTGCTCGCACTCGTTCAATTTAAATGGTGCAGTAGTGTGCAATTTGTCCCGCACTCATAAAATAAATCACATAACCAGTGAAAATATCCATCTGGATATCACATAGCTTTCATGTGATCCCATATTTGGAAATCGTACCACTAAGTCTCATGAACCTTATTCAATGAAATCTATATGAATATTCACATAGAATTTATTATGTTATGTGATATTCAGATAAAAATCATTAACTCAGTGCCAACATTTCAAAGGGGCGTTATTGCTTTTGTAAATAATGACTTTAGTCGTCAATTTCTCGCGAATGAAATCTTACCTCTACAAAATTACAATACTAGCTGGTAGAGGGAACATTCCTCTGCCTGCTGGTGTCATTATTTTTCATGAGTGAGCTTTTATTCGCGAGAAATCGACGGCTAAAGCCATTGTTTACAAATGCAAGTACGCCTCTTTGAAATGTTGGCACTGAACTATGTTATTGGAAAAAAAAAAATGTGAGTTCCTAATAGATACTATGTTAAAACTTTGTTCAGTGCGCATATCGCAAAGAGTCCCTCTTTGGCCGTTGAGGATTCATGCATTTTGACAGCATTTTCGTCTGTCGGTCCCGCGGTCGCGCGAACAAAAAGAAATCATCAAACAAAACAAAGAAAAAAGAATGACAGTTCGCCATCGAGGTGATCGAAATCGAATTTTGAAGTGTCATTATTATTCGCGTTTATCGCAACTCATCAGCAGTTGAAACATTTTGTGCAGCCTCTGTGTTTTTGTGCGCGATCGTTTTGAAGCGAATTTGTGCTTAATTTTGATACTGCTTTTTGCTGGAATCTGCTAGATCACTAAGTCGTGCAGAATGCCTTGCTTTACAGGTAAGTCAGCTAAGCGAAATCTTTCGTGATAGTAGGGAATGGTTCACTAGAATTTTGGAGGTTATAGAAAAGGAAAACTAAAAAATAATCGTCGAATGTTATGCGGACCTTCTAGTCTTAAAATAAGCAACAAAGAACTTCACACTTCAAGTTTAATTGTTTTACAGTGAAAGTAAAATGGGGAAAGGAAAACTTTCCGAACGTTGAGGTCAACACCGACGAAGAACCAATGCTGTTCAAAGCACAGCTGTACGCCCTGACTGGAGTACAACCGGAACGTCAAAAGGTTCTATGCAAGGGCATTAGTCTAAAGGACGACGAGTGGAATATGCCAATCAAGAACGTAAGTTTTTTTTGCATTCTACGCCAGCTGACTAGTGAGAAGCTTTTTTTTTATGTATTCACAATTTCAGGGAGCTACACTTCTGCTACTCGGAACTAAGGAGGAAGTTCCACAGGAGCCAGTTGAAAAACCAAAATTTATCGAAGATATGAACGAAAGCGAACTGGCAACTGCTGTGAGTATAATGTAGTTTTCAGCTTTCGTGAGTGGATACTAAAACGAATTTTTTTATCAATTTTAGTTGGAGCTGCCCGCCGGGTTGACCAACTTGGGCAATACATGCTACATGAATGCAACCTTGCAATGTTTGAAATCGGTTCGGGAACTGCGAGAGTCACTCAAAGTGTTCAAGGACGACTCGTCCAGTTCCTCCGGTCTTGCAGGGCTTGCTTCGCCAGGAGCGATTACGCAGTCCATGCGAAACCTATTCGATGACATGGAAAGAAGTGACACCGTTACGCCGGTGTTGTTTCTTCAGCGACTGCACATTGCATTTCCAAATTTTGCACAAACTGGTGAGAATGGGACATATCGACAGCAGGACGCCAACGAATGCTGGTCTGAGCTGTTGAAAATGTTGCAACAGAAGCTTCCCCCAACGAAAGGGGAAAATGGTCAACTGGTTAAGCATAAGTAATTTGATTTTCTCCGTGACTTTATAAAAATATTTGTAACATCGCAATCATATTTTTCGCAGCTCGTTCATCGATCAATGGTTTGGAGGCTCATTCGATGTTGAGATGAAATGCACGGAAGCGGATGACGAACCCGTGAGTAAATCGAAGGAAAATTTCCTCCAGTTGAGTTGCTTCATTTCTACCGAAGTGAAATATATGCATTCGGGCATCAGATTGGTAAGCCAAACCTACACAATTTAATAGATGACAAATCATATCTACATATGAATTAATTAAATTTACAGAGATTAAAGGAACAATTGACGAAACAATCACCATCATTGGGACGTGACGCAGTTTACACCAAAACGGTATGTTGTTTCTTAAATTTTATCGCATTTATGTGAATATCGACCTCGGATTACCTAAGCATCCCTACTCGATGAAATATTTCAGTGCGAAAGCTTAACTTCTTCGAACTCGAACTTTTGAAAAACAACACGGTAGCTATTACACTGTAAACGAGCCGTCAGCGCGTGAGTCGCTTATACTCATTCGTATGGAGAAATATTCTAAAAGCGTAGTTTACTCATGCGCTGAGTGAGCTACGCTTTTAGAAATTGCTCCGTTTTCAAAGACACCAACTCAATAGTGTCATTTTTAATGAGTAAGTTGTAAGTCTGTAGTCTGAACAAGGCATAACTCAGCACATGAGTATCCTACACATTTATAAATTTCTCCATACGAATGAGTAAAAGTGACTCTGTGAGTTAGTTTCGTTTTCAGTGTATTAATAAAACGTCGTGTAACATCTATCGATATTCCTCACATTCGAGAAGTTTTTCCTGGAAAAGCCCGGAAAGCTCAACACACCTTTGCCGAAATTGAGTTGGTCTGAACGATCTTAAATATTTACACACTAGTCTGCGTTGGTCTGAACGACTGTGTATATTTATAATCTCTCGCTCACAATTTTCTCTCTTTCGGTGTCTAATACTGTTTTGGTAAACATTTTTCTTCTGGTTTTGAAGCTTGTATAATCCGACAAATTGCGATTTTGTCAGAAAATTCAAGATAATTCCATAAAAAAAATCACATGCGTGGTTTGATATCGCACAGCACCATTAATTAATGAATGTTTCCAAGGCACCCCAATTATTTGCAGTGTTTTCAGCAATAAATTATTGTGCTGTTCATAGTCGACTTGAAGATGAAAATAAAAACATGTGGCCATATTGAATTCGGACTGTCGGGCGCCATATTGGTTTCGAAAATAAACAACTAAAAATGAGAAAAGAGAATGAAAAAGCTGGATGCGGGTGATGCGAAGCTTTCTGTTCTCCATCTCAATATTGCACAATATGAGGTTACCAGAAATTGAAATGTTTCAGAAATGCGCAGATCATAACATTTGGTTCTTTATGCCCGTTTTACTCTTCTCGACTAACAATTGAAAAGGGCATATCAGCTTATGTAAACAAAACATAATAAGCCCTTTCCTCGGAAAGCGGTGAGATAAAGTGTCAAAAATTGGTAAACAGCTCATATTCACTGTTGTGTAATAGCATCCACGTTTATTTCGAGGTTTATTTAACCTAATTTTGAGTATAGACGAGTGCACGGATGGGTTTCTTTTTTCTTACCTTTATTTAACGTCGGTCTCTGTTCCGCAATCTAGTGCCAATCACCGACGGACATCGATTGCCATCCATTGACGACAATCGAATTTATGCATAGGTTTGAGTTCACTCATTCGAGAAAAAGTGATAAGCTGCGGGCTATGTCTACTAATCACGAGGGGTTTCTACCAGCGTTTTTTTACCGGTTGTGGTAGATATGGTTGGTAAGAATCAATAATAATAATAATAGTAATACAACTTGAGCAATTCTACTATAATCATAACATATATTTTAATATATAATAAAAACTTGTAACTTAATTTGATCTACTCGATCTGCTCTAAACTTGAGCGAAATCAAGTCAGTGTGTAGTATGATGTAAATAAACACACACACATATATGCTTGAACGCGCTTGGGTTTGGCGTGTGTGCTTCTCCTAGTACATGGCTCGGTTGAGTCAGTCTTGTAATGATGTTAACACTGTGTGGCTTGTTTTTGTGCTAGTGTAGTCTGTGAAGTGTGTGATTTATTAATTGCGTCGGTTCACGACACCGGTCAGTGCCAGTCAGATTACCGAAAATTACTCAGTATTACTTACTTACTTTTCAATTAATTAAAATTACTTTAGGTGAGCAATTAAGAATTTACGTAAATTTGGCTTCCTGCAAAATAGACGCAATTAATGAATGAATTTAATGATGAATTCCAATAACCAACAGTTACTGACTGATACTTCAACGAGCTTTAGCAAGTCTCTCTATTCAAAACATATCTATCTATACCTAAAAACGGTTTTTAACGGTGTTATTAGGTATAGATCGTGTATCCCGGATGGGTACTATCCCATAAATGGTCTGCATGATACCCCGAACACGTCGTTAAGCTCGAGGTTAAGCTCTATTTTATGTGCTTGGTTCAAAAGTTATGATTTTTTTAAGTTGGTGGTATCCGAGAAAATCGGAAAACTTTAACTATGGTTTTCCGGAAAAATGACAACACTGATTTTTTGAAATTTACTTTTGTTAATATATGTATGACATCTATGGGCGAAGTTTCATAGAAATCGAAGACACTTTGGCCCAATTTGTCCAATAATTAAAAAAAAATATCCTAATAACAATTGAATCCTACAATCTAATAATTCCAATAAATGGGGGTGCTATTACTTTGCTCGTTTGAATGATCGTTTACGAAAAATCAAGCGATGGAAGTCAAAAGTGACAGTTACGTTACATCGAGATAAACCTGTATCAAGCACATTTTATCACAAAATCACGCGTGATCTCGAGAGCGTATGCTAGGGGCATGCAATAACCTATGTTCCGGCGCAAGTAACGGCTGTAATTAACTTCGCTTTGATTAATTACATAGTGCAGAACATTAACTACTAATTTCATAATTAAAGTACATTAATAACATTTTCAATACTTTTAATTACATTAAGTACTAATAGTTAATTTTAATTACTGTCAGTACTACTTCAAAACGCACTAAATGCTTTAAGTACTTTTGATTGCACCGGTTATTTGTACTGCGTGCCCCTCGTGATTATGCCATCACTGACCACGGCTATTCGAACATATGTCGTGCTATTTTTGCCACAGATTTTGATAAAGAAGCTTTTTATCTTAGCGTCCAAAACGTCAATCACAACAGGAAATCAAGCTAAACAATGCATTAGATCCTAAGTAACATTGATAGATTCTCTTCGTCGACGTCACGGCCATGTTAAGGCATTCCCAGCCATTTTCAGTTCATCGATCAACGAAAGAAGCTATTATTTAGCTTCTAATACGACAAAAACGTCAAGAAACGGTTATGTACTCAAGTTATTAACGAGATCGATCAATGTTACTTAGAACCTAATGCATTGTATAGTTTGAAAAATGTTTGCAGCTGAGTAGTTATTAAGCTGCAAGGGAATGTAATTAATTTTAAATAATTCAAAAGCAGTTTTTTCGTTCAAAATCAAAATTACGTTCATGAAAAATTGTTCATTGCATTTTACTTGCCTACCGGAGGCAAGTGACTACTTTTTCATTGACAGAATTTCGCTTTTGAACGAAAAACTGCTTTTGAATTTCCAAAAATAATGACGTCCCCCTTTCCCTTACACGGTAATCACAAAAAAGAAAACTCTTTAATGCCTATAAAGTACGCATTTTTTTTAAAGAAAACGGGACTACCTATAAAATGACTAAAACTTTACATTTATGAGTAATTGCTACTGCTAGTACAAAAATGAATAAAATTTATGCATTTATGAATAACAGATACTCATAAAAGGTGTAAAAAATACACACATTTTAGGTGTAGTCTTGTTTTAGCCGAATATGCATACTTTATAGTCAAAATGGAGTCCTTTATATTATTTTTTGCCTATTTTGCGGTTTCCGTGTAGCGAAAGAGAAAGTCGATGAAGAAAATCGATCAAAGCAGATAGGTTCTTTTTAAATGTTCACCAAGGCATGAGTCATTCGAATTTGTGTTCCACTTTCGAACGAAATATTTCACAGCTGTGGAAATATTTCGTACCACTTTCTCGCTCTCAGCCGGTGAGAAGAATATTAAATTGCGAGAGAGCTTTTTCGAACATCAGTGCGACGGTCTGAAGCTTCGCTTCCATCATGGCCCCTGCTCGAGCCCGACTCTAAAAGAGAAGAGACAACGACGACGGCAGACATCTTTGTTTCTTGCGGACGAGTTTCGCATTCAAAGTGAACATTTTTTCGCCGTTTTACGCAATTGCGAGTGTATTTCAAGGTGGAAAAATGTGCTGAAGAAGAAGTTTCCGCGGGAGAGAAACTTTTGAAGTGGATTCTAGCCGTGGAAAACGGTTTAAAAAGTGAAAAATAACGGTGCGGATAGGTCGAAATATTTGTAGTTGAGTGTATGGTAGCTCTACGGTGTTAGAAGGGGAAGGTGGTAGTGTGCGGACAATAAGTGGAAGCAGGAGAGCAAAAGACGGAAATTTTTCGCAGTTTCCCTTGTTACACTCCGTGTGTAGAGATAGCTGTGTGTGTAAGAGAACAAGAGAAAGGTAGAGACAAACATCAACAAAAGCGGTGTCCGTGCTGAGGAGCGAAAGAGAGTGATCCAACAAAGGGAAGCGCAAGAGGCGCAGCAGCTGCCGTTTCGGATTTGGGTAAGGGAACTTAAAAAACCGCCGGAGGTTTACACAAATACATAGAATTTATGAAATGAATTTAATTTTCTCGCCTAGACGGAGCTGGAAAACGAACAGGAGCAATGTCCTCCCATCAGGATATAATGTGCGAGGTAGAGATATCCGATTCCAACATCGTTGAAGTGGTAGACGATGGCCACTTTGGAGCAGAAATCGGCTACGAACAGTATGAGGTTGGTGTCGGAGACGACCAGTACGAAGAGGTGACATGCGAGACGGAAGATTCCCAAGGACTAATGATGCATCATATGGACGATGACGAAGAAATTCTGCATCAAGAAGCAGACATTCAGGCTCACGAAGAAGTGCTGGATTCTTCTGGGGATCCTATGTGCGTGTATGGGGATATCAATTTGGAGAATGAGATTTACATTGAATCCACACCCGGTCCAAGTTCGAGGAAGCGAAAATCTGGAATGAAACAACCTCGTATTGTGAATCGAATCCGGACGAATGACGTCCACAATTTAACGGCAGTGGAAACGATGGATGTTAATCAAAAACCAAGGCGATGGGAACAGAAGCAAGTACAAATCAAAACCATGGAAGGTGAATTTAGTGTAACGATGTGGGCCTCCGGAACCGATGACGATGATGGGTCGAATCCAGAGCCTGATCCTGATTACACAGAATACATGACGGGCAAAAAAATTACACAGGATATTCCAGGAATTGACCTATCCGATCCTAAACAGTTAGCTGAATTTGCAAGGCCGAGTTATAAGACGAAAATGAATAAATTAGTTAACGTAGCAACGGCTGCAGGAATGTTGTCCAAAATGGGAGCTTCTGGGGGAGAATCATCCGATAGAAACATTGCCTGTCCGCACAAAGGTTGCAACAAAATGTTCCGGGATAACTCAGCCATGCGAAAACATTTGCACACGCACGGACCTCGAGTGCATGTTTGCGCTGAATGTGGGAAGTCTTTTGTGGAGAGTTCAAAATTGAAACGGCATCAGCTAGTGCACACTGGCGAGAAACCATTCCAGTGTACATTCGAAGGTTGTGGAAAACGATTCTCGTTGGACTTTAATCTACGAACCCACGTTCGGATACACACAGGTGACCGGCCGTATGTTTGCCCGTTCGATGGTTGTAACAAAAAGTTCGCTCAATCCACCAATCTCAAATCTCACATCCTAACCCACGCCAAGGCCAAACGGAACAACAGTGGCGGTGGTGGCGGAGGAGGAAGCCGGAATAACAATGCTATGGTATCACATCCCATGGTCAGCGTACCGGCGTCACAATCATTGGTCAAGATGGAAACAGTGGAAATCTATAATGATCCGCAGTACATCGTCTACACCGATTAGATTAGGAGAGAGCCCGGAGAGGATCAAGCTTTGATGAACACATCTCAGGAGGAGCAGGATGCTGAGGAGTGCGTTGTTTGCGTGTCCGATCGATCAACCTTTTCCATTGTAAATTTTATAAGGGAATCCTGCATGAGGATTTTAGAAGCTTATCAACTTTTTATTTTGAATTCATATAGAATGATGAAGCGGAGAAATTTACAAGAATTACGAATTAAAACCCGTTCGATTCATTTTAATTTGGTATTTCACTAAAGTGTAAATAGCTTACAAAGTCGTACCCCCCACCCCGCAAAACAATCGGGTGATGATTGTAGTTTGAATTTCCAGAATTTCCTTGCGGTTTTTAGCAGTACCTATGGTCTCTTTAATTACCCTTGATTAATGTTAGACTAATCAACATTAGTGCATAATCAATCAATTTCGATCATTAATGCCGTTTTCATTTAATTTGTCGTAGGCAGAGAGCTACACGTGAAGAAATGTGGGCCCAGAATGTGCTGGCGATGAAATAGAATACACAAATAACTGTCTATTATATTTTTAAAGTAAAATGTGCAAACAACACAAATAAACTCTAGTAGTGTAAAAAGTAGGTTTTGTGCGAAGTTTGAATGTATTATGTATTCGTGTGTATGTTTGTATGTATGCGTTTAGCGTCATAAAGGGTCAGGTGCGCATCTCTCTTGAAAAACAAAGCAAAAAACAAAAAGTCAGGTACTTTTAAGCCGTGTCCAAGAGAAATCGATTGCAATCTTCTATTTCCTCCCGCCGGTATCCGGAAGCCCTTGCTACCAAAAATAAATCTTTTTTTTTTCGTTGCCATAAAAATCTATATCCCAAAGACGCTAGCTCCACAAATGCCAGCAAAAAGTGTTCTGTTAATAATTTTCCAATGTGAGAGAAACAGTAATCAGAAACTGGACGCAATCAACAACGTTCTAGTAGTTGTCTTTCGTTCAAGTTTGCTCATATCCTCCTACTACCCTACACCGGAGATGGTGTTTGTTCTTTTAAGACCTTTCTCCCCCTGTCCGTACAAACATCTGGCACAGGATGCTACCGCGAAGGATGAATGAATATTGCCAAGTAAATAATAGAAAGTAGTTGCACTACCAACCAACAAACAAGGGTGCGTGTGAGTGCGCGAACGACGTGATTATTAGTTGGTAACGATAAATCTTACTCTACTTTAAGGTGATTTATTTTTAATAATAAAAAAGTTTGAAAAAGAACAAAATCTGAAGAAAAAAGCTACTGAACTATTATTAGTTTTCAACAGGAACGAAAAGAAACTGACTAAGGATACATGAAATTAATTTAATAAATAGAACCGATAAGAATTATATTATCCTTGAAAAAGTGTAGTTACGACAAAAGGAAAGGTAAATGAAACAAAACACGTGAAAAATAAACAAAAATGTCAAAATCCAGCAGTGGCATAATGTTTAGAAGGAAACTGACCCATTTAAAATTTACACTCATTATATTTGACACAATGTTACTTCATTCCTCCAGGAATAATGGAAATTTCAAGCGACCTTATGGAATTCAGACTTCAAGGATTTCCGCAAGGTATCAATTGAATCCCAGGGAATTCTGGGGTCTGGAACGTTTTGCATAATGGACACATGGTATAATCGCTTTAAATCGACAGAGTTAATTTATAATAAAATTAATTGTTATACCACAGACAAACAGACATAACCCTCGCAAGTTGTTCATCGAGCATGGGTTTAGCAGTCAATTTAAATGTTTTTAGTTGGTAGTAACGCCACCTTTGGCGCGCTTAGTCAATTCCCTTGCGTTTGATGTTTACACACTACCGCCATCTGTTCAGTGTACTCAACAAATAGCGGTAATGTTTTACACACTTAGAAATTATCGCCGTCTTCGGTAATTTTTACCGAACTCGGAACAGCTGAACCGTTCGGTAAAATTTATGCAGTTTAATTCAATTGCTTATCAGTTACTTTGAAACTAAATCTACACTAAAATGACAAGATTTGATCGTTTAAACAAGGTTGACCATGTTTTGAAATTAATTTTTTTTTTAAGGTCAAAGTTTTATCGAATGTTCAGCTGTTCTGATTTCGGTAAAATTTACCGAACACCAAAACAAAATCTTAGTTTATTAATTTATTAATTTGATAAGGCTCAACCGAATTAACTTTACAGAGCCGAGGATTCTTGTTCACTATCCAATACATTTTAAAACTATAGTCAAAAGGTACAACATAATAAACATTTTATCTTCCGCTATCCAATAAGCCTCCTCTACCAGAACGGGAGCCGCTTCCAGTGGTTTACTTGTATGGCAGAGTCGCCAACGATGGTCAGAGCGCTTCCATTGTAGCAATGGATGCAAAACGTGCTCAGTACTCACACAAATATCACGAAACGGTTGCTTTCCAAAGTCGACGACGCATCGACTGAAAGAACTGTTGATGAAGAACAACGAGGATGGTTCCTGCCAGACGATCGCGTGACACACATTGAGAGTGGTCTGCTTCTGTCGACAGCCGAGTAAACTCTGAACAAAATCTTAGTGTGTAGGATGTTTTACAGTGAGAAATATTCAATGTGTTATCACCGACAAACCGACATGAATTACCATAGAAATTACCAGTTGATAATAGAAGAGTTACGCAGCCTGAAACCAAAATCTACCTATGGAACTGTCAAACCGTCTACCTATTGAGCATAGTAGACAAACTGACTCTGGTGCGTGGGAAGTATTGTTATCGAAACTAGAGGAAACTTTCACAACCTATAGTCACCTATAGGTGAAGTCATCCGAGGTGTAAACAAAAACAAAGGTTGCCAAAATATAAAAAAATGCCCATTGATCGACTTCAGTGTTGCAAGCTTCACTTTGGGTTACTCTTCTATTATCAACTCTGGAAATTATCATGAAATTTCTGCTCAAAGAACGGGATAGCTAAGAATCTCCTTCAAACAACAGGATCATACGACTGATCAAAAGACAAGCCATTCAGCAGAAAGATGCCCCAATGAGTGGGGGATTCTGAACATTTACACCCATATTATTGTTTTTGTTCAAACCGTTCCAACCGTACAACATTTTTATTTTGAAATATGGGTGTTAGCAACGTAATGCAAAGTCACTCGAAATGGTTTTCAAAAAAAAAATCCAACTGGTGCTGTCAAAAAAATCCAACGATTAGGACCAACACCAAGGCTAAAACAGATTCGTTCGGAAGATAAACAACCATATTCCTGTTTTCGTTTGAACCGTATTTTCCATACAAAAAAAAAGTTTTATTTTGTTTGGAAAATACGATTCGAACGAAGAAAACAAGAATATGGGTGAAAGTATTAGGATCATCACTCAAAATGTTATCCATAAATTAAATCGTAAAGCAATAAATCAAAGGATATCTAAACGGTTTTCCAAATTTATTCACTTCACGATATCAACGATTAATTCGTTGCAATAATCACTAATGATTGTAAACATCCTCAACAAAGAAAACTTAGACATCAAAATAAACGGATCTGAGGGAAAGCAACAAAAACATATTCGACCGTTTGATTTGATATGCATCAGTTTTTTGCTAGGTTTTTTGAAACCCATTTTAGAGCTTATTTCGAACTTTAGACAATATTGGCTCATTCAAGCAATTAGGCTCTTTAATTTTAAAAAATGCATCGGTTTTTCTACATCATCTGAAAGAACTTCGTTTTCTGATCACAGCGATATTTTTTTCTAAAACATATACACTTCACAGAAACAAAATCTATTGGCAAAATTACTATATTGATGGTTTAAATTAAATACTCCTACCAATAGATTTGTGCAGAAACGAAATTCATTTAATTTTACTATCCTTTCTATCAAAACTTCTATGCCGTTTGAGTAAGCATAGTAGTTTTGACAGAATGGTATTAACTTTGTTTATATTTATACTCAACTGTACTGAAATCATGGTAGATTTAACGGCATTAAGCGTAGTTATGCTGAAAATAAGTGTTTTCTGCAAAATAGTATTTCTAACTATGGTCTTAGCACAGACAAAGTCTTAGTTTCAGTGTTTCATCTCGATTTTTAAATCAATATTAAAGCAAAATAATAACTGTTTGACACTAAACTAAAAGCTCGCTCACATGCAAAGTGCCACCGAGAGGCCCTAAGGTGGTGATTTTTGCAAATGTAATCGTAGGGGACATGGATGTAATGTCGACCTAAATGCCCCTAATTTGGGCCTATACATAAACTCAGCAATCGACTAAATTTTCAATAGCGACCAAAAATATCCATTAGTACCGTCCCAATGACGCGTTGATCTAGATAAAATTGATAAATAGCAGATTTTTAGCGATGGGCCCAATCTTAGATCCATAGGCCAAATCGTTCCAGCACAGACAAACAGACATAACACTCGCAAGTTGTTCATCGAACAAGCATTTAACGGCCAATTTAAAAGTATCGTAGTTGGTAGTACCACCACCTGTGGCGCGCATAGTCAATTCCCTTGCGTTAGACGTTTACACACTACCGCCATCTGTTCAGTGTACTACCCACCACAGTGTACTCAACAGATGGCGGTAATGTTTTAGCGACGATGTTTTACAGTGAAACATATTCAATGTGTTATGTCTGTTTGCCTGTGGTTCCAGTGTACCAAAATTGATGAAATTGTGGATATGGGTTCTATTTTTAATGCAGATTACGAATATGCATTTACCTCAATACCATTAAAGAACTCAATTCTAATAATGAGAAAGTCATGAACGAGTTCTCATTTTTGTTCTGAAAAAAGGCACAAAATTTGTGAGCGGTGTTGAGAGGATGTAAACAAAGGCAACAAAATGAATATTTTTCAAGCGAAATTACTACAAAATTGAAAGTTATCGACTCCGTACCACTCAGGGTGTTAGCATCGAGGTTAGCATTTCCTACGTGCCGCCTAATACAACATTATAATACCCCGTTCACATTACAGCGTATATCACGTGATATACGGTGTCTTGCAATGAGCACTCATACATCTAGTTTTCACTGGAAATCCTATGTATGAGTGCTCATTGCAAGACAGCCTATATTACGTGATATAGGCTGTAATGTGAACGGGGTATAAGACCCTTTTGCGGGCCTAGCATTCCCAACAATTGTATGCTGTCAGTTTAGATCAGACGCCACTTTACCAGAGACGAGAAATTAATCCTAAAAATACTTCAAATTAAAACTGACAACTTTTATTAATCCCTTTTACAGATATTTTTTTTGTAACAGAAGGTCTGTAAATGAAAACATCATCAAGCAGTTTTAGCCGAGGTTTTAGCATGACTTTCTATCAGCGATTTCACAGAACTGGACCAATAAATTACTATTTTATTATGAAACGCATACTTTTGGCTAGAGCCCTGTAAGAGAGAGAGAAGCGAGAAGTCGAATCTGCAGCCAATTGAATTGCCACATAAGAGTAGACAGTCGAGCAGAAAACCTGTCACCGGGTAGAAACATTATAATTAGATTGTAGTATTGCTATCACCCGAAATATAATACGACAATTCAGGCATAACATTTGATAACGGCACAAAAGCATTTGTAAACAAACTTTCTAAGAGCAACCGTAACGGTCGTTGTCATTTGCGCGACTATTTTAAGAGCAACCGTAACGGTACGCTGCTAAACTCATTTTAGCAGCCCTCATCATAGCGCAGCTACCGTATCGGGGGTTGCCATACGAGTAACTAAAATAGCAGTCGGCTTCTCGGTGAGAAGCGCGCTACCAAATTTAGCAGCGCGATAGCAGCGCGGGAGAAAGGTTGCTATCGTCAAAATGCTCACTACCGGTACGGACAAAGGCGAGTAAATTGATAACCGCGATAGCAGCGACCGGTGTGGAGAAGAGTGACTAAACTAAAATGAGAGCGCTGTGCGCTGTTAAAATAGTCGCGCAAATGACAACGACCGTTACACACTAACTTTAGATTACTGGAGTCAGTAAAATTTTACTGGGTTTTTGAATTGCGGATCGCCCAGTAATCATCACAGCAAAACAAATCATTACCGAACTGTCCGTAAAAGTCAATATGTCAAAAAACTTTATATCCAGTAATTTATGCGAGTTGCCTTCGGCAATATTAACTGGAAAGCCCAGTAAATGTGATCGTTATTTTGTCACAATTAAACTGGCAAGTCAGTTATATTGTGCATGCTTGTACCGAATTACCCAGTTATATTAAAAGCTTAATTAGGTGAAAAATAAACATTGCATTCTAATAATAATTGGACGCACATGAAACTCATTTATTTCAATTTTTGTTAGCAAATTTTGCACTACTCATATATTTAGAATTGGTAGGGTTGCTGTTATCCATAAAATCAATGTTAACTACGGAGAAACTCGTAGTTGGTTTCCCGCACCCCGATAAAAGCTGTTTTAAGGAATACAAGAATAATTATTGCTTGTCGCTCGGCCGCTCGGTGCAGTCAACATTGAAAACAGAGACATTCACAACATTATGGAAACATTCCTTTGCCAAGGAACAGTCACGTTCTTCCAGAAGGTAATTCCATCGGTGATGTCTTCTGGAAATTTTCCACGGACGAAAAATGTTGGGCTTTTGATGTTGGTATTGGATTGTTCATCTAAACGAAAAGAAAACATTTGTTTCACAAACCATAAGCCAAATTATTGATACTCGTACGTACTTGGATCCATTCTGCGATTCCAGCCAATGAATTATTGTCGATCTTGATAACTTGCTTCCGGATTTTTCTGGAGCCAAACTGGTGGCGGTTAAAAAATTGACAGCTTATAATTTTCTGGGGGGGACGTGCTGTCAAATCAGCCTACTGATCATCTTGTATGAAACTGGTTCCAAACGTAAACAAACGCTGTAGGTTTCTTATGGCTTGTTTACGTTTAGAACCAGTTATGCGAGGTAGGCGACGATTGTTCGTATTTGACAGCCACCTCCCCCCCTTGATAATTTTACAATTCTTGGTCGGTAAAATAAACTGATCATTTTGCTGACTGGCCAGTAAAAAAATAAGAACTACTTAGTGCACAGTATTTAATCTTATACCCCGTTCACATTACAGCGTATATCACGTGATATACGCTGTCTTGCAATGAGCACTCATGCATCTAGTTTTCACTGGAAATCCTATGTATGAGTGCTCATTGCAAGACAGCCTATATTACGTGATATAGGCTGTAATGTGAACGGGGTATTACTGACTTTTCGTGAAATCTCGAAAAATTAAGAATTACCGATTTTCTCAGTAAATTTATATTCTGTGTACAGTGTTTTGTGTCAAACGTTACCGAAATTCAGTTTGTTTTTACAGATTGTCAGTTATATCCCAGATTTGAACTGAATTTTCAGTAAAAATGTCGTTTTACGGTGCAAGCCCAGTATAAAAAAAATACCGAACAACTAAAATTTAGTTTTGTTTTAGTTGCATTTAATGCTGGATAAGTGTGTACGGTTGCTCTAAGGCCCTCTACACGCGAACCAAAGTACGCTCACGCAAACCAATACCACTTTCGGAAAGGTGGTAGTTGCCCCTATCCGATGATGATGTTGGTTTGCGTGGGCGTACTTTGGTTCGCGTGTAGAGGGCCTTAGAAAGTTTGTTTACAAATGCTTTTGTGCCGTTATCAAATGTTATGCCTGAATTTCCCTTGAGTTTGACGTTTATACCCCGTTCACATTACAGCGCATATCACGTTATACCCCGTTCACATTACAGCGTATATCACGTGATATACGGTGTCTTGCAATGAGCACTCATACATCTAGTTTTCACTGGAAATCCTATGTATGAGTGCTCATTGCAAGACAGCCTATATTACGTGATATAGGCTGTAATGGGGTATTAGGTAACACCTTTAATTTTTACCGAACTGGCCACCTATTTTTTTTTTCTGTTTTCGCTTCTATAACCAATATTTTTACAAAAATGTTGAAATCTTCATACATTAATTATTGGTTGTGCTATGCTGTCAGTGTTGTAAGATCAAAACTGACAGCTTACATTAATCCATTCAAATTTGTTTTCAATATATTTTTGTCGAATAGTATGTACTGCAATTAGGAATACAGTCCATTTTTTGAGAATGTATCTAATTATCTCGCAACAACAAATGAAAAATGTATAGGTTTTTATAAATCATCCGAAAGAGCTCCATTTTCTGAGCACAATGATATTTTTTTTTTCGTTCCCATAACCTCTCATCACGATTTTTAAGCCGGGGATGAAAGCAAAACACCTGCTCCAATCTAATGCACATGTAATCTCGTTCGCAGTCTCTCATCAGTCGCCTACCGGCATATTTGACGGTGCAGTTCGTCCGGTTTCAGTACAAGGGTAAGGAAGGTATCAACGCCAAGGTACTGAAGGATATTAAATTCCCAATTGATTTTGATGCGTTCGAGTTATGCACACCGGAGCTGCAGGAAAAACTGTCACCGATGAGGAGCAAATTCAAGGAAGTGGAAGAATCTGAACTCGAGCGCAATCTCAAAGGCAAGAACAAAAGTAAAGCGCAGTTGGAGAACGAGAAACCGAAGACCATTCCTCAGCCGTATTGTTTCGAAAATGGTGAGTTGTGATAATGTTTGTGTACTCAAATGCTTAAACATTGTATCATTCTATACTTTTCAGATTTGGGCAGTAATAACAGCGGTTATTACACGTTACAAGCCGTTCTGACTCATCAAGGCAGATCAAGCTCATCGGGGCACTACGTGGGATGGGTTCGCCAAAAGGGTGACCAGTGGATCAAGTTCGATGATGATTACGTTTCACCGGTAGATACTGAAGCCATTCTGAAGTTGTCCGGAGGCGGTGACTGGCATTGTGCGTACGTTTTGGTGTACGGCCCAAAGGTGGTGGAGATTCCAGTTGATGAAGAAAAGACTGCTACCGATGCTGCCGGTGGAGAGACCACTGCTAAGACGGAGGCAGGTTCAGGTGAAAAAATGGCTGTTGACTAGACTGTTTAGGTGTTTTCTCAGTTTTTATTTGTTGGAAATATGATTTCGCGTCATTAGCCCGTTGTGAATCCGTTGCAATGCTGAACTATTATTTCTCTACTCTGCACTTTTTACACATTTCAATGCAATGCATATTAACAGGATATACTGAACGATACATTACCGTATGCTCTTTTCTGGAATAAAATCATCAATACGACCGTAATATATATATCATAAATAGTGTTTTAATAGTTTTCATTATAAAAATATCACATGCACTCCGTTGTATGGATTTAAAAACAGAATTTCATTGTTTCAAATGTCAGCGTCTATGTAGCCGAGGCTCGGTAGCTTATTGGTTACTGTTTCTGATTACTGAGCAGAATGTCGGGAGTCCAATCCCAGGCCTGACCTCTACCTTGCAATTTGTCACTTTGACTATTCTACCCCTATAAATTTAAATAAAAACAGTCTACTTTTACTGGACCTTATTCTGCAGCTCCATTGAAAAATCGTCTCTTAGCATTTTCGAACAAAATAATTATAGTAAAACAACGAAATTATAATTATTTACTTTGAATTTCGAGTACATTAAAATTTATTGTTAAATTGTTGTGCGGGAGAAAAAATAAATTTCAGTTTTTAACCATACAATGTTTGAAAACAAGTATGATGAGATCAAATTTGTATACGTATACGAGATAAATCAGTTTTTTTTTATAGTTAAGATGCTTTTTTACTGTAAATTTCTAAAATACCATGATTTTCGTTGTGATTGTATGGTCACAGACAAACAGACATAACACTCGCAAGTTGTTCATCGAACAAGCATTTAACGGTCAATTTAAAAGTTTCGTAGTTGGTAGTACCGCCACCTGTGGCGCGCATAGTCAATTCCCTTTCGTTTGACGTTTACGCACTACCGCCATCTGTTCAGCGTACTACCCACCACAGTGTACTCAACAGATGGCGGTAATGTTTTAGCGACGATGGTTTACAGTGAGAAATATTCAATGTGTTATGTCTGTTTGTCTGTGGTATGGTAATCGACAAATCGACAGTGAGCATGCATAAGGGCGTAAACGCGATGATCGATTCTCTTCGTCGATTTTCTCTTTTGTTAATAACTCGCTAGAATTAACGTTTCTCGGTGCGTTTGCTGTTGCTTTTGATAGCCAATACAACCTGTTACAACTCTGCATTGAACAAATTCTAGAAAATTGTTTCGCTTAGCTGTAGCAATGCAAAGAGAAAATCGGTCAAGAGAATCGATCATCGCGTATACGCCCTTATGAATGCTCACTGTCGAAATGTTAATGTTCTGACAGTAAATATCATAGTTACAATAACATTGACAGATTCTCTTCGTCGACTTTCTCTTTGTATCCCCACGACCATGTAAAGACATTCCCAAGGGATTTTCAGCACACAGATCGATAAAAGATGCTTTTATCTATAGATAAATGTCTTTACATGGCCGTAGCATCTATATTAGCGAATTTGTTTATTATCCAGGATGGAACCAGTTCCAACCAGTGCTGAGTTGCATCACGGTACTGATAGCCTTTAGATTGACAAAAGAGATTCCTACGGTTAATAATCAAAACAACTGAGAACCCTCTCTCCGTAAAACTTCTCACCAGTATGATACAACAACCGTGAGATATCGTTTTTTTGCTTTTCTCACTCATTCGCAATGTTAGTTGATCATCTATCATGTGGTACCATCATATCACTGAGGAAAAATAAAAAAGACATATATTTAAATAAGGCTGTCCACGAGACAGTTGTGATCAGCTGACTTTTTTGTTTACCAAGAACTTTTGACAGATCACAGTAGAACTGGCAGTTTATTCTCATATGAATTTCTGCTTTGTTTATGTTTACATTCAGCACCATTAACACCAGATCACTCACACACTCTAGATTTCTAGCTGTCAGTTCCACTGAGAAACGTCTCTTAGATCACCTTATTACCTCTAAGACCAGAAGGTCCCAAAGAAACAAGCTCAACTTTTTGGCTCAGCTCTGGTACTATCTTCGGTCCCAAGCTAATCGATTCACCCTTCGAAAATCCACTAACCCCTCATTTTATCTGTCAAACTTTCATAGCGAATCAAAACAAACATTGTGTAGTAGTAGAATTTCGACTAGAATGGGGTACGTTAATCGTTTGCTTGGGACCATTAGGCTAGTCAAGTAGTGAGCCAATTTAAAATCGTTAGTTTCGTATTGATTGTTGTTATTACCGTCATCTCATTTCGTAAATGATACGGTTATGACGGTCATTCCTCTTGCAAAATCACGGATAAGGCGATAGTTGGGTCCAACCCGTGCGAACCGCAACCCGAGCCAGGTTACAAAAATACGTTTACAGTGACGTTTGGCAGACAACAGGCCGACCTAATCTTGATACTTGATACCCGATCCAGGTTGGAACTGAATCAAAAACAAATTCGCTACGACAACCACAACAAGAAACGGTTATTAACGAAAGAGAAAGTCGACACAGTGAATCGATCAATGTTCAGCATGAATGAAAATATTTTTTATATTGGATTTGTTTACGGGTTAGCCGAGAATAGTTTATTATTATATAAGGTTAAACTTTAATCACTGATGAAAGTTTCCGTGTTCACTTACTTTATGAAAGTTCGTTCGATCATTTTTGAAATCTTCCGTGCAGATTTTTGAAAAAAATGCCTGGCATCCCTTCTCATAGAAACGAGCTTGAAAAGCGAAGCAAAGTGACTTTTCAGTGGTGAGTGCATGGTGTCCTTATCCAAGATCAGCAGCATTGTTTTTTCGTGGTTTTGTGGCTTTTTATCAATTTTATCACAGAAAATAACCATTTCCCACGCTAGATTTTGCTCATAACTGATACATCTCAATTGAGGGTAAGTTATAGCAACAGAAATAAGTAGCGGGATTTGGGTTGATTGTAATTTTCCAGAACGAATGGTAAATGACATTGTTTGGTTATTTTTCTTGCCTCTCCCCGCTGCAGACTGACATTGGATTGTTCTTGTCGGGAAAATGACTTTCGTTGATCTTTCCGCTGACGGTGGCGTCCAGAAGCAGATTCTCCAAGAGGGAACTGGCGTAGAAACTCCTTCGAGTGGGTGTACTGTTTCGCTACATTATACCGGAACGCTAGATTCGGACGGAAAGCAGTTCGACTCTAGCAGAGACAGGAATGAACCCTTTGAGTTCAAACTCAACCAGGGCTCGGTGATCAAAGCGTTCGATATGGGAGTGGCCACCATGAAACTGGGTGAGCGGTGTGTACTGAAATGCGCCCCGGAGTACGCCTATGGAGCTTCCGGCAGCCCTCCGAACATTCCGCCCAACTCGACGTTGAATTTCGAGCTGGAAATGCTCGGTTGGAAAGGTGAGGACTTGAGTCCCAAATCGGATCTAGGCATCGAACGTTTCGTTCAAAAAGTCGGTGAGGGCAAGAGAACACCGAACGATGGAGCATTTGTAAAGATTCATTTAGTCGGGCAGCATGAAGGCAAGGTGTTTGAAGATCGTGACGTGGAATTCACAATTGGAGAGGGTGAGGAAGTGGGCGTTGTTTTTGGTGTGGAGATAGCATTGGAAAAGTTTAAAAAGGCGGAAACGTCCAAGCTTATTCTAAAGCCCCAGTTTGCCTTTGGTGCAGACGGAAAGGCCGATTTGGGAGTGCCCGCTAATGCAACGGTCGAGTACATCGTGACACTGAAGGAGTTCGAGCGGGAACCAGACAGCTGGAATCTAGACGATGCCGAACGAATGGAACAAGCCAAACTGTTTAAAGAGAAGGGAACCAGCTATTTCAAGGAGAATAAGTTCAAGTTAGCATTGAAGATGTACGAGAAATCGCTTGGTTTCCTGTCGAGCAGCGGTGAGATAAGGTATTTTCGAATCTTGAACAGTAGAATTCACAATTTGTTTTGCTATTTACAGATTCTGAAGAATCGAAACAGTCCAAACTGACTGTTTACTTGAACAAAGCATTGTGTCATCAGAAGTTGAACGAACAAGATGAAGCGAAGGATGCTGTAAGCGTAATTTGAACATCATTTAGACTATTATCTTATTAATGGAATTTGTATTTGTAGTGCAACGAAGCTTTGAACATCGATAGTAAGAATGTGAAGGCTTTGTACAGACGTGGTCAGTCCAGATTATCGTTAGGAGACTTAGAAAAAGCACTGGAAGACTTCACTGCAGTGCGTGAAATCGAACCAGAAAATAAGGCTGCCCTTAATCAGGTCACGATCTGCAAGCAAAAAATCAAAAACTACAACGAACAACAGAAGAAGGTCTTTGCCAACATGTTTACCAAGTTCGCAAAGAGTGACAAACAGGTAAGTGAGAGTAACTAAATACAAATGTGGTCCTCTTTTCTTTTGCTTCTGTTCACGATACATTTCGAGCAATTCGTAGTAACTGTACCTTTTATTGTTTCGATAAAATTAAATCGACCGAAATTGAACGAACCAAAAATGTAGTAAAATTTTCCAACCAACTCCTTCGTATAACTTCTGTAACATTGCCTGGAAATAATCGACAAACACCAATCTGAAAATCGTGACCGTCACAGCGCGAGGAGGAGTGGCAAAGCAAACAACCGGACGTGATGAAGGCAAACTTTGGCGAGTGGCGTGACGATGAACGGGAGCACGAACCGACCCGTTTCGAGCAGGAAAATCCGGATGTAATCATGCTGAGCGAATCGCTGAAGGACTTTAGAAACATGTAAATTTAATAACGACGAGGGCCTCCTGTTTAGTAAGATTTTCTAGATTCCATTCCTCGGAAAAACCGACGACGCGATGCAGATTTCAGATCAGATTTAGTCGGCTTCAATGCATCTTAATGTAGCATTAGTTGTTATTATAACTCGAAGAATTTTGCCCCTTCCGGAAACAATACAAATTAATGATTAGTATGTACAATACAAGCGCAACGCATTTTGTCAACTGAAATACAATACTGAAGTAAGCTTTGAAGCAGCTGCTAAACTTTGTTCAGAGAAAATTCCTAATAAAAATTCTAAATATCAGGCAATTTAGCCGGAATTCAAAGTAGGTATGTAGGGATTCAAATAGCCTAGTCGGTAAAGGTATAGCATTACCAAGTCGGAGGCGGAGGGTCGATTCCCGGTACGGTCGAGTATCATCGTCGCTGAAACACTAATACCATCTATTGAGTACACTGCCACGGGCAACTTTCTCAAATGTACACGGCCGTTCAATCTTGCTCAGAGAAAGAGAGAGAGAGAGAGAAACTTCTACTCAGAAGAAAGAAGCATTTCGAAAAATCTATAGGTTTTTATAGAGCGGGTCTAGTATAAGAGAGAGGCGGATTTAAAACAAACTGTCTTGGCAACTTATGCCTAGGTGGTTTCTAGCAACACTATCAATGCAATCAAAAAAGGAACACTGCTCGATTGGCTCTGACTTAGACAGTTCCTTTGGCTCAAAAACAGCCAGTCCGCTCCTCTAGTATACTAGACCCTCTATAGGTTTTTAGAAATTTCTCTTTCATCTGAGTAGAAGTTAAGGCCGGCGCACAATAGATACGTTTTCAGATTTTTTGACAGTTAGCCCATGCATTATCTGTCAAAAAAACCCGAAAACGTATCTATTGTGCGCCGGCCTTTACTCTCTCTCAGATTGAACGACCGCGCATGGGAATTGACTATGAGCACCACAGGCGGCGGTGCTACCAACTAACAAAAAAAAAACCGTTGAATGCCTGTTCGACTGAAAACATGCAAACGTTATGTCTATTTGTCTGTGGTATCATTGTGCTTACCACGCAATACAATTTTGTATGCATTTGTGTTGCCATAAATGCTCGCAATTAATAACTGTTAGTGTATCTAGAACACAAAGTTGAGAGCCGGCAACACGCTCGCAAAATAAGCGTAAAAAGCAAAGAAGAAGAAGATTGATTAATTTCTTTATTATAGAGACTTTCAGCCGTTGGCTGGTTCGTCTCTGAAAAGATAGTGTGGGATCCAGAAAGGATCTCATCTAATTACAATGTATATTTATTTATTTTTTCTCCTTTTTTATCATGTTAGGAGGTCTATAAGAGGGCTCCTCTAGTTAAGTATTGAGGCTGTCAATGTACTGTCTTTATTCGGAGTTTTGATTATTAAGTTCTAGATAGAGCTGGAATTAGGGCGTAACAGCATTTGTAAACTATGACTTCTATCGATGATTTCTAGGAACTCAAGGCACACCCACGCAAACCAAAACAACCGTCGGGTAGGGGAACTCTTCCCCTACCGGATGGTGTTGTTGATTTGCGTTGACAAGCCTTAACATTCTAGAAATCATCAAAAGAAGTCATTGTTTACAAAAGCTGTTATGCCCCAATTCCAGCTCTATCTAGAGTTGCTGAGGATCTTGCTTTGGTTTGAAATGTTGGGTGATAAAGAAGAAGATGTAATGCCTATAAACAACAGCAATGAAAGGAACGTAGTAAATGTTTAATTCAATTCAATCGACATAGGTATGCATATTACGGCTTCGCTTCGACCGGGTGTTTCTGCATATGAATCAACAATTCTCGCTTTCGAATGTACGCCGCCGAACACTGGTCGCACCGGTACGGGCGTTCTCCGGTATGGACCCCCATTTCGTGTCTCTTGCGGTCGGTAACATGGGAAAACTGCTTCCCACAGGAATCGTGTCGGCAAGGATACGGTTTTTCGCCCGTGTGTGAGCGCACGTGGAGGTCATGTTTCGCTTTTGTGGAAAACTTTTTCACACAGTATTTGCACTCGTACGGAAAGCAGGTGGGATGCACTCCACGCACGTGCTTCTTCAACTGGAAACGGAACCGAAACTGTGCACCGCATTGGTCACAAGAAAAATCCCGCTCCTGATCGTGGGTCGAGCGATGCGCTTTCATCAAATTCTTCGTCCGGAATGTCTTGTCGCAGATGTCACATGGATGCTGAGGGATTGTTCCCGAATGGACGAGAAGCTCGTGCTCGCGCAATGTACTGGGAATGAGGAACGACTCTGCACAGAAGCTGCAGATGTGTTTCTTCTTTAAGGCACGATTTCGATGAAGTAGCAGCAGTTGCTGTGACCCAAAGGATCTTTGGCAAATGGTACATACGTAATCTTCGTTTGATCTCTCGGAAATATTAATTTTTCGGCGTGGTGTATGCTGTTCATCCACGTGAGCCAGAAGCAGTTTTTCGGTTTCATAAGTGTTGGTACATTTCAGAAAGCAACAAGAAAATCCCATGACGATGTCCAATCGCCGTTCATTGTTTGCCGTGGATGCAGCATCTTTCAATATGCCAATGCCAGTTGTATGACCGGGAGTAGTCTGGAAATGCTTCATCATGTGGAACTTCCTTGCGTAGACAATTTCACATAACTTGCAGTAGTACAATTCCTTAACGTAACGACAGTGTGTCTTATGGGCATTCAATGCCCATAGAGCTTTGAACTTTTCGTGGCAAATTTCGCAGAAGGGTTTATCCTGCGGTGCAAGTTGTTCAATGTGATGCTCTAAACGTGCATGATCTTGTAGTTGTTCGAAGGACTCGAAGTACACTCCACACCCGCAGCATCGTTCAGCATTATCCATATGAACGATTTGATATTGTTCGTAATCTTCCACCGAACTTATCAAGTTCTGATCCGGCAGCTTGGATGAAAAGCGCTGACTGTGAGATTTGTTTTCCGTATTAATACTTGATAGTTGATAATCTATTTCAATATCATGGCCATCGGTAGCGGGTGGTTCAACTAGTTCACTGTTTAAGCTTGCACTAGACGAACCCTGCCTTACCGAATCTTCCACGATTTCATCGTTAGACGTTAGTTGATGTGTATCCATGTGTATCATAAAAGTATTCTTCCCTTGAAATCCTTGAAGACAAATTTTGCACAGAAATAGTTCTTTGGACTTAAAACGTTGTTCGTGCTTATCAAGATCTGCTTCGCTGTGAAATCTTTTTCCACAAATGGGACAAGAACGTTCGGTCCGTGCGAACTGTGCAATAGTTCCGTGTGTCTCTTCTGCGTGTGCTTCGAGCTCGATCATACTCCCGAGGAAGACATCACATCCACAGCATTTATGACCTTGATACTCAATGTAATCAAAGTTGTCGAACTCTAGACGATTCAGAATCATCTCTTTCGGAGGTAAAACGAAATTCTCGGTGGATGAACAATTTTCCAAATCTCGACAATCTTCCTCTATCTTATCGCAATCATCTTCTTCGTAGACAAGAAATTCCGCTTCATACACATCTTCTTCATTGGAAATGAGTTCAATTTCTATCTTCATACCGACCGCCTTTTGATGAACCCTGAAAGAGAACAGAAAACATGATCCTATGCCTGTAAAATTAAGCGCAAAAACAACTACTCACATTCGTTGCTCCTCAACCTGGAGTATTTGCTGTCTAAATAAATAGCAATCGACCAGACGTGACAGACATTTATCCACACAAACATGCTGTGGTCCACCGTCTTCCGGTGTTATGGAAACTTCCGACAATTCGAACACAATTTCGGTCAGTTGAGTACCGTTGGTGAAATTCGCTGAATCATAGAGAGACACACATTCACCTGTACTTGGACAAAAGCGACAAACACGGTTATCTTGGGTGGTCATCGGAACGGTAGTAAATCGCCAGCAGTTAACGAAATAATTGTGATGCGAAAGTCCGACAGAGTAGAATCGATTTTGTTTACATTTAGGTTCAATGAATTAGAGCTCCTAGCCGTGACGGCTTGGTAAACTGTCACGTATGAAATCATCGAATTCGTATAGTTCAGGAAGTTCAAGAGCTACAATGCAAAAAGGCATATTTACCAACGCAATGCTTTGAAAACGACGAGGAAAACGACTAATCAACATGTCGGGGTCAACATTTCAAAGGGGCGTATTTGCTTTTGTAAACAATGGCTTAAGTTGTCGATTTCTCTCAAATAAAAGCTCATCCGTCCAAATTAACAATGCTTATGGAAACATTATTCTACCTTGTTTTAAATACAATTACGCCTGTTTAAAATGTTGGCACTGATTTATTACTCATTTCCCACCAAACTGGACAAATAAGCGCGTTTTCACTCATTAAAAAGTGTGATAAAAGTGCACATTTACGTCAAATCGTTTGGTTATCTTCGGTGCACTTCCCGCATAAGCGCGAACCATAAATTGACCTTACCTAAAATGGTTATAAATTGTTTATAATCCCTGCTAAACTTCAACTGAAATGGTTATGGAACTTTACATGAACGTTTAATGATAAAGTTTTAACCTTAAGTATTATAGTTTTTTGGAAGTGGACCTTACAAATAATGGGTTGTTAAGAACCATTACCATTCAAAATTCTTGTTTTCTCCATACATTTTCGGTAATGTTTATGGTAACCATAACATTAATGGTAATGTTTATGGTAACCAGTAAGGTCCATGAATGGTTTTGTAACATCGATCAACTTTATGTGGAATATATCGCGAATTGGTTGCCTGTAAATTACTGATTACCAATTCACGATATATTTCACGTAAAGTTGAGTGATAATACAAAACCATTAATGGACCATACTCACTACCATAACCATAACCATTAATGTTCTCAAACCATAAGTAAAAACGTTCTAATATAGTTCTTTTTCCGAAAATGTATGGAGAAAACAAGAATTTGGAATGGTAATGGTTCTTAACAACCCATTATTTGTAAGGTCCGCTTCCAAAAAACCATAATACATAAGGTTAAAACACAGTTAAAACTTTATCACACAAACGTTCATGTAAAGTTCCATAACCATTTCAGTTGAAGTTTAGCAGGGATTATAAACAATTTATAACCATTATCGGTAAGGTCATGTGATGGTTCGCGTTTATGCGGGTTGTTCCTGATGGAGTAAGAAATAAGTGAACCGAATACAACAAAACGATTTGACGTAAACGTGCACTGATTGATTGATTTCTTTATTAAAGAGACTTTCAGCCGTAGGCTGGTTTGTCTCTGAAAAATAATATACACGCTAAGATCAGATAACCCAAATGTAGGTTTACTTTACCCAAATCAGGCGTAAACTGCACAAACTCAGATATGGGTAAATTTTTTTAACCCAAATATGGGTAAATTTAGGTCAAATTTGCATGAAAATAAATCATTTATGGATCATAAGAACCCATATTTGGGTTAAAAAAATTTACCCATATGTGAGTTTGTGCAATTTACGGCTAATCTCGGTAATCTCTTTGTACCGTCTAGGTAAACTGATCTTAGCGTGTATGAAAATACAGTTGATCCAAATTCATTTTTTTTTTTCACTTTCATCCTAGCTGCTTATTTTTGCTCCTCGTCTTGACTGGTGAGTCCGGAACTGACAATTCATCTTCTTTTTCTTCCATCGAATTTTCATTTCCTGCTGATTCATCATTCTGGCAACCCTGATTCGTAATATATTGTTTCGCATTGTTGTGTTTTTGTTTCGTTGACAGCCGTCGTTTGTTGGTGACGGTTAGAAATTCATCCGATTCACTATCCGTCGATTCTTGTGCGCTATTGTTTCCATCAGAGTGTTGGTGCTGGGTGTTTTTGCTGGTTTCGCCTATTGTAGATTGGGTTTGATTGGTATCGGGTTCCTATCTCTATTTCCGAGCCCCATATAGCAACTTATGTCTGCACCAGTAGTAGCTAAACGGGGTTGAAAAATGAGAACGCAACAAAAAGAAATCATGAGTTTTCATATTTGGCGCCCCACTTAAACTCTGCTCTGGGTCGCTATTTTGTTTGCTTGTGACACTTCTGCTTTGGTTCACACTTTTTCGGTTTACATTTTGTGATTCAATTTACGTTTCGCTATGTGGTTCAGGGCATTTTCACAGTAAGCATGCATTAGGGCGTAAACGTCGATTTTTTCTTTTGTTAATAACTCACTGGAATTGACGTTTCTCTGTGCGTTTGCTGTTGCCTTAGATAGCCAATACTACCTGTTACAACTCTGCATTGAACAAATTCTGAAAAATTGTTTCGCTCAGCTGTAGCAATGCAAAGAGAAAATCGATTTCATTGCGTTTTGTGAGGATGAATACCAATGCAAGAGGTGAAAGCTGGATATCCGAAGAAGATACGGTGATTTGTCTTGCGTGGTTGGATGTGTCGCCATCACAGGAATAAACCAGAAGGTAGATATTATTATTATTATTTATTGACTTATAATTTGTAACTTAAGACTTATGTCTTTCTTCTGTTACATCGATTATATCAAAGTATAACAAGCGCCACAAGTATATTACAAAACAAAAAAAAAATGATACGTAACACAAACTGAGCTACATTTACTACTCAACTAAAATGCTCAATACATCCTCTCTTAAATGCTGTTAACGAATTTACATTAGTTAGACTATTGGGTAAAGAATTCCAGTGAACTACACCTCGCACGAAAAATGAGTTCCCGTACTTTGACGTGCGATGTCTTGGCAAAATATATTTAATGGACCGATTGCTTTGTGAAGTTTGCAATTTTCTGTGTAGATAACCGGGTTGTTTTGTTCTCGACAGACTATGCAAAAATAAACAACAGCGTAGCTTGCCAAAGTTTACCAAAGGGCATCCTATTAGATGATGTTGCAGGTGAGAAACTCTAGAATATCTACTTAATTTAAAAACATATCGAACACATGAATTAAGAGCCACCTTAAGTTTATTGAACGTACCAGCAGATACATCATCGAGGAGAAAATCACATGCCAAAAAATAAGGAAGAAGGAGGCTTTTGAATAGTTTAATTTTAACATCAGTTCTAAGAAATGATGATGTTATGTGAAGTGAACGTAAACAAGCATAAATTTTTCCACATTGTGACAACACATATTTATCCCATCCAAAATTGGATTGAATACGGATACCCAAGCTGGTAGCATTATCGACGTATTCAATTGTTTCATTGTCTAAAAGCAATGAAGGTTTTAATATATTTTGAAAAGAACTATTTGTAATAAAAATTGCGTTTGTTTTCTTGGAGTTCAAGCTAAGCATATTATTTACAGACCAATCTAGGATCCTCTTCAAGTCTTCATTAATTTTCTGAGAAATTTCAGCAACAGAATTACTTGCACAGTCAAAGTATACCTGAGCATCATCGGCAAACAGATGAAATTTACAATTCTTTATTACTTCAGGGAGATCATTAATGTACAATGAGAATAAGATTGGCCCCAGAATAGAACCCTGGGGAACCCCAGATGTTATGGAAATAAATTGAGAAAAAACTCCATTATTAAATACAGCCTGTGTTCGCATACTTAAATAAGAATTAATCAAGTTTGCGGAATGATCGGAAAAACCAAAATTTGATCTGAGTTTTTGACATAAAATTCTATGCGACACAGTATCAAACGCTTTAGAAAAATCTAATAGTATTAGAACAACCGGGCGACCCTTGTCTACTACTAGACCTATATCATCAATTATTTTGAGCATAGCTGTTTTAGTACTATGTTTCGAACGATAACCTGACTGAAATTGATTCAGAAGATTGTGTCTATTGATGTGATCGCAAATGTTCATATTAACAATTTTTTCAAATACTTTTGATAATGAGCAAAGGATGCTAATAGGTCGCAAGTTTTCTAAAGTGTTCAAATTAGCCTTTTTCTTAATTGGTATAATTTTTGATTTCTTCCAAGCATCTGGAAATACACTTGTAGTTACAACAGTGTTAAATAAGTGTGTTATAGGCTCAATTAATAGAGGACAAATAGCCTTTAAGAATTTCATTGGTAGCATGTCGACTCCAAGAGCATTTGATTTGATGGAGTACATGGCATTTATGACATCTACTTGGTTTATTCTATCAAAATAGAAAACATCGTGGTTAAACCCGTTTGAACCCGTAGAACTAAAACTTCGAATATTATTGTCGGAAAAATAATTGCTAAAGTTACGGTTTATTTCATCAGCCGTAAAGCTGTTCGATGATTGTTCATTTGCTTGATCGAATCCAAGTGCCCTGAGATTTTTCCACAATTCCTTAGGAGAAACCTTCGGATCAAGACGAGAAGCAAAATAATTTTGTTTTGCTGTGCGTATCATCTTATTTACGTGGTTTCGTGCTCTTTTAAACTCATGATGATCAACCACGTTGTTACTTAATTTCCATTGTTTGTATAATAAGTCACGATTAACGATGGCCCTACATATGCTAGAATTGAACCAAGGATTATCCTTTTTATTACTAATAGTAGTTCGGATTGGAACGAAAGTGTTATGGAGATCTGTCAAAACATTGTTAAAAAATTCTAACTGCAGGTTGGAGTCATCAACGTGATAAAAAGAACTCCAATCAACCGAGTTAAAAGCCTCCACCAATGAATCAACTTGAATAGCATTGTAGTCACGATATTCGATTTTCTTTGAAGTATGCATGACACTGAAATCAAGGGATGCAAAAATTAAGTCATGGTTGGATAATACAGGTACTTCAATTTGGTTAAATCTCAACACTTTTGATGAATCATTAGCAATAATTAAATCCAATTGCGACGCTCCACTTCTGTGAAAGAATGTTGGCTCGTTACCCAATGAATATAGAGAGTGAGTGGTGAGCAGGTTACAAAGCCTGGCAGACTTTCCTGAATGATTGGTCAACAAGTTCGTGTTGAAATCACCCATAAAGAAAACATTTTTATAGGCAAAACCATAAGACGACAGTAAATTATCCATTGTATCCGAGCAGTCAATTTCAGGAGGGTTGTAGCATGCAGTCATTAGAAGTTTTTCATTTTGTACGATAACTTCGACAGTAATAAATTCTGTGCAGGTTACTCCTGTCTGGTTATTTGACTTGGTTATAATATTGAAGGCAATGCCATTTTTTATGTATAGTAGTACACCACCTCCCAGCCGTCCTACACGATCATGTCTAACTATATTATAGCCATTGATAGTTATAACAGAGTCTTTTATACTTTCATTCAACCAAGTTTCAACCAAGATAAGCAACGGCAGCAATCCAAGGATCCTATATCCAAATTTAAATCGCTGAAAATCAGCAAAATTTTGCTGATTTTAGACTTGATGAAAGATCAGCAAACTTTACAGCAAAATATTGCTGATGAATTTTCCAGCAATTCCAACTTCTGTCAAAATGAAAATATTTGACTGAAAATCAGCACATATTTCAGCAATATTTCTTTATTGATTTTCTGCAATAAACAATTTTGACATTTGGCAGCATTTTGCTGATTAAACCATTAAACTCAGTAAATCTAAATTGTTTTCACTAGGGACTTCTAGCTTCTGTAAAAGATCGTTGATACAAATATACAAATAATAGAGACCCAGGCTCTGTTCCATGTATAATTTATTAAATATAATCAGTGTCCGGGCCAGTGTCATTACCTACGTAATTTGTAGTTTTTTTACGTTCTGCGGTGTAAACAGATTTGTAAGAAAGCAAAATACTTGCGACTGTGATTCTATCAGTTTGACAGCTCTTAACTGGGTGTCGAGCAATCGTTTATGTTAGCTGAATTTATCGGAAAAAATATCGTTTGCTGTTTTTTAATAAAGCATTTGATTGCTGAATCATGATCCAGCAATCTGTTTTACTGATATTGAAAACTTAAATTTGGTGTGTAGCATTACATGAAATCCACGATTCTTTCCAACACACAACAATCTCTCCACATCGTCAGGTGTCGGATAGCGTAGGTACTTGGGGCCGTAAATACGAACAGTGGCTTTACAAAACTCCACAAGAGATTTCAGCGCTGTTGTCTCTGCCATCCTGATGTATTCTGCATGCCATATGCAAGCTGAAGGATTGCGCCGGTGCATTTTTCAAGGCCAGTTAATCCTAGTTTACCAGCCACATCAGGCTTTTGCACGCAGTAAGGATTCGTGGCTTCTATTTCTGCAACAATCTATGTAAACAAGTTTCGAGACATTCTAAACCGCCGCCCGCTATACGTGGAACTATTGGAGAAATAATCTTAAATCAGCTCCTTCATGAGCACCCCTGTTGATATTCGTTTTTTTTTTTTTTTTGCTGGATCCTCCAGCTCATTTATCTTGTCGTCTTCCGCAGTCCTTAACAACAGTTCATATGACTGGAAAAGGTAATGCTGTACAACTTCAATGTCTTCCTCGTCACTTAAAATGATGGAATCAGCTGCCCCGGGAAACAATCTGCCGTGATCGACCGATAAATATTAAATATTACAACAATATGACGATGTTCTTTGTTGTTATATTGTTGGGTTTTAGCAACACACGGTAGAACCGTAGAACTGTAGAACGACATTACCAGAACAACATGTGAAAAGGGCATACAAGCTTTTTGTAAACAAACATTTGTAGGCCCTTTTCTCACCAACCGAGGGTCGCCCACGCAAACCAGCAATATCATCGGGAAGGGGAAAGTGTCCCCTACCCGGTGATGTTAAAGGTTTGCGTTGGTGTCATATGGGTGGCGAGAAAAGGGCATAAGAAGGTTTGTTTACAAAAAGCTTGTATGCCCTTTTCACATGTTGTTCTGGATTAATTAAGTCGCTAAACTCAAAAGAGAAACCAACATGAATCACCGGTGGAAGAATGCCCTAATAAAAAATAACCATAAACGAACGATAACCCAAATCATTGAACTATTCCATAAATGGTTAGGATGATACCCAGAACACGTCGTTAAGCAAATTAACCATACAATTTTTATTAGGGTGGGGTGCCAAACTAAAATAGCTCCCGTGGCGGTGCTCTAAGGAGCACTTATTTCTTGCTTCATAAGAAATAAATTCACCGAAGACAACCAAACGATTTGACGTAAACGTTCACTTTTATCACACTTTTCAATAAGGGAAAACGCGCTTATTAAATAATTAAATTAAATTTTGTCCAGTTTGGTGAGAAATGCGCAATATTTACTTCGGGGTTCACAATGTGCCGTTGAATATGGATGCCCCTTTGAAAAAAAAACATCGCACCCTGTTCATCGTCCCTTGACAGTGGAAAACGGAGCGCATCAGAAAAGAAGCAAAAGTCTCCGCGCGACGACGACAGCAGCAAAAAAGCATTCTCCATCTTAAGTTTTCTTCGCGGTGTATCGGGACAGTGAAGTGCAGTGCAGATAATCTCATCAAAATCTGCTATTCCGGATCAGAAAGTCTATCAATCCGTGTGTATTATCGTCGTGAAGTGTTGTGTTTCCATATTCCGGTATTGAAAGAGTGCAATCAAGCTGTTCCGCGACAGGGTGTAAGAAAATTGCGGGCGCCAAAATCGCTGCAGAATTTATTGTGTGCGGAGACGAAGGCAGCCGTAGGAGAAAAAACAAGCTACCAAAAGTGGAAGAATAATCGGTTTTTCTCGCTGCCCTGGATTATAAGGTGGAGCTATTCGCGATCCCCGGGAAGTGGCGGACGCCAAGAAAACAGAAAACAACAGAATCATCCGTCATCTGAATCAATTTACCCAATGAAAAGGAAAATACCCTTCTGGATGTCGCAGCAAAATGTAAGAATCATTCTGATCTCGTCTTGATATTCTGTGAGATTATTCGGGAGGTGGTGCTTGATTACCTAGTCAATATAAAGAAGGAATCGATTTTTCACCCCATGTCAATGCATTCACGTTTTGAAGGAAACCTACTGCTTCAATCGTATGTAAACAAAAGACCCAGATTGGTGATGATACAAAAATGTTGAACATTGTAGTTAATAGTTCATTCAAGTTAAATTAAAGTTCATATTACAAGAGAAAGAGCGCATACAGTGGAGGAGGCATCCTTCAGAAAATACATCAGGGTGAAGTGCGACAAGCTTACCAAACAGCAATAAAAAAAGACCTGAGCATTCAATCTACAACGATGTATAGAGCAAAGGTACCTGTGTTCTGTGCCTTCTTCCTTTTTGCTGTGAGTGAATGCAGAGCGGAGTGGAGTGGAGTTGAGCAACAACGCGCATATTCTTTTTCTCCGGTTGTTTTTGTTTTGCTTTTCTTTTTAACCACCCATCTCGTGCTGCTGCAACCGTACCTACAACGCAACGCGTTTTTGTATTTATATGGTGGCTGTGCGAAGCGAAGACCGCGACCATCATCGGTGTACCTATCTCCGAATAACGAGACGCCCCGCACGGCTCTCAGCGTTGCCAGAATGTCTGCATACGCACCTTGAGAACGGAGTCGGAGCCGGATATATGATTGGTTGTAATTGCCATTGATGGAGTTTAGGTTTAGTTTATAACTAATAGTTTGTAGGTAAATCCGAGGTTTTCTTTATGAGCAATTTTGATAAGCTATATAGGGAACTTCCTAGTGCAAATTTAAGAAATTACATTCTAATGTCGCGATAAGTTATAGGTAAATTCATGCCATTGTACCAATTACCGCTTACGGGCGTCTAAAACTACAATTTTTCAAATCATAATCATCTAATGTGATATGTGTTTTGGTTTCTGCTTCTTTCAGGCTATGAACAGTTATATTAAGTTCGTTTTGAGGTTGTCGAAGCCTATGCAAAATAAAACTCAATGTTTTACGCCCTAATTTTTGCTCTATCTAGAAGTCTTTCTTGTTGGAAGGTCTTTCAGAGTCAGACTTCCCCCCAAGATTTTGTTTCGAGATGATAAAATATAACATTTTTGTAATAACTTTGGTGGCGTAGAACAAGAAAATGTCAATAGGATCTAAGGGATCATTTTATTTATGCGCATGATTGCGTTTCTCTTGAAGATGTTTTTAGATTTTTGATATATCACCAGGAAGCTGAAATTGCCTATAGTAGGCAAAAGTTCAACCTACGCCTACGCAAACCAATATAACGATCGGGTAGGCAAGTTCAAAAAAGCATTTATTTACTCCAATAAATAATAAATGGAGCAGAATGTGACAAAAGCCTCGACAAAAATATGACCCTATTGCATTTAATGTCAAGATAGCAACAGAACCGGGAATTCGAAAATTAACTCGAAACCCGGGGAAAAAACCCTGGAATTTGGTTGGAAAACCGAGAAAAATAATTAAACTCCCTCCCGTTGGACATGCAGGTAGACGTTACTAAAGTAAAGGATTATATTGCCTATAATCGCATATCAGTCAGTCCCATATGGATTTTAGTCAATTTTGAGATAATGCTATGTATTATCAATTGGCATCTACTTTTATATTATGTGATAAAACTACAGACTTTGATTTTTTACTTTGAAAAACATCAAGTCAGAATAATCGCATATCAGTCCCAAACTCAAATTCAATCGTCCTGAAGTCAAGTTACATTTCTGCTTTATGAGTTGGCATGTTTTTCGCTGATCTAACAAAACATACAAGCTTAGATGCAACAGATTTTAACTATATTTTAAATATGAATAAATTATGATTTTTCAAAAGAGTCTCACTTCGTAACTTCGACTGACAATTTATCAATGCCGACTTTTTCCATATGGGACTAATAAGCGATTACTAGCAGTATCGGTCTTAAAATATTTTCAAATATTATAATCTTCCTTAGTGGAAAATATAAACATGTGGTACTCGTTTTTACAAAATCGGTTATAGTTTGCACTAATGCTGTGAATTTGAGATTTTTATTGATCATTTGATAAAAATTAGAGCTTTCGATTATTTTGTCTTTTTGATTCAAATAGAAAGTTTTGCAAATGGTTCAAGTAAAATAGCCACTTAGCTTTAGAATACATCGTTAAACTGTATTTTTTTTTATCTAATATGTATGCCAAATTCTAAATACGACCTAGATTATTTAATACTCTAGAATATTGTTTGTTGTTGTTTTACAGCAATCCAGCCCGAAGCCCCAATAATGTTAATCTTATCAGCTATTGTAAGAAAAAAAAATACAAACATGAACATAACATAAAAAACAGATATCTTATAGTCAGTTACTCTTGCCGATGAAAAACGGAGGATTTCGACGAAGCGCATGAGGTTGTTACGAAGCGGTCGGGGTTGAACATTCAGGTCAATTTGCCTCAGGATAGCTTCGTAATCTGTCCTTTCCTGCAGGATATCAGCCACGGTTCGGGCTCTGCTTGTGTCACTTCTAGTCCGGAGAGGTTCTATGTCGATGAGTTGACAACGGCTAATCGGGAACTGGGTAAGTGACGTTGAACAGATTCGATTCGCTCGACACCGTTGTTGTAGTTTAGGTTCCAAACCGCTGAACAATACTCAAGCGTCGATCGAACAAACGAACAATAGAGATAATTAAACAGTAGATGTCGGTAAAGTTTTTAGCTATCTTGAAAATTAACCCTTAAGTTTTAGACGCCTTATCGACAACATATGCAATGTGTTCCTTGAATGATAGCTGCGAATCCAAGATCAGACCCAAGTATTTCACCTGATTCACGCGTTCGATTGTCGAGCCTACATTTAGTTGACGTTGAAGTGACAGTCAGAAATCGAGTGGATTGCAGCGGATTACCAATCAGGCTAAGGTCGTGTTGTCCTCTGCTGTCGGAAGAAGTAGTTTCCACTCTACTCGATCCATGGCCACACTTCGCTAGCCTCGTAGTCAGCGAAGGGTCCGCAGGTCGCCTTCTACTTGGTCGATCCACCTTGCCTGCTGCGCGCCTCTACTTGTTCATGTTGGGTCGCTTTCAAGAACCATTTTCATTGGGCGTCGTCCGGCATTCTTACGACGTGACCAGCCCACCGTAGTCTCCCAAATTTTGCAATGTGGATGATGGATGGTTCTCCCAGCAGCTAGTGCAATTCATGGTTCATTCACCTCCTCCATGTTCCGTCATCCATTTGCGCTCCACCGTAGACGTTTCGCAACATCTTCCGTTCGAAAACACCACGGTCCTCTACGAGCATAGTCCAGGTCTGGTGGCCGTAGAGGACCACCGGTATAATCAGCGTCTTGAAGATAGTCAACTTCGTACGGCGGCGAATTTTATTCTACCGGAGCGTCCTCTGGAGTCCAAAGTAGGCACTATTCCCTTTCATAATGCGTCTTTGAATTTCTCTGCTGGTATAATTTTCGGCGTCACCAGTGAGCCCAAATACACGAACTCGTCGACCACCTCGATTTCGTCCCCGTCAATCTGAACTCGGGGTGAGAGGCTAACATTGTCTGCCCTAGACTTCCGTGCCATGATGTCGATGTCATCGACGAAGCCAAGAAGCTGGATGGACTTCCTGAAGACCTTCTAACGCGATGTTGAATAGCAGACATGAAAATCCATCACCTTACCGTAATCCGTAACCTTCGAGATTCAAAGGGACTCGAGAGTGTCCCCGATATTCGACCAACGCACATCACTCGATCCATCGTCGCCTTGACCAATCTCGTCAGTTTATCCGTAAATCCGTACTCGTGTATAATCTTCCATAGCTGATCTCGATCGATTGTGTCGTAAGTGGATTTGAAATCGATGAACAAATGGTGTGTGGTGTGCACGTTGTATTAGCGGCATTTCTGCCGAATCGCGAACATTTGGTCCGTGGTAGCGCGGGCACCCATGAATTCCGCCTGGTATTGCCCCACGAACTCTCTAGCAAATAGTGGCAGGCGGCGGCATGGAATTTGGGAGGGTTACTTGTAGGCGGCGCTCAGCATGCGATCGCGCGGTAGTTGCAGTAATCCAACTTGTCACCCTTTTCGAAGATTGGGCATACGACACCTTCTATTCACTCCTCCAGTAATATCTCCTTCTCCCAAATCTTGTTAATTACCCAGTGCATCGCTCTAGCCAGTGCTTCACCACCGTATTTTAATAGCTCACTTGGTAGTTGATCTAAACCAGCTTTGTTGTTCTTCAGCAACTTCTTGAAGATCAGGGGCCGTTAGTCGTTTGCTGCGCGTGCTCCAAGGTCTGTTGCCGTGCCACCTTTGTTTTCTGCTGCATCACCGTTGAGGTGCTCGTCATAGTACTGCTTCCACCTCTCAATAACCTCACACGTGAGAAGGTTACCGTCCAAGGCCTTGCACATATCGGTTTGCGGCACTTAGCCTTTGCGCGAAGTATTTAGCTTATCGTAGAACTTCCGTGTGTCGTTTGCGCGGTACAGATTTTCCATCGTCTCGCGATATCGGTCTTCCTGCTGACGGCCCGGACCTTATATAAAGGACATTGGGATCGCAGTACCAAGTGCCGCTGCAGCAGTACTACCTATGGCGGAACGGATGTCCCTCCAGCCATCTTCAAGAGTAGCTGCGCCAAGGTGCTCTTCCGTGGGTAGTGCAGCTTCCAGCTGCTGCGCGTAATTCTGGCAACTCAGGCGTCTCGTAATTGCTCAATGTTGGGTCGCGGCGTTCGATTTCGAAGGATGTTATGCACCATCGAGAGTTTAGAGCGCATGCATACTGCAACTAAGTACTGGTCGGAATCTATGTTCACACTGCAGTACGAAGAATTTCCCGTCGATTTGGTTTTCTGTGTGTTGGTCAGGTGATCTCCAGGTGGCTTTGTGGATATCCTTGCAGGGTAAAAAGGTACTTCGGACTACCATACCGCAAGAGGCTGCAAAGTTCACGCATCGTTGGCCGTTGTCGTTCGATACGTTATGCGTCCTACCGCAGCGTTCATGTCGTCGATTTTGACGTCCCGTTGCGAACAGTCGTCGTACACCTGATTCAGCTGCGCATAAAACGCTTCTTTCTCGTCGTCGGGTGTCCCTTCGTGTCGGCAGTGCACGTTGATGATGCTGGTGTTGAAGAAACGGCCCTTAATCCTTATAGCTTGCACATCATCGCGTTGATCGGCTCGTTGGTGGTACCACAGCTCTGGTAGAAAGTAGCCGCCTCGGTAGCCGCTCGATGCCATCTTTTCCATACCTTTTGTCCCGTCCAACAAAGTTCCTGCAGTGCTACGACTTCAAAGTTGTGTGGTTGAAGTTCGTCATAGATTAACCTATCGCAGCCCGGGAAGCCGAGTGATTTGAAGTTCCATGTTCCGAGTTTCCAATCGTAGTCCTTATTTCGTCACGTAGGTCTGTGCCGATTGTTCCGATGCGTGTTTCTTTCTTCGGTATTTGCCTGCCCCAACCCCCTGTCTCGCCGGGGACCATGTTGCACAGCACTGTTTAGATTCCCACAATGGCACTAGGACGGTGATCAACCGCTCTCAACATGGAAAACAGCCTCCGTTTTGGGGCGCACCTCTATGGTGAACAGACGCTCGGGTTGCCGGACTGACAACATTTCCCAGGTTGCGTTACCCAGCTGTGTACATGTTTAAGCTGGTAGGAACTTGTGAGGACCAGAGCTAGGTATTCTTCCAGGTTGTCAACTCACCATTTTGTATCTACAATCTCCTATGGCAATTATACAAACTCATGTATTAGTATACCAATAGGTATCAAAAGCTCTCATTCAATAACCTTAGACTTAACAAATTCCGTTGAGAGGAACCGTGCACTGCGTCGCCCATAATGAAATAATATTTGCACGGTCGTTTCCGCAAGAGAAGAAGAACACGTCACAGACAAAAAGAAGCCAGTTATCTCCTCTTCATCTTATAGAGAATTCGTTTATTATTCAGTTCCAACCTGGATCGGGTATCAAGATTGGATTTGCTTGTTTTCTGACAAACGTCAGTTTGCTCGTTTCTTTTTAAAACCTTGCTCAGGTTGAGGTTCGCACTGACAAAAAGTTCGATTTCGCACTAGGTTGGAACTGGTTCCACCTCGATAATAAACGAATTCGCTATTAATTATATAGTAACGACAAGTCAAAACTGGAACGCTGGATTATCTGTCAACGGCTTGGAAAACGTCATTCCAATCGAGCAGAAGACCTGTCAAATGGCTGAAAGGTCGTCATTCTCCCTAGAGGCACTATAATTTCTCTGTGCTATAATGATGCTATATGGCAATTTGGAAAAAAAAGTATGCCAAATGTTCTCATTCCAAACGACTTTATGCCAGATGTGTTTCCCTCACACAACCTTACTTTTTACCTGTACATACACTTGATCTGCTTATTTTTTTTTATATCTATCCCTTTTAGGCAATATTTTACAATTTGTTGACGTTTCGAAAGTTGAGGTGACGCCATTTATGGGGTGTTTACACTTTTGCTATTTCGCTAGGGCTAATGAGCTAGCTGCTAGCAAAAAAGCTCACCAGCATAATGTAAACAGGTCATCAGTGTCTACCAGCATAAGATTTTAGGAGCAACTGAAATTCGTTCCAGGTTTTTTTTTTTTTTTTAATCTTTATTTTAGAGATTTTTAGCCTGAGGCTAGTTCATCTCTTTGTTCCAGGTGGCTAGTACACTAGCGCTAGCAAATTCGCACAGATGTGAACACCTCATTAACTTAAAAAATACCGGTGGCGTTTTGGAGATAGAAACGACGCAACTTGACTTGTGCACAATAATTGAACAGAGACAAACCAGCCTGAGGGTGAAAATCTCTTTAATAAAGTAATCTCATAATAATTGGGTTTAACCGAAGACAACAAATCAAGAAGACTAGCAACTTTGCCAGAATCCAAGCGACAGTATCAGTGGTGCTGCGCTTGAGTGAAGGTGGAAGCAACGCATAGAAAAATGAGCAAATACACAAACCCTTCCTCTGAGGATGTAATCTTTGCTATCAAATTCGTTCGAAGCCTTTACCTTTGGGCTGCAGATGACGCGATTGTACCTGTCTCATAGCGTTCGTATGAGAAAATGGAAGAGTTGCCAGTCTTCTTGATTTGTTGTCTTCGATTTAACGTATTGACATATGATACATTTATCCTAGTAGTTATGCCAACCTTTGCCTTATTCCATTTTCAGGGCCACAGCCGTCGAGGAGCCTGATTTGTTCAACGGACTGGAGATCACTGAAATGGACGAGATAAACATGGATAATGGCGACGAGTACGTCTTCATTCCGTCGGACAACGAAAATGAGGATGAAAACGGATCCGGCAGCCATGTCTCGTTGATCAGTCAGTCGGTGTTCAATCCGACAGTGGCTTCCGGTGTGACCCTACCGGTGGTAAGTACGGTTAAGGAAGTCAAAACAATCGAAACGGTTCAAGGTGTTCCAGGCGTTGGACTGATGGATACGGAAAGCGATCAGCTCCTGGTTGGCATTGGCCTAGATAGTGCGTTGGTGAGAACTGCCAGCGAAGCGCGCGTTAAGGATGGAGAAATGATCATAGTGAAAAGAATAGATCTTACAGAGGAAGATGAAACAGTCAAAGAGCAAGATGATCAGAGATTCACAGTTAGTTATGATTTCAACTTAGACATGCAACAACTGCTCAACATTGAACAGGCGGAAGAGATGTCGGCGGAGGTTACTATTAAGGAAGAAATGGATATTGAAGAAGCGGTAGTAAATCTACCTGACGACGAGGAGACTGGTTTCTCCGAACAGTTAGGATCTCAGTTGGATTTGGTTGATCATGATGAGCACATTGTAGGTAGCGAAGTGATCACGCTGGATTCAGATGCAGCGGAAAGCGAGAACGAAGAAGACTGCGTCATGATGTCATTGTTGGAACAGTGGCCCATATCGATTAAGGAAGAAGGACCGGATGAGGACAGAACTCCAGTAGAAAATGACCATGCCTATACTTCTCAACCGTTGGAAGATCAAACAGTTCCAGATGCGGCAAATGTAGCAAAACCAGATGCTACAATACAAGCGTTAGTGGACATTTCCAAAAGATTTCTTGAAGAAGTTGGCCCTTCTCGTACTGACTTGGACGAAACTTTGAAAAGCATAGCTAGCATAGAAGAACAGCTAAAATCCCTTAAGGATAAGCTTCTTCAAATTGAGAAACCATCTGACGCAACTAAAGAAGGAACAGTTGAATCACCACTACCTCCACTTGAGGAGCCTACCAATGCGCATCCTTCGCGAAAGGAATCCAGCGAAATGGATGCTCTTTCGGTGGAACTATCGGAAAATTGCTCCGAAAGGCTAGAGTGTAGTTCTGTCAGTGATCTTCCTCTATTCTGCTCGGACGTCGGAGAGAAGGGAAGCGAAATTGTAGGCCAGGAAGCTGCAGAAACTAATTCTGCAACTGCAACCGCAATCGACGATACGGAAGAGCAGTTAGAGAAGAAATCCACTTCAAATTTGTCCAAGATTCTGTCGCAAAATGCCTCGGAACCGTTGGAGCATGAAAGTGAACAGGCGATGGAGTCGGATGAACCAATAGGCACGAATGAGGAACCGTGTTCAATGGAGAATGAACAAGAAGCAATGGCAAATCTACAGCAAGTATTGGGAGAAGCAATTGAGGAAGTCAGGAAAGAGGCAGAAGAATTTCAGCAAGCGGAGGATGTTGCGCCTGCAAGTGCAAAAGGAGTAACAAATCAAGAAGGTTTGAAAATAGAAAGTTTGGAAGATCTCATCGCATATGGTGAAATGTTCACCAAAGAATGCGGAAACTGGTTGGACAAAATTAACAGCAACTGTCGGCGATCAGAAGAGGAAGAAGGAGTCGTTAAGGAATCATCCCAAGCAAACAAGGAACAATTTTTAAAAGCGGAACGCTTTATGGGTTCTCTGACGAAGGATGTGCAGAGGTTAGCTTTGAAAGTTTCTTCCAAGGAGAAAAGCCGTCCTGATCGGGTAGAAGTATCCGTACAAACAGAAAAAATCCAGCGTACCGGCGCCAGTGCGAAAACCCTGAATGAGAAATACAAAAAGCGTTTACTCAGCTCGCTGGGTGAAACAGAAGTAGCGGAGCAAGGCTTATCGGACAGTGACGGCGAATCGTACGTTTCGAACGATGGGAGCACTAGATCGAGTGATGCGGGCGATTCAGACGTTTACGACGACGCTGACGATGATGAAGATGAAGCAGCATTCGAGAGGCGACAGAATCGAAGAAAATCGAAACGTTTGAGGCAGCAACTAGTGAAGGAAAATGAAACACCGAACCAGGATGGATCGGACGAAGACGAGGTACAGCCGAGTAAAAAGAGAAATGCTCGGAGGTTGGGTAGCACTGATTCCTCGCATGATAAAGCAGACAGCCCATCTAAATCGTCTACTGTCGCTACGCTAGATGACAGTGAAGAAATTGCTGTAAAGAATGAGCCTTACGTGGAGATTGACTCTGAATCACCGAGTAATAAGAGTGTCATCCACAGGCTACATAATGGCGATGACTCTGTCGAGGCAATGGACGAAGATGCTACACCAATTAAACGGGAATCGTCAATCAATTTAACACCATCGCAGAGCCAAAGTGAAACAATTCCAGAGAAGCTAGCAGAAGAGAATGATGAATCAAGTAAGGAGCGTCGTGAAGATGATGGTGATGAGCAGTCAGATAGTGAGTTGCTTGATGATGTACTAGGACAGGTGGACGATATTCTTTTGGATGTTAATGATATTCTTCCTGCAGCGGAAGGGGTAGTGCAGGACTTTTTAGTAGAGGAAGAGGTGAGAACCGAACAGGAAGAGGAACGTAGAGAGCCGAAACGAGAGGAAATCAAGAGGAAGCCAAAGAGCAGTGGGAAGAAGATCGATAGCGAAGAGGAAGATGAGGTGGAATCCGATCTGGAAGAGAAGGAAAAGGAAAAGACACTTGATGATATGACGGAATCGGAACTTGAAGAATACTACGATAACCAGAGGGAAAAGGAAATCGACAAATTGTGTAACTTGGCTAACCTGGAGGTGGCGAGAAATGCGTACCCGCAGAAGCCTCAGGAGGTGAAAAAGAAACCAGTGGTAGTTAAGAAAAAGGAACGTGTTATAGATGACATTTTGAACGAAGTTGAATTACACCACGAATCCGACGACAGTGACTCTGATACGGAGGTTTTGGAGACAGAAGAGCTGTTCCTACAAAAGTGCAATGAAAACATGAAGAATCAACTGCTGAATCAGCTGAGTAGTAGCGACACGGAACGGGACTCGGGCAGTGAGGACAGTGTGGTAGAAGCTCTTAAACAGGAAGGAGAGTATGATTCGGATGACTCGGCGGGTTCGATCTTGATGGAGAAATTTCTAAAAAGCTTGGACAAAAATCATGATGTGAGTGGCGATGAAGATGCTAAAGATGGAGAGATCCATCAAGAGGACGAAAAAATAGACGATGATATGGACTCTTCCGTGCAAACCGAAACTATCGAAGCTGACAAAATTGGAAAGAGTGAAAAAGATTTTATCGATGATTCGGATATACCTGAAGTTGATAACGAAGAGGCAATGGAAAAGATGAAAAATCATCTCAACAATATCGAACAAAAGAAACCTGATCATGTCAAGGAAATCAAGGAAAAGGAAAAACCAAAGGATGGTCCGGCCAGCGTCAGTAAAACAACTGCAATAGATCCAATCGATAAGCAATTGTTTAGTAAGAAGATGTTCCGAGAGGTGGACGAAACGCTACGAAAAGATCGTGAGCAAGACGTATTCGACAAGGAGAACGGTTCTCTAGCGGATCGTTCCGAACGAATCGGTAGCGACGACTCGGACGTGGAACTGCTGGATGTTTCCATGTTTCAGCCAAAACGTAAAATGAAAGAGCGAAAGCTAGAGGACTTTGATTTCAGTGCCAATACCAAGCGTTCAACGCAACAAACGAAACGTGGGAATCCGAAAGAAGGCGACTGCATCAGCCTTAGTTCGGAGAGCGAAGCTGAAGTCGAGGAGACTACTACTACTACTACTACTACTGAGACTGACGAAAAGGAAAACAAGCAACGGAAGATCCGAACGATGTTGACTCAAGATCAGCTGGCTGATGAAACGAAAACGGCTCAGAAAGACGAGGAAATACGACTTTCTCGGTTGAAGAAAAAGAATGAAAACCTGAAAAAGTTCTTGACGACATTCAAACCGGGACCGGAAGAGAGCAATCTCGTGTTGGATTACGATGCCAAAGTGAACAAAGCGATTTGCGTTCATCCGGAAATAGTGAAACTACTGAAACCGCATCAAAAGGAAGGTATTCGCTTCATGTATGACAATACATATGGTAGTGTGGAATATATCAACAAGAATCCAGGCTCCGGATGTATTCTCGCTCATTGTATGGGTCTGGGAAAGACACTGCAGTTGATCACACTACTACACACCGTGATGCGCTATCCGCAGCTTAGAACGAAAAGAGTACTCGTAATTTGCCCGAAAAGTACAGTGATGAACTGGAGCGATGAAATTCAGCAATGGTTAGGATCGTTGAAGAGTGGCCCTCGTTTAAAGGTATTCTACTTCCCGGATAACAGTGACGTCAACGACAAGCTGAAAGTTCTCAGCGATTGGTACTCCTCTACGGCGAGCCGCTGTGGTTGTATGCTCATCGGGTACGAGGCATTCCGAATTTTGGTAAACTACGAGAAACGCAAGCGAACGCCGTCCAACATCCTAGCTGCTAAGGCCGCCTTTGTGAAGAAGAGGGTGGACGAGTATCTACTGAATCCGGGTGCTGACCTCGTTATCTGCGACGAAGGGCATCAGATCAAAAATAAGAAATCAGCCATCAGTGGTGCCGTTTCGCAAATCAAGACGAAACGACGGATTGTTCTGACGGGTACACCCATCCAGAATAATTTGAAAGAATGTAAGTATGATTGGTCTGGACTAATAATTCGTTTTTCCTTGTACCTGGCTACAATCGCAAACTGTTGCAAGATATGATCAAGTTCTGTTCGATTTCTAACAGACCTAACAGATCCGTTTGAAGCTAGTTCAAGAGAAAGATGAACCCCTTTTCGCACGGAGCTTCTAAATTTGAAATGCTTTCAGACTACTGCATGGTAAACTTCATCAAACCGTCGTTCTTGGGCAGCGACCGAGAGTTCAGCAATCTCTATGGTAATCCGATAAAAAATGGCCAACATAAAGATTCGGACAGTCGGGCGATCAAAATCATGAAACAGAGGTCGTACGTGTTGCACAATAAGCTGTCCAGATTTGTTCAGGTATTTGATGCGATAATGAGCAAAGGTCGGCTGAACTTGTTGCTAATGTTTCCTCTAACTTTCAGCGAAGGGAGGCTGGTGTTCTAAAGGAATTTCTACCGGAAAAGTTTGAGTATGTGTTGTTCGTTCCACTAACGCCTGTACAAGTAAGTCTTGTTGTCGCTTTTGCAAGCGGAACTTTTATTTTATCATTTCAATCGGTTCTTTTTTTGATTGATGCCGACTTACAACGGCTATATCGGCTAATTGATTATACGGTTAATTTTTTTTTTAGGAAAAAATGTACGAGGTTTTCCTACAAATGAATGAATATACAACGTCCACCGGGGAGGCCGGAGAAGCTGCTAAAGGGAAAAAGTTTAAACTTCTCGCTGATTACACCTCTCTGAGAAAGGTAAGCTGGTTTTCCTATAGTGAGCGATTCAAGCATGATTACAAGCATAAGATTCCGATTTATAATAACTTGAACGAGTGGTAATGATGATAGTTCAGCCTGACTCAAGTTAGTGTATTGTTTATTAAAAAATAATGAAACGTGAAAAGTGGGCGCTCAACTTCCGAGCTAAACATACGCGTTTTTGTTACCGTTCCGTGGAAGTCGAACACCAACTAGTTTTTATCAGTGCCAATTGTGTTTTGAATTTTCTGCTCATCGCTGAGCCGGTCCGTGTCGCTGCGCGTCGAAATCACTTCGTGATAGATTTTACGAACGTGCCGGTGAAACCGGACATTGCCAACGTGCACAAATTCTGTACGGGCAGTTCGGGTCTAAAGCATGGTGAAGTGCTACGGACCCAGAACAACAGAACCCTCGGAGTTTCGATCGTGAAAGTCGTTGACCCAGCGTTGGCGTAACGAATTTGTGAGGAACACGACAACCAGGGGCCTTACTGTGGAAAGTGAAGCGAAGCATTTTTTGTATGAAAAAGTCTAGTTTCGACTTCCAAAATGAGGCCCCACCACGAGATTTCAGTCGACGGCTAAAAATGCCGAAGCCGTCATATCAAAGTAAGGCGAACTAGAATTCATTCTGAATCTGGAAATCAGGGTGACCAGTGAACCGGGAAAAGCGGGGTATTCTCGAAATCGCCGGAAAAAATATAGGATAAGGTGGGGCAGGATGGGTCAGTTAGTACATTTATTTATTTGTTTATCAAAATCAACAGGTTCAATGCAACTCCAATGATGGTTTGCTTTTTCAAACTCGTTCTTTCTTCAAGCTTTGTGCTCTCTTCGGAAAAAATAAGATTCTTAGTTTTATGGAAAACTCCATGACGATTGCGAAGAGCATTCCAGGATCCGCGAAAAATATCAAGGGAATCGAGGGAATTCAGTGAAGAGTTTTAGGAGAACTCCAAGGGCCTTACGAGAAGAATGTCCAGAGAATTCTATGGGGGATTCCGAGTCACCTTCCATCTGCATGGGTAACACTGTTTGCATCGATTGATAAAAACAATTTTAGCAACAAATAGGTCCACATTTCTAAGTGGAATTCCAAATGAATTGCCAGAAGTATTTAGAGGAAAACTCCTTCTGGGAAACATTTCAATACAATACTGAGGTGAATTGCATGGACATTCCTAAGGAGAATTTAAGCGAATTTTAAATTTAATTATTGAATAAAGCTTCAGTGAACCTTGGAATAATAATTTAAAATTCGAAGAAAATGTTAGGATGAAACCATGCAGTTAATTTCTGGCCTGTTATAAAGAAATTAAGGGACTCCCATAAATAAGAATAAAATTTAATTTAGAGGAATTCAGAAAAGAACTCTGCGAAGGAGAATGGAAATTTTTAAGAACATTCCCATAAATTCAGAACATTCCCATCATCTCCAGAGCTAATCGACAATTGGGCTTTATTTTCAAAATTGCCGACGAGTTTCGTGACCCGCTATGTCTCAGGTCACTTTACTGCTCGCTTGTGCGATCCTTATTGGAGTCAAGTTCAGTTGTTTGGTGCCCTTTCCATGCTAGCTGGATCACTATAGAATTGAATCCGTTCAACGCAAGTTTGTGAGATATGCTCTTCGTTTCCTCAACTGGCGTGACCCAACAAACTTGCCACCGTACGAGGAGCGTTGCCGTCTCCTGGGAATCGAGCCATTAGAGGTGAGACGGACGGTCACTCAAGCTATGTTCGCTGGAAAGCTGCTTACAGGTGACATTGACTGCCCAACACTGCTGTCACAGCTAAATATGCATGCCCCTGAGAGGTCTCTTCGTCAACACGACTTTCTGTTTTTGGAACCACGGAGCCGGAATTATACACAACACGAGCCAATTCGAGCAATCAGCCGGCAATTCAACAACTTTTTTTATAATGTTCGACTTCAATGTATCAGCTGACGTGTTTCGTCATCGGCTATTTGGCCTTTTCCGTACCGTTGACTGTAACTATTTAGTTTAAGTTTTATTCATTTAGACAGTAATTGTCAGTTGAATTTTTTCAATAAACAACAACAATAAAGAGTTCTGAGCGAATTTCCAACGTAAATAAAACAAACACATTTGAAGACCGAACTCAACAAATTCAAAATCTAGGAAAACTGTTAATAGTGATTCGCTGGTCACCAGTAATTTTTCTACAATTTCAAATGTGATATTTATTAGATAGAACATGCTAGAACTAATCAAACAATATTTTACAAATAAATTCTACAAACTTCACTGCCCATGATCCCATATCAGTCCCATCTTTGCTTGATTTCCTATTTATATGGGACTGTTATGCCATAATGGGCAATCCATAGCTAGCTCCATCTTGAATTCGATACACAACACATTATACTGCTCCTGTTCTGCGGAATCGAGATGCATACTTTGACCTCATACACATTAGGCTCAGGGGGACATTCGAATGGTGCAAGTTTCGGAGAGAGTCTAATTCTGTTTGAATTTTCAGATCTGGACGCATCCCAAAGTACTGGAAAAGGCATGGGAAACGGCCGTACAGGAGAAAAGTAAACGGGACGCTCGATTCCGTTTGACATCGACGCCGGATTCGGACGATGATCGACCGGATGATTACAACGACATCTCGTCGGGTGCTCTCTCCGTTACGAACGACTGGTGGCGAAAGCACTTGGAGGCAAACGACCTGGAATCTCTGTATCCGAGCGGCAAGCTGAGGATAATGTTCGAGATCCTGAAGCAGTGCCATGAGCGAGGGGAAAAGTGCTTGATCTTCTCCGCTTTCGTGGCGGTGCTAAATGTGGTTGAGCATTTCATGAACAAGATACACAATCGACAGAACGAAACGATGGCCGATGTGTACGGGTATAGCACTTTCAAAGGCCCATGGGAACCCGGTAAAGATTACTACCGGTTGGATGGCAAAACACAGAAAAACATTCGTCATCGAATGATTACGTCATTCAATGATCCTTCCAATAAGCGAACAAAGTGTTTCCTAATTTCGGCAAAGGCTGGCGGTCAAGGAATCAACCTAATCGGAGCAAATCGAGTGATCATTCTGGATACGTCGTGGAATCCCTCCAATGACCAACAGAACATCTTCCGGATATTCAGGCTGGGTCAGAAGAGGAAGTGCTTTGTCTATCGATTACTGGCGATGGGAACGATGGAAGAGAAGGTCTATTCACGATCAGTGACTAAACAGGCCATGAGCTTCCGCGTTGTAGACGAGCAGCAGATCGATCGGCATTACAGTTTCTCGGAACTTGCAGAGCTGTACAATCTATCTAAACTAGCCGATCAAGTGCGGGAGACACCAATACTGCCAGCTGATGATTTGTTAGCTTCCCTGTTGAGAAATCACCCCGATTGTGCGTTCAAGTATCACGAACATGACTCACTATTGGAGAACAAACCTGAACAAGATCTGAGCGAGGAAGATAAGCGAGAGGCTTGGGCGGCCTATGAACGTGAAATTCAAAATAACGAAAAACCTACCTATCCAGGAGGTATGGGCATGCTGCCGAATTTCATGAGTTCAATGTTCCCTGGAGGTCCAGGTGCTGGAATTGGACCGTATCCTCCAATCAACTATTCGGGACTTCCGGGAACGCTAGCCGATATGTATCGGAGTGATTTTGGATATGGCTCCGGTATGAACAGACTGATGTATCCCTACGGCAGCCCGCCGTTCCCAATCGTGAACGATCCAAGCTATTCATCGATCATGGGGAAATCTCCGTACCAGAATTTCAGTCTGCCAGGATCTTCAAGCAGTTTGCCGGACTTTGGATTATCAGCCGCTATGAACGGTCAAGGGTCAGCGGGAACGACAAACTACAACTCTACGGTTGCTCTGCAGAGTCTATTGGATCTGTATGCCAAATCTATGTCCAACGCAATGAGTTCCAGTACAATAACGACGGCAGCGGCAACATCTGTTTCTCCGAGTACATCGACTTCCGCAGCTGGAGTATCACCCTATAATGCTTTGAGTTCCTTGAAGCAGTTCAATGGTTTTCCACCAATATCTCCCATCGCTACACCCATGCCTCATTCCTCTCCGCAATTACCCCCTCCGAAAACATCACAAAGTCCTAGCAGTGCTTCCGGAAATGCTGCCCTGATCAATATGCTCAATGAGCAACCTATGCCAATGTCATCCGCTGCGTCATCTGGACCATTTTCCCACCTAAACTCTCCCTTACCTGCTCCTTCAATTCATATACCCCGGAATATCCCTAGTGCAGTAACGACCACAAGCCCAGCGACCTCCTCGCCAGTATTATCCACCTCTTCAACAGCTAAGGCAGTACCTCTCTCCTCTACACCTGCACTAATCGTGCCGCAACCTCCGCCAAGAGCCAGCGCATACAAACCACCGGAATCGTCCAAAAGCATAAACCCCAAACCAGTACCTCTAACAACTACGATCGTTGCCAGCGATGACGACGATGTCGATGATGACGGCATCCCACGGCCACACATTATAGTGCGGGATCCGTTATCGATCAACGCTAGTAGCAGTAAATCTCAACAAGATCAGGAGAAAATAGTCAAAAAGATCAATATGGGTATCGTTTACCCTGAGGAGAAGAAAAAGGATCAATCCAAAGACATCATGCTTAGTGCGAAGAGCATAACAAACCTGGCGAAGCCAACAATCGCCGTCAAAAATGTAGAAAGCATGAAAGCAGTTCCTCCGGTGGGTTCCAAAACTTCTTCGCCTGTGTCTGCAATGTCAAGACCTGGTTCCTCAGGCAGTAAACCGATCCGAGCATCTCCGGTACAAAATCCTTTGACTACACTTCCGAAACCACACCAAGCATCTAGGCAGCACCAGCATCAACACCCACTAATTCGTACTCCACTGTCAGGCTCATCCCCAGTTCTCAGCATTAAGCAATCTCCTTCTCCAAGGCAACAAGTTCCCGTCATAACAAGCGCCAAATCGTTACAGTTGAGTTCTCCCAATTTAGCGGGAGGAAGTTTCAGTGCACAAACACAAAGAACATCAACCTCGTCCAATAATACTTCCAGTGTATCTCCAACTCCGAATTCAACTGTTCCTCGAGGCGTAATAGCTGCACAGCAATTACGTGAACTGCAGCAACGAATGAACCAGGCTGGTGCTAACAACAGCAGTAGTAATATTAGTAGTAGCAGTAGTAATGCCAGCAATCCCGGTCATTTGGTAGTGGCTAGAACGAAGAAAGCAGTTTCCCAACTGGTATCGAGCAATCAACGACTCGCGGGTGCCAAGCAGCATGGAGCGCATCCCATTGGCATATTTGCTTCCCCTCCAGGTACAGTTCTGACTAACCAAAAACAGACAAAGCCAGCCATTGGTTCTACTACTACTACTACTACTGCTACTACTACTACTAGTGGTAGTAGTAACGCCACGGCCGGAAGGATGAACAAATCTCCCCTATCGGACAGTGTCAGTATAACGAAAATCACTAGCGCAGGCCAGCGGATAGCGATGAGCAATCCACCGTTGATGAGTTCACCCACCACAAATATCAATAATAACAATAGTTTGGCCACTATGAGTCCCACCTTGCTGGGAACGAGTTTGGGTCGAAAACAGGACTTGGTCATTACAAAAACAACTCCCGGTGCGGCGACCGTACGGAAAGTGATTCCAGGACCGAATATGGTTGTAAAAGCACACAGTGGTCTCACCGCTCCACCGACGAAGCGTAATTTGTGAGTTATTGTAACAAATCCAGCTGATTTATCGGTTCTGCAACAGGAATTTCATCGTATCTTTTTCTCTCTTGCAGCCCCTCGATGACACCAAACTTGAAGAGTGGCGCAACGACCGGATCGGCTCAGTTGATCCAATCCATATCCAGCGGCGGCGTCGGAGGTGCAGTAAGCTTACCGGCCGGTATTACTAGCAACAGCATAACCGTTCGAAAGCGGAAAGCTACGGAACCGACCCTGATCGATAGTCTGAAGGCGAAGAACAATTCCATAACGATCAGCGAGGTTCGGTCAATTTTTCAACCACCGGTGGCCAAGAAGCCCAATCAGGTATGAATGCGAAAGTGGTTCTTCAAAGACGACGCTTGACTGATGTTTGTCATTCTTTCGCAACAGGGTCTGCCAGTTCAAGCGCAGAAACGGTTCGGAAGCGGTATAACGATTACACCGCGGAAGCCCACTCCTCAACAGCAACAGCGTAAGTTTCCGTAAGGGTTGTAACTACGATGAAACCGGTCTTCGTAAAATTGAAGCGGCACGTTTTCCTGTATAAACAAACTGTCGATAGTGTGATCGACACAACGAGACTTACAACTGCTGCTACCGGTTCCGACAACGTTTGTAACTGTGCCTTCATCGACTAAACCAACACGGACAATCAAAGTGGGTAACTCACAGACTGAGTCAAGTTGACTGAATTTCTTTATTCGGTATGAATTTCATTGATTTGCCTTATGAAAAATAATAAAAAGGAGCAGACTGGAACCGAACCACGGACGTTGAGATTACGGGTCCGGCCTCATGACATTCTTAAGTCTATTTGCCTCAGTGTACGAATTTTAATCACTTTCGTAAAGAGTGAATTGCACTAAATTCATCAACAGTATTCCGAAATGATAGACCAACAAATGCTTCATACATTATTTTATAGAATTCTGTTGCTGAAAAAATCAGAGGCAAATGAAATGTGATTTTCCATGCTTGGCTTGGCTTGGTGAGTAAATCCAATTTATACAAAGTGAGTAAAATTAGTCTGAGAAGAAAAAAAAAGAGATTCAGTCAATTTGACTCAGTATGTGAGTTACTTTGATTGTCCGAGAAGGCTGGCCCAAAAGTGAAGGATGTGTTCGTAAGATCAGTAAATATCGTTTTTCTTTTTCATTGCAGAAAACATTCTTGAGGTAGTGGAAATTGAATGAGCTCGAAAGCTATCAACTGACGATTATCGGTAGATAGTGGTTTTTGTTCGAAAAGCACCAACGAAATGTGGGAGCCATCAGTGTCATTTAACATTACTTGAAACAGGGTTACAACGTTATTTTTTTTTTAATTATTTTGCTTTCATTATGAGAAGAAGCTCTGAATGTATACCAATTGAATGGAATGTTTGCAAAAATGTGCTTGAATGTGTGAATGTGAAGCACAGGACAGAAAACTCGCTACAAGTAACCAAAATCATACAAAACGTAAAAGTATAGTTTCTATAATCCGGGGAAGATTTATGTAATGTGTTTTAAGAATCGAATGAGGAAGGTAAAAATTCGCACAAGACTAAATACAACGAGGGTTATAATTTATCAGGATTTCTTTTTTTTAGTCGTGCATCTAACGAAGATCCTTCATGTGTAAGATATTTTGACAAGACAAACAAGTGGAGTTTCGGTTATGTAAATATATGTAATTATTATGTAATAAACTATTTATTTACCCTGGAAATGTATGTACACGTATTTTTATCGAGATCAAAGGTAAAAATAGTAGGAAAACAGCTACACTAAAACGATAGCTTTTATTCTGCTTGTTCCACTCTCAAAGGTGAGACTTAATTTTGTGTACATAACAGTCACTTTTTAAAAGGCAATAATCCACAGTGTACATTTTGTTAAGTAGCATTTGTGATTCTACACAAAATTCATGATAATAAACCTAATTTATCTTGTGATACGTACTGGCGCAAGCAATGATTACTTGTTCTTCGAAATCCAATTAGCAAAAGTGTCGCTTACGATGCTTCTTAAGATACCGTTCGTGGACAAACTTCTTCTCGCAAATGTCGCACTTGGCGTCCCGTTCGGTGCCGTGACTTTTCTCATGAATCAACATATTCGGGCGGTTCGAGAAGCCTCGATTGCAGAACCGACAGGCAAACGGCTTCAGGGAACTATGCGTCAACAGGTGGCGCTTATATCCAGACGCGTGGGCAAACTGCTTCGAGCAGTATTTACACTGGTACGGTTTCTCTCCGGTGTGAACCCTGGCGTGCACCTCCAAATAGTTGGGCGTTTTGAATCGACATCGACACACGGGACATTCGTACTGTGGCTCGCGTTCATGCGATGGATTTTCGTGCAACTTGAGATGCGTCTGCAGATTACCCTTGCTGAAAAATGTTTTCAGACAGATGGAGCATTCGAACCGCTCGCTTTGGTTGTGTACTTTCTCATGGTTAGTTAACGAACTTGGTTGCATGAAGGTTTTGCCACAACGGGAACACTGATATGGACCGACGACTTCCTGTTGGACACCGTTGTGGAATTTCCTTTCATGAAAACGAAGCATGATTCGCTTGACGAAGGCCTTATCGCACTGCTGACATTTATACAATTGGTCCATATGGATGTAGGTCCTATGTCGGGTGAAAGCGTCCTGGGTTGAATATCTACTGAAGCACGTCCCACATTCAAACGGTTTTATTCCTTCCAAATCATCCCTCCGATCAGGTTCATGCATCTGTTTGGAATGCTGCCCGAGTTGTTCTCTAGTGGGAAATTTCTGTCGACATCCACAGCACTGGTTCTGAGCTAGTTTTCGAACCATCCGAGGTCGCTTCTCAGCAAAGCGCTCTCGTAAGTGCCTACTCAAGGATGCTTTGTTCGAGTATCGTTTGAAACAAATCTCGCATTCAAAGGGTCTCGATTCATCAATCACCCGATCATCCGCATGTTCCAAACGCGAATGCTCCTTCAATTCGTCCACAGTATCGAAATCTTTTCTACAACCACAACATCGACTGTCCGCAGATTCTTCCTCTTTCAGCACACGCACCTTCGAACCGATGGCACCCAACCGCTTGTGTCGATTCAGGGATGTTTTCTTGAAATATCTCTTGAAGCAAATGTCACACTGGAAAGGCTTTTTCGAAGCGTCACTAGATCTCTCCGGCACGTGGACGGTTGCGATGTGTTCGGCAAATGCTGTCACCGTTTCAAAATCCGTACGGCAAGCGCAGCATGTCGTCAAGGCATCCGATTCAACCGGATCAACGATTGTGGCATTTTCAACCTCCGAATGATCAGTTTCTGAAGCCTGAACGTCGCTGTCGTTTTCCGAAGGAACATTGTCGAGAACCTTAGCATCGTCCTCTTTTTCCCTACAAGCGGTTCGGAGTTTCCCATCAGATTCTCGACACTGCTTTGCCAAACTGTACGCGCTTAACAGACGTTCGGTACATCGTTCACAGCAATTTTTGGGAAGCGAATCTTCATTTGGTATCTAAAAAAAAATCGAAAAATCCACATAAAGGAATATAGAAAAAAAACAAAGCTTTAAATTACCACTACTCCACTGCAGGACGTTATTAAATCTCCAATAGTGGAAACATCTTCCACTTTGAAATCGAGTGGAATAAGTTCACCTTCTGCTTCGCTGAGACAGACACGGCACCAGGCGGAAACATTTTCCGGGTTTAGTTCTTCCATCTTCTTCTTCTTCTTCTTCTTCTGGTTATGGGTGTTGTCAAAACAACCCACTGATAAATGGCACAGTATTTTCGCTATAACGCCAGTCGGTTTTTCATTGGGAGTAGCTTTTTTGTTTGTGTTGTCATTTGAATCAGTGCATTACAATCTTATAGCATTATATGTTTAGACTGATTTCCTTAAGAAACTTACATATATCTTTCAGAGTATCAATGTTTTTGTCATCGTATGCTTCTTGGATTGAGTAATATTTATCAAGGTTGTGTTTATCTCTGGGTATTAGATATTTTATACAGTGGAAAATTATGTGTTCAGAGGTGTTTAAACAGTCGCATAATTGGCAGTACATCTCATCTTTAATTTTCATCCTGCTGAGCCAGAACGGCGAATAATCGTGACCGGATAGCAGCCTGTTGAGTGTTCTTACTTCGGAATTGGTTAGCGGCAGGTTGTGGTACCATGATTTCAAATTTATTCCTGTTTGAAATTTAAAGAACTTCCTTCCTTTGCCATGTTCCTGTGTGTAGTTAACATACCATTGTTGAATATTTTCAGTGATATCGCTTTTAATCCAATTGATGGCATCGTGTGGTAATATCCGATTGTTGGCTATTTCTTTCGTATGGAGTGCAGCTTTCGCCAGTCTATCTGCAATCTCATTTCCTTCCAGGTTCACATGTCCTGGGATCCATTGGATACAGGTGTTACTTATTGATGCTTTTTCAATGATGGTATGTATAACTTCGTCTCTTTCAGTTGATTCAAGTTGACTTTTTATGAATTCGCATCCCGACTTCGAATCGGTGAGAATTACAGCATTTTCGATTTGATTCCTTTCCACGTATTGTAACGCCACTACAATTGCTTCTAGTTCCGCTGACATCGTACATACAGTGTGTTTCAGCTTCAAGCTAATCTTGCATTTGTTACTCTCATCGAAAATACCCACGCCGCAGTGTTCGTCGTCCTTCGACGCGTCCGTATAGATTTTCCGGCAATCCTTATATGGTCCGTGTATTTTCCCCAAAGCTAGTTGTTTTAGTGTTTTTGCGGATGTGTTCCTTTTGGTCCATGGCTTATTGTCCAATTCGGTTTCGACTCGTATGGTTGTTGAGATTGGTTGAATCAATACTGTATGCGTGACCTCGTTGAAGACATGTTTGTAATCCTCGAAAATCTCTTCTTGGAAAGTTAACTTATGTGTTGTTGCATCGTTGGATACATTCAACTTTTGTAGTTGTGACCAGACCGGAGTCAGAAATTGTGCGTGTCTCACTATTTCTTTAGCCGTTATCAATTTTCTACGAAATTGTAGGGGAGGTTGGCTAGCTATAGCGCATAAAGTATTAATTGGTGTGGTTTTTGAACATCCTGTAATCTTTCTCAAACACGTGTTGTTGGTTATCGTGAGTTTTTCCAGGCTACATTTCGATGTGTTTGCATACACAGAAGCACCATATTCTAAGTAGCTTCTTACTATTGCATTGTAAAGAAGGCTTAGAGTTTGTGGGTGACCACCACACTTCGTGCTGCTTATTACCTTCAGCATGTTGATTCTGTCAGTAGCGCGACTCTTAACTTCTCTGATATGGGCTCCATATGTTAGCGATCGATCCAGTGTAACTCCTAGATATTTGTAGGTGTTTACTGTTTCCAAGTCCGTGTTTCCTATACTCAACTTTAATGATTTTTTGTTCCATTGAAATAGCATGACTTTTGTTTTGCTTTTGTTTATTTTCAGGTTCAGTTGTTCCGATTTCTCCTTGAATTCATCTACAAAAGTCTGCGCCCGGTGTTGCACAGTTTCAACGTTTTTACCTTTTACGATTGCCATGAAGTCATCAGCATATTGAACCAAAATCACTCCATCTGTTGTTCCATTGTGTAGTTGTGCCGTGTAGATGTTGAACAATATTGGTGACAAGACATCCCCTTGAGGCAGTCCATCTTTTACTTTCCTTTCTAGATGTTGTGCGCCTACCTGTATTTGAATGGTTCTGTCGAGGAGAAAGTTTACTATCCAGCTTGTTAGTTCCAGTGGAGTACCGTATTCGTAAAGCACTTGTTCAAGTGTCCCTGTTTTAACGGTATTGTATGCATTAGACATATCTATGAAGATCGCCGCTGCAACGCTACCTTCTCTTTTAATAGAGTTTAGGCTGTTGATGACGTAGTTCAGACATGTAGTAGTGGAGTTGTGCCTTCGGAAACCAAAAGATGTTTCTGGTAATATTGCATTACTCTGTATGAATTGATTTAGCTCAACTAAAACTGCCGTATTGATCATTTTCAATGAGCAGTTAAGCATAGAGATCGGCCGTAAGTTGCTGATAATTTCTGGATTTCGTCCCGGTTTTGGAATTGCAATCACTTTAATTCTGTTCATATTTTCATCAGTTCTTCCGCATTTCCACATTCTATTGAGATCCTCGATTACGCTGTCTCGAACATCAGATTTTAAATTTCTCAGCATTTCATAACTGAGACAGTCCGGGCCTGCCGCAGAGTGTTTTTTCTTCTTGTTCAAAATTTCGTACCATTTTTCGACATTCAATATGTCATAGGTTGCCTTCGCGCTGAAGTTTGCATCGTAATTGTCACTAAAAGGGAAGTTATCATTCAGGAATTGAATTGCTGCCTCTTCGTCTTCATGTGCGATCGTGGGCTGATTCCGTTTCTTCTTTTTTCCGGTTAAGTTATTTATTTTCCTCCACAATTCTTGGCTGCTCGTACTTGGATCAATTTCTTTGACATAGTCTTCAAACTTCTCTCGCATGAATTTATTTTTGCTCTTTTTGAAAATTCCTTCACGTCTTTTCATCTCCATTAGATCATCTAGTGTGCCACTACGGTTGAATTTGGTCCTAGCTTCGTTTTTACTTCTCCATGCATCTTCTATTTCCGCGTTCCACCAAAACTTTGGCTCATACCGGTTCTTCTGCTTCGCGTTTATCATAATTCTTCTTGCCTCCTGCTGTAGTGCTGCTAGTCCTTTCACCTGATTCGTGTCCAGCTTCCCTACTTCTTCCATAACTTTCTTCCGGTTGACGAAAAATCTGTTAGGCGATACTTGATCGTTCGAGATTGCTATGTGTATAATTAGATGTCTACTGCCTATTCCGTATTGCAATACTTCCATCTTCGTATCTTGAAATAGCCCCGGAGATACCAGAACTAGATCAATTACAGAAGGCTTTTTGTTTAATTCCGCTTGAATAAATGTCGGATCGCCATTGTTCATCAAAATTATGTCCTCGTCATTGATGATGTCGAACAGAACTGCTCCTTTTGCATCCGAATGATGTTGATCCCATAAATGGTGGTGTGAATTAAAATCACCTCCGATTAATACCTTTCTGAAACCTTCAACGCATTTGAACAGTTTCGTCAAGAAGTTTTTCAATTCGTACGCCGATGTGCTAGGTGCAACGTATATCGAAATTACCGCTAGATCCATTTTGGTTATATATCTGCCTACACATTGTATATTCTCCGTCGAATCTAATTCAATTTTCCTACTTTTAACTGCTTCATGTACAATAATCATTGCACCTCCATACCCATCTAACCTTGAACAATAGAAATTGTTGTAATACGGAATTTTGTATTTGGTATCTTCGTATTCTATTTTAGTCCAACATTCTGAAATTAATCCTATTGTGTATACTTCCTGTATCATTACTCTGGCTAACTCTGATTTATTTTTATCTAGACTTTGTATATTACACTGTATAATCTTACATGCCATTTCTGTTGTTAATTAGCTTTATTGTAATCAATTCTTTGTTTTATGCTACTCTCAACCGACTGGCTTACCTGTGCTAGTCCTGCGTGGTCTCCGTTGATCTGATCTTCTTCATCATCATCCATACTGAGCACCTCCTGTGACGTGTTAAACTGCTGTACAGCTTCATGTGTCTTCTGTGCTGCTTCTCGCATGTGGTTAAGTTTCCACTGGAATTTTTCGAATTCGTCTGTCTTGTAGCAATTGAACAGTGCCACTCCGTTCGTGGTTTGTTCATGATCCGTTTTTCGCTTCTTGTCGTAGATAATTTTTACCTGTTTTCCGATGTTTTCCGTGTTCGTTGCTTCTCCTGACGATCGCTTCGGTGTGTGCACTTTTCGGTTTCGCTCAATCTGTCTTATCTGGCTTTGGTTGCTTGTGAGTTGAGATACCTTCGCATACGATTTAGATAGCGTTGGGAAATCCTCAATGTTTTCCAACAGGCTAAATTGGTTTTGGGTGTAAATTGGATATTGTTCTTGCGCTTCCAGTGCCGTGAGGTTTGTTTTCGCCATTATTACTTTCAGGTTGTTCTGTCGCTCGCGTTCGGGGCAATTAGCATCGCCTGATTTGTGACCTTCCTGTCTACAGTGTAAGCATCTTGCTGGCATGGTGCATTGTCCATATCCTTGTTCATCGTGATTTCTTCCACATGTTTCACATCTCTGTCTAGATCGACAGTTGTTCGTCCGGTGATTATATCGCAGACAGTTTTGACAAAAAACTGCCTTGCTAACAAATGGCTTAACTTGATTTGTACAACAGAACATTCGGACTTCCAATGGCAACTGATTGCATCTGAATGTCACAGCGATCCGTGTGGTTGGGATTTTGTTGTCATTCTCATACTTATGCAGTCGTGTTACACTCAGAATTGGCATATTGCAGGTTATATTTTCAAAGATTTCCTCCGGTGTCATCTCCAATGGAACTCCAGTAACAACTCCTGCTACCGTCATGAAGTGCTTTGGAATGTACGCCTTGTAATTTTGTGCCCGTAGTGTTTTGTCAGCCTGGATTTTGTTTGCCGTTTGTGGAGTTTTTACCAATACCAGCACTTTGTTTTTTCCCATAATTTTGAGGTTCAGTACGTTTACCTTGTATTCCTTCGTCTTCGTTAGAATTTTACCCACTGCTAGCTTGTTAATTTGTGCGTCGTCACGATTTTCGTTCAGCTGAACGATCACCCTGTATGGTCCGGTGTCTGTTTCGTTGTATTCGTATGTCAGCCATTGCTTTCCATTAGAACCACTTGGTATCGTTCCGCCTCCGCCTCCTGGATCCGGATCGCCCGGTCCAGTCATTTCTCCAATCTTTCTACTCACAGGTCTCCTTTCAAAGAATTCGCTCCTTTCAAAATAAAAAACTTTTCTTCAATCGGAATTACAAATTTTCACCTCAGTTCGATCAGCAATTACAAAATGTCCGCTCAACACAACACGTGTAAACTCGCCGATGGCTTAACCGCGAATGTTAGTTCTTCCATTTGAGCGTCCAATCCAGATCCAGACCTTTTGTTTATATTTGCACTGTTCTCTGTGCTGCTGTAATCAGCTGTTCGTGCTGTCAGTCATGATCGAGAAAGACCCGTCGAAGCAACCCAGTAAGGCTCTGAACCATTTGGTGGATTATTTTAACTTTTGGTTAAAATTTGACAGATGAAAAGTTATCGATTAACCCTGCTATCCGAGCATGGTTATTTCTGACAAACAAGAAGTTAAATTTTGACAACCGTGGCTCGAAAACCGGTCGATCGACAGCACGGGGATTTTCGAACATAGAAAATAACTTTCGAAATGTCACTTTTAACCACGAGTTAAATTTAACTCGGCAAATGGTTCACAGCCTAAGAATGCCGTCGGACGAACTAGCTGCTGTCGGGCTGGAGAGTTACTCTTCTCTGCTTTTCGCGAGTGGAATTGCTCGAACTGAGCGAAGAAGAGAGTAGAATGCAAAGTAAAACGAAAAAAATGAGAGAATAAGCTGTCGTGCTCCTGTCATGCAATATTACAATATAGGGGGAACATGTCAGAAGGGTATAACTCGAAACGTAAACAATAACTTTGCACGTCGATTTATCTTGAATGACCACACACCCACGAAATCTGACTACACTAGCTCATAGAACAAACATTTCCCTGTCAGATGATTTAGTTAGTTTGAGTGGGTGTGTTGTCATTCGTAAGAAACCGACGATCCAAGTCATTGTTTACGTTTCGAGTTAGACCCTTCTGTCATGTTTCCCCTGAATAGCAAAATTACTTATTCGTTTTACTACGCTTTCAATATACGACATAAATCGAGTACGAAAAATTCACTGAACAACTCTGCGTAGCTAGCTCTTAAGCTGGGTTTAAACAAGGCAAGTCAATTGATCAACTCAGTTGAATTCAACTGACTTGAACGCGAATTGAACGTGTAAACCATGCCATTCAACTGACTTGATCAACTCACTTGAATTGAAAAAAGTTGAACCAGGCTCAACTTTTCAAGCCAATTGAATTCAACTGAGTTGATCATTTGACTTGCCTAGTCTAAACCCAGCATTAAGCTCTTTATTTCGAAAAAGATTGTAAAAATGTCCGATAAAAGCGATGTTGACGAACTCGGTGAAGCTGGACCCAGCAGCAAAAAACAAAAAACTACGCATAGTGATGATTTAAACGGTATGCATTCATATTAATATATATCTACATTTTATCGGTTTTTGAAACATATATTTAAAATTCTCTTTTAGACCCGAGTGAAGTTATGCATTTTATACTACCGAAATGCATACAAATTCGCCGAATTGAAACTCCAGAACGTAAGTTAATGACAACGTTTTAACCTTTGCGTGCCTAACGTCTAAATTTGCATAGTCTTCAAAATGCAATTAGCTCAAAAAACATAATTTCTCAATCTTTTTCTTTACAACAAAATGCATTTCGTCGGGAATCTATTGAATTTTTTGAATCCATCTGAAAACATTTGGATCAATACATGGTTCCGGAGTTATTCCGGTTCCCGTTGGGGTCACTTTTGGTCGGCATTCGGCTTTACTGTTCTGTAATAAGTATACACACGATGAACATCATGTTTTCTCTCAAATGATGTGATTGGACCAATGGCAGTTGTACTGAAATTCCACGGTCACATTGGGCTTCCCGGAAATGTTGCTGTGTCCCCGGGGAAGTGGCCAATTCTCGACAAGAACCAAAACCTATCGTGCGACATATTAAACTTCATGATTTTACAAATTTTGGCCGGAAATGGTCTTATTGAAAGTCCATGGTCACACTAGCCTTCCCGGGCATGTCCTGGTGCCCCCGGGGAAGTGGCCAATTCTCAACAAGAACCAAAAGCCATCGTGCGACATATCAAATTTCATTATTTTACAAATCTTGGCCGGTAATGGCCTTAATCAAAGTCAACGGTCACATTAGCCCTCCCGGGAATGTTCCGGGGTCCCCGGCGAAGTGGCCAATTCTCGACAAAAACCAAAAGCCATCGTGCGACATATCAAATTTCATTATTTTACAAATCTTGGCCGGTAATGGCCTTAATCAAAGTCAACGGTCACATTAGCCCTCCCGGGAATGTTCCGGGGTCCCCGGCGAAGTGGCCAATTTTCAACAAGAACAAGAACAAGACCAGGAGCTGCTGTCGAATTAGCATCAGTGCTTCAAGATGGCGTCACACATTGATTTCCGGTCTCTAGACGTCATTTCGATTCCAAAAATATCCATATTGATTCCCAGTTTTTTTGAAACCGGAAACTGCCATCTTGGATTTCAAGATGGCAACTGCCATTGATATCCGGTCTGTATAAGTCTTCCCGAATCTAAAAATATCCATATTGAAGGGTACTTGCTGGTATTTCCCAGTTTTCCTACAACCGGAAACCGCCATCTTGGATTTCAAGTGGGCTTTGACATTGATTTCCGGTCTTTATACGTCATCCCGATTCGAAAAATACCTATATTGAAGGATTTGTGATATATACCAGTTCTTCTATAATCGGAAGCCGCCCTCTTGGATTTAAAAATGGCATCAAACTGGTCTCTAGATATCACCCCGATTCCGGAAATACCCATATTGACAAGACAATGCAGAAATGTATGGAATCAAGCATGACCGGAAGTACGTAAATCGATTTGCAAATTTTAATGACTTCACAAAACTATATCGTATTTCCTTGAATAATTTCATTATGTTATTACTTCTCATCCTTTTTTATCGTTATTCAATTATTTTTATTACTTTATCCCTAAATAAATAAAGGTAATACTGACGAAATAATTAAAAAAATTGAACAGCTCGGTAAGTATCACTGATTTTTTTTTTATATGGTCTTTAGGGTGAGTCAACTTTAAAACCCCATACTTCTCATTGCTTTTTTATGTGTATTAAGGTCTCTATGCTAAGTGGATGCTAAACGAATGCGGTTAGGATGTGGATTTGTGGGAGAATATCATAGTTTGTATGGGATTTGACATAAAATTGACATTAACATTCAAAAATTCAAAACTTGCTAAATATTGGCCAAGGATACTTAGGCTAAGGCTTAGTGCTTGGCACATAAATTCAATCTCTTTATACCTGTAGGTATAAAACAGGGGCCTCCCTTAGCTCAGTCGATAAAGGCTGCGGCTACAAAGCAAAACCATGCTGGAGACGGCTGGGTTCGAATCCCGGCCCGGTCGGATAGGAAAATTTCTCGACTTCCCGGGGCTTAGCGTATACTTGCCACACAATAATACACATGCAAAAATGGTACAGGCTAAGAAAGCTCTCAATTAACAACTGTGGAAGTGCATCTAGAACACAAAGATGAGAGCAGACAAAAGCTCGTTAAAGAGCGTCAAAGCCATATAGAAGAAGAATACACCTGTAGGTTGCGCGAAGCACTAGGCTTAAACCGCTCTTAAGTAAATTAAGAACAACTTATTGCTTTAAGAGCTGAATCGTTTTGTAGTCTTCAACAAAGTCGTTGTCTTTGGGTTTTTGTTGCATTTAAAATCACCCCAAAATATGATGTTTTTTTGTATGTGGATAAAAAATATTATTTCACTCCATTTAATCCTGATTTTTTTTTATTATAGTCACTTTAACACTCTTGGGCCCGGGGGTTAAATTCGAACTCGTGACTTTGGCGTGAGAGGAATGGATGTTAACCACTACGCCGGGGTCACCCCTCCGGATTTATAATGTATTTACAAATCAACTCTTTCTCATTCTAGTGATGTTCATACATTTTTTAAATATCCATGGAAGTTGTTGAAAAAAAAATCATGTTTGAATAGTATGTTTTTTACACGTATACTCAACGCACCGCGACTGCTGGAAGGTTTATCTATTTTTGATTGTAATACAGGTAGATGAATACTTTTATTTCGATTCTTCCAAAAAAAACTTTGAAATTCTCCCTCAAATTCAAATCGTAGCCAAATTTGTATAATTTTGGCGCAATTGTTGAGGAGCTTAATATACATGAAATATAAAATAGCTGTGATCCACTATGCATATTTGACACAACCTAATGATAATATCTGCAACGATCTTCTTTTAAAACTCATCCCAAAGCAACCAACCAAAAATCCGGTGAATTACTCTCACAATAGTATACATCGAAATGACAACAAAGTAATTTTAAAAGCGGTCAGTGAATCGACTTATTATAAAGTTCTACTAAATAGAATATATCAATTACTCTGGGATGAGTTTTTGAGTAGAGCAACAACCGATCGTTTTTTTTTTTGTAATGATGTATAAACTGAAAAATTTAACGTAATGTTTGGTTCCAGACAAAAAGATAGACATCATAAACTATAACTGCGTGGGCGTTAAGCGGCTGGTTGAAAATTTACAAAAATCAGTGGATAAGATTATGAAAATTGTTATGCCGAAAACAACGTCAATGAGAGTAGAGTTCCCACTTAGCGATGACGCTGATTTAAACAGACTTGAAGAGTTAAGCAAAAACGCAGATGTGGAGGCAGTACTCCAACAAAAGTTCTCATCGTTATCTAACAAATCAGCGTATGATTTGTTCCGTGTAGCGGTGCAAAACATGTTCCAGAATACAGGTCGACATACGTGGAGTGGCCGCACAGCGTATAATGCTCTCCATGAAGTTTTGGCCCAACCTGCAGCTGAGCTTCACGTTATAAGCATATTGCTAGGTAAATTAAAATATTTCATATTTCAGGCGTAATAAAGATTTATTTTTCCTCTTCATCGAATTGTTAACATTGCAGTGCCATACCAATAACTATTTCGATTTATTTTTATTTTATTGTTTAGATACAGCAATCTCCAAGTT